GCAACCCTAACGCCTTCCCTAACGCCTTGGGGCAGGAAAGAAAAAAAAGCTTTAAAGTCTTAAAGTGTAAGACTAACGTGCCATAGATGTTGTTTGGAACTACTAAACCTATTGCATTTAAATCTTCTCATGCGTTATCCTCTTCACTAAAGATCTCTCCCACTGAAATGTGATATTAGGGTAGTCCTTTTTAAACGGTTCCCAATTCAGGATTCCATCTATTGTGTGTGCATAAATAGGCTGTATTTCCTCCTTCCTCTTGTTCCCCAAGGAGGAAAAACTAGGTTATTTTAGCTCCACAGAGATTCTGAAAACTAGAAAATCTGGTTTCATGAAAACCAGAAAACCTGGTTAAATGATCACCTCTGTGATGTGTCATTTAGGAGGCCCGTGTTTGTATTGGCTGACTTTGTGAAGTCTGATTTTGTAACGTAGATGGAACATTCTCAGGAACTCCTTAAATAATACATTATACTATTTATTCTGTGGGAGGTTTTGAGCCACATAGATTTAAGATTGTAAGAAAAAAGTGAACAAACATGGGATTTTCTTTTACTTTGACAAAAAAAACCTGCTAACATGTAGTTTTTTTTTAATATGGACATGCATCTTGTGCTGCTTTATTCCAGTTTCAACATATACATATACCACATGTAGAACATATCCAATGGCAACTTATTCTTAGTCTAGTTAGTTAGTTACATCAACTGTACACTGAGCCATTCAAACACAATATAAACTACAATGTATGACAAAGGAAACCCACAAAACAATTCATTTACACACACAACAAAAAGAAAGATTCACTTAAGCTCCAAGGTCGTACAGCTACAACCAAAGTCATATCCTCGATGTTGTTTCAGGGAATTTGGGGGATCTAACGTCCAAAGAAGGAGTTTATAGTCTACAATTTGTTTTTAAGCTTAATTTGTTAAAAGTTGTTAGAGTCAAAATCCTAAAATTAGACTGTGCTCAGCTAGAAACATACTGAATTAGATTCCTGGCATTGTGGGAAAGGCTTCTTTTTTTGCAGGTAGATTATATAGAAAATGTGTGGAAAGAAAATGTTAAACTTCTTTTAGTGGCTAGTCAATTTTCTTAGGGTGGGGGGAGGTGCACTGAACTCCTGAAATCAGTATTTCTAAATCCAGACTATAGATTAAGGTCTATTAATATCTATTAAGATTCAGCTAAATTCTCTTTTTTGAGAACAAAAAAATCATAAATGCCAAATTGCTGCGGCTTCCCTTTGGTATCACAATATAATATTTGTCCACCAGTGTTTGTAAGAAAACTATATGCATTTCCAACTAAAACTCCTAAATCTAGACCATATGGTGTCTTGTTTAGTCATAAACAGTGTTGTATGTACAGAGATATAACATATCAGAACAGATTTCCAAACAACATGTACAGTTGTATGTGAAAGTTCGGGCACCCCTTGACAAATAACATATTTTTTTATATTACTTAGTAACCCTTAGTTACTTTGTTAGTTTCCTGTGCCACTGTCTTCAACATAAACCCAAAGCATGATAGATCCAGCCCCATGCTTAACAGTTGGTAAGGTGTTCTTTTCATGAAGTGCTCCTTTTTTCTCAAGACATGCCTTTGCTGATTGTTGCCAAATAGTTCTATTTTAACTTTAACAGCACTTGTTTCTAAAAACCCATCAGGGTTCTGTAGATGTTTTGCTGCATACTTCTGATGCTGGATTTTATGATGTGGCTGCAGGGAAGGTTTTCTTCCCTGCTGCAAAAGCAGCTCTATACAGTGGGTCTGAGTCTGAGTCTGCTAAATCTACCTGCAGGGTTTTTTGCATGCACATTCTGACCAGCATGCAATCAGTTCACTCCAAGAGTTTTCTTGGTCACCTCCACTGTTCCCCCTAATGGCCATCACTTAATTGCATTTCACACTGTGGAAACTGCAAATGCTTTGCTATGTTCATCTGCATTGTGGACATCAATGGGCATTAATAACTTTCATTTTCAGGGTCTTACTCAGCTGCTTAGAGGGACCCATGGTTGCCAAGTGTTCACACAAGGTTTTTCAAAGCTTTGAAATTGGCACCAGCTGATGCTTCCTGATCACAATTGTTCACATGCTTCAAGGAGATGATGAAGGTCTGAGACCTTGTAAAAAGAATCTGAGACTGCAGAACTCACAGGATAAACTTTTATCAGAATGATGTTTTTATTTTTGTTCAGTTTTTGAAAGAAAATGTAACTTTGCATGAATGTTTGCTAAAAAATATTGTGTTGTATGTTCCAAACGCTAGAGAGAATGTGTTTACGTCTTTTCAATTGACATAACACATACAACTGTAATTCTTGTTATGAACTCCATATGCTTCTTGTTTCCTCACAGGGTGGCTTTCCTTTAGTACTGTCTTTACACGTGCATGTTTTGTACACTAGATGGCGTAGTCCACCAATATTATAGAATCCTGCAATCTGACCATTAAGTTGCTGTGGTGGGCTCCTCTTATGGCCAAAATTAAGCACCAAGGATAGCAACATATGGATTCCTGCCCCTGATTGGTTGCTTTGATGGTAGAGGATATCAGCTGTTTTAAATAATTTGGTTCATTCACATTCTGACATTTTTGCACACACTTCTGACATTATCGTGTGAGAAGGACTCGGGTAAAGAGTCGATTTAATATGCAAAGTGTCTGTGCAGTAAAATACCAGCCTGCTGTTTATGTCTGTTTTCCTACTTCTATACTTAATTAACATAGGCCATAATAAAATGGGTCACTCAAGACACAATAAGAGAGTGACAGAGGCACAGCAGGGATATGTACACTGCTTCACTCTTCATCAACCTACTCACAAGTTTGACTAAATTGAAATTTTCATGCAATCATGAATATATGAACGAAGCTGCCAGTGAAAATGCACTCTGGAGGGTAGATAAAATAGGGCAATATCAATAATGCACAAGTAATGGGATATGTTTCAGAGAGCGTGACTCCCATTCAGACTGTCATATTTATAAACAACAAGTTAAGAGACTGAGCTTTTGTGTCCGATGTGAAAAAGTATTGGGGCCAACATCCCTGTTTGACTCCTGAATTTAGGTCTCTAGTATCTGGGACATATATCCATAATTAGCAGTTGTGTTTTACTTCTTCCTTCACTTTCCCTCAGGCGCAATTGCCACATGAGGTAAACTACCTTCCTGGCTTTTATGTTGCAACTCACTTGATCAGCAAAATGCATAAATGCTGGTATAATAAAACAGTGTGGGAGTTTACACAAAGACTGCTCTGAGTTTGAATAAAAACATGCACAGGACATACCTGGATAGAGCATGAATTTGGACAAAAGCTACTGTGTACAGGTACCTGGCGGCAGGATGTAGACCAGTTCCCTAGATGCACAGCAAGGACACTGAAAAGTAAAACTACAGGACAGCAAAGGACAGATTGGTGTGCAAAAATAACCTGTGTAATACACAATATGTCAGTGAACATAAAGGACAAGGTTTCACAAGACAATGCACTGAATCATATCACTGACTTTTAGTAATATACCAAGTACAATAATTGTATTAAAAGCATACAATTGCTGCCAGAATGAAGATTGCTTTGGCACTGACTCACATTGTATAATGAGGATTTTTAGTGAGAAATGAAACAAATGTATTTAAATAGGAAACATCTTGGAAATGAAGGAAATAAATCCCCTTGAAATTGATCCCCTTAAAGATTTAAGGGACGCTTCTTCATTGACGCACAAAAAATGATAAAGCCTTTAATGACGAGGCAATATGATTAAAGCCAAGACAGATGAACTGACCGACAAACTAACCCCACACCCATCTTCTTCAGTAGCAAAAATCAATAATCAGAACATATAAACGTGTCAAAGTACTAATTAAAGTACTTTGGAAGTCCGCCATACAGAGCCATCTGACTGCAATATAACAAGTTCAATTTTGGTTCTTATACTTGATTATTTCTAAATTATGCCACCTAATACTTGGACTTCACTGCAGTTCAGAGGAAAATATTATAGTTTTTACTCCACTGCATTTATCAGCTGCCACAATATGGTACTGTAGCTTGCACATACAAAACCTATGATGACCTTATACTTTATTATGCATAGTTATTGAAACCAACAGTACATGAAGCAATTAAAATTGACACTCTCAGGGCCCATTTTTATGTATAATAAGTACATTTTTATATATTTTTTTTAATTAAAGTAAAATTTTGTTTTGTGTGTTTTTAATGTTGCACTTTTACATAAGTAAAGGATTTGAATACTTCTTCTAGCACTAAATTATATTTAAAAAATCATTATCAGAAGTAATCTAATCTGCTGTATCTAAGAGTGTCTTCCCCTCTGTCTCTCAGTTTCTCTCTGCATCAACAAACACTTGCAAATGCATCAGTTTCCAAATGCAGACATATCATGGCTATTACAAAAAAAGGAATCAGAATATTATGTGTTTCGATAATTGTTATCTATCAATACAGTATCCCTGCAGCTTTGCACACTCAGTAACTCAGTGCTTTCTGGGTGGTGTGTGTAGCAGTGTGGTGCATTCTCACATATTTCCTCCCTCCACCAAAATCAGGTCACGCTGATAGCTGTTCTCTGCTATTGGCCATATCAAGCCGGGCTGCGATGCTTATGCATGGGTCTTAGCTCATCTCACTGTGAAGTGATTAACAGATAATTATATGCATGGGTTGCATAACAGACAAGTTGTCGTTCAATGGGGAATATTTAACAGCTTCATATACAAGAATGTTTTAAGACATTAGTCTCTCTCTCTCTCTCTCACTCTCGCTGTTTTTTGTGGTTTGAGAAAATCTGTTTCACAGTTTCAGGCCTCTCATTATAGTAGGTCACCAACCAGTCTTGGTTGCACAGGGAGTGTCACAGACTTTTCCCAGCAGGATCTGTGTCATGCTGATCTTTTTATTAGCCTGACTGTATCAGTGGATTATCAGAGAAATTAGCTCAAACATCTCACAGAGGTGTTTATGAGGCGGCCCACACAGTCGACAATTTATTGAGAAACACAACAAGGCAGAAATATGATTATAAAGTTACTGACTACATGAGACACAGGCTCACTAGCTTTCTGAAATAGCTCCTTTGTGGTGCATTCATGACTTGGTATCAAAAACAGGTCTTGTTAGAGCGTTTAACCAGTTGCTGAGGTTGTTTGGCTCAGAGCCGTGGACTCCAGCAGCACAATGACTGGCTCTGACTCTCCCTCGGAGCCTGGCTCACTTTGATCCCGTCCCAGTGGTCCTCTTCATTGGACAGGCCGGTGTCGCAGAGCATCATTTGTTTGACAAGGATGGCACCTGCCTCATCAATATTTATATTGTCCTATAAACGGTGAGGGGGGAATATGATTTAGAACATTATGTATGCATCCGTTGAGTTAAGTGTTTGGCTCGGTATTTGAACCTTGGCTGCAAGTTATTCCTTCGTGTTAATATTTGAAGATGTTTTATGAGCAGGCTGTATATAGCTGCAGTGTTAAAGTTCACACATACAGTATATTATAACCTTGTGCAATTCTAATGGTGAGCCACAAGATCCACTGGTGGCTCCACTCAGGCAGCTTCAGCAATGCAAAATCAAATTTCTCAAATGCAGAAAACACAAAATAAACAAATAAATACATAAATAATTCAATGTGTTAGTCAATAAATAATAAAGTTAAAAAATAAAGTTAATATTATTGACACAAGCCCTTTAAGTAAATGACAAAATACAGTCTAGACTAGCTACCAATTTTTTAATAGAGGTCAACTCACATATATTTATATGTCTACTGTATAATGAATTACCTACACATTACACACAGTGAGAATATGTAACTTTTGCTGCACAGCAGATACTGTGGCCACAAGTAACAAATATGGGATAACAGTAAAATCTGTCTATGCCCACTGAAAACGATGGATAGATGATAATCGATTTATCTGCATTAAAACAAACATGAAAATAAATGGGCTTCTTTTTCTTGGAGAGATTTTTGTCAGGACAGCAATAAAAAGCCAAAACATAATATAACATTATGGGGTAGAGAAAGGTCATAAAGTCAGAGATATGACTCAGTAATTTAGTCATAATGTCTATCTAAAGTTTGTTAACATTAGCTGTAGATGAGCTACTGGTCATAGATGATGACTGGATAGGCCAAATCTCTGAGGGCATGAAATTGAGCAAGGGTGCATATTATTGCTTATGAATTTAACTTTTAACTTGTAAAACAAAGAAAATGTGTTATTTTACTTTTCATGTGCCATAGTCTTGCTTCATCATTGTGAAGAATGAAAGAAAAACATGCCAAAGAAATCATTTAAAGTAATTCGGTTTATCTACTTACTGTATTTTATTTCTTTAGCACTTTTAAAAATTTTGTCTTTAGGTCAGATAGGTCTACTTTTTGTAATAACAAGTGTTACTCCTCTTGCTGTGTTAATTGTTAAAGACTGTGTTCAGCTGCCCTTGGGAAAAAACTAGCTGTTGGGCCTCTCGTGAACCCCCCAACAAACATTTATTAAGGAAAATCCACCAAGTTAGCATTTAAATACCGTAATGAAGGTGTTAAAACTTTATTTTCAGAGATAATACAGGGCCTGTCTTGAGTAATAGTGTACTTAAGTGGTGCAAATTCTCATTTCTCAATCTCATTTAGGTTTAATTCAACCAATAACACATCTAAGAAATGTCTGCATATCCCTAACTGCTACAGACAGATTTTCTTCTCCCATAATAACTAAAATACAACACACACCTTTGCAGAGGTCTCAAACCACCCTATGAAGTTGTTGTCTTTACAGAAGCCGTCCAGAGAGGACACCAAGTCTCCGTCTCTTCCTGTCATGTCACATTTGTTGGCCAGCAGGACAGCGGGGATCGGACGTCCGCTGTCAAGACAGACTTTGCAATCTAGGTCCCGCTTCCACTCTGAGGCACCCTCCAAGGTGGAGCTGTTTGTCATGTCAAAGACCACTACTGCTCCCATCGCCCCTTTGTAGTACACTCTGGACATCTTCTTAAACCTCTCCTGGCCTTGAGGGAAGAGAAAATAAATCTGTGCAATATATTCTTCACCACATACAGCTTATAGTTTCTGGAATTGAATTTAAAGTTGGCCGAGAGAGAGAGACACTTAGTCAGTACTGTTTGTTTAATGTGTGATTTGAATTATCATATAAAATCGGACTGTAGCCTAAACGTTATGCAACAAGTGAGAGACTAACGACAATCATTTTCTGAAATAAAATGGTATGTTTCCATGGACACTGGTTAGGATTAAAATTAGATCTAAGAAAACATTGGGTAAAAAAAAGCTACAGTTTTACTTGCAGCAGTTTGAAGGCACTGAAAGCACTCCCATACGGTGAACTTACTCAACAGTTATAATCAAAACACAGCATGATTTATTCGAGATTAAAGGTAATTTCTGCAAAATGGATAACCCGTTGGACTTATGTGAAGGTCAAATTTTAAACTTTCAGCAAAGAATCACTGGCAATAGTTGTAATGCTTTAATTGTATTTAACTGTATGCCTTTATAAGTTAATTATTTTACCCCCCATAATTAAACATTTTCATACTGTAAAACTAAACTAATACCTAAAAACGTACTAAAAGTGCAGTCTGCCTTTGGAAAATCCTCACAAATGCAATTAAGCAATCTAATCAACCTACAAAATGTTTTCTTTCAGATTCCTTATAAATTTTTCATTTTAAATAATCATCAACGTCATGATCATCATCATACAACAACATTAATAATTAGCATTAGCTGGGTTTTTAATTCTCCATGATAATTGGGTTTTATTAGCTACTACTTAATTTTATTATGTTGAATAACAAATACATTTACCAATATATCAGTTTATCAAAATGGATTTGTTCCACTTACAGATAACAGTTAAAGGGAAACTAATACGTATGTTTGTTTGTTTTTAGCTTTAGTTAAAGCTAACCATGACTATCTCACTGACTAATCTAGCCCTCGTGACTAAGGCAAACCTTATGGGGGAAATATAAACGTTATTTTTTTTCATCTATTATCTGGCAGCAGTTTGCATTGTTCAAGGTACTTTCCTGATCACACGGGGGTTTACTGTCTTCTTTGGCAGAGAACATCTTTGCCGGATGTGAAACCAACATTTAAATCCACTATTTCAACAAACTGTGCCCTGCTTTTCTGAAAGAACTACAAATATGGCCCCACTGTTCTCTTCCTTGCTGTACAATCTGTGGAAATACTCGATTTAAATGTACATGTATGGGGCTATGGCTAAAGTAGCTTTCACTGAATATAGATCTGGTTTTAGCTGTCTTTCCAGAGTGCATTACTGCAGTTTTGTTTATAGTTTAGTTTTGTTACTGCAGATTTGACACACTGTTTTTACATTAATTGCATATTTCTATGGTATAATCATTTGTACATGTGATAAAACAGATACCAGAAAGTCTATATTATTGTGTTTTGGCTTTGTAGGGCACACAACTGCAATAGAGAATGCATAATCTTTACACTCACCTGCTATATCCCAAAGCTGTAGTCTCACCACTGTCTTGCTGTCCCATTCAATTGTTTTTAGAGCAAAGTCAACTCCAATAGATGCTTTGTATCTTTCATCAAAGCGTTTATTAACATAACGCATGACAATGCTGCTTTTTCCAACGCCTATATCCCCAATGACTAAAACTTTAAACAGCTTGTCTGTACATAAAGTCATTGCACTCCCTGCCATGTTGTGATTAACAGGCTTAGGTATGGAGACAGGTACAACTAGGTCTCCTTCAAAGTCCAGTTTTACAAATATAAGCCCACAAACATATTGCAAAGGTTTTAAATAATCTACATTTACCTTAGATGTCTCAACCCTACTTCTCTTTATGATTATTTCTAAGTGTTGCTGCTTTGAATTTCTTCCTTCAAACCAAAGCCATAAATCTTTGACCTTTGATTTAAAACATTGGAGTAGGCAAGACCAAGACCAGAGCGCCACCTAATGTTTCACCATGAAAAACAGGAGACAAAAGCATAGAAAATACTTAATTTACTCCAATCAAACAAGTGACCTTTTAAATGCTCTACAGTAAATATTTGTTTAAAATGGCAGACTTAATTTATACTGTGTATATATCAGGCTGCAAATAGCTTATTCAGAATATTACGTATAACAGTAAAAGTAGCACTTCATCACATTATACGGTTTTGATTGGCTCGTTAAGTCTTAATATTTAGGAAACTGATTGGTGTGCACAACCAATCACACGATAGAAGCATACACAGCTAATAAGTTCTTACTAATACTGTAATGCATATAGATATCATCTGAATACCAAAATATGATACACAATTCATACATTCACAAAACATATGTATGTCATTTATCTTATACATAAATCTATACAATTATGAAATCAGATGTCTAATTATAAAAGATACAAATTTGAAACTAGTTTAACTCACATTTCAGGACCATAGAAATGAGACAAATGTACAAAATAAAAAAAAAACCTCTTAATGAAAATGTGGCACTTGAACTTGTCCTCTGCTACATTCATGATACAGTCAGTGCATTTGCCTGGCAGTACTGTATCAATCAAAAATTCACAGATAATTGTTTTATTTGTTTTTTTGTTTTTTTTACCAACGAGAAATCATGTTGACGTAACACATTTTAAATTTCCTCAAAGGAGAACATTTTTATTCTCCTTTCCCAGCTTAAAGAAAAAGTCCGACATTTTGGGAAAAGCACTTACATACATTACATAAGTTACATAAGAAGATCGATACCACTCTCATGTTTGTACACACGTTTGTGTGTTTAGCTTAGCATAAAGACTGGAAACAGGAGGAAACATCCGGCCTCGCTCTGTCTAAAAGTCACAAAATATGCCTACCAGCAGCTCTAAAGCGCACTAAATAACATGTTCTATCTTTTTTGTTTAATCCATACAAAAAACAGGAATCTAGCTTTTCCCCGTTTCCCGTCTTTATACTAAGCTAAGCTGATGGCTGCTAGCTTTAGTTTAATATTTAGTCGACAGATGCTAAAGTGGAATAGATCTTCTCATCAAACTCTCAAATAAGTTTATTCTCCTAAATGTCGAACTATTCCTTTAAATCTTCCATTTTCTGATAAAGCACAAAACACACAATGTGTAACAGAAAACATATTTTTCTAAAAATATTGTTGACAAATTGTTTTGCATTACAAACAAATTATATTCACCATTAAGTTGCCCTGTTTAAAATCAGCAAACTCATCTGCTTGTTATGTCACCTATATTCATCGAATGAATCTACTTATATTAAATGTACATACAGGCAATCTTAGTTGTCTCATAAGCACAGAATCTATTTTATCCTAAAAGCTCATGTTAGCATTTGAAATAGGCTTTTTTTTTCTTCTCACTACTGTAGACAACATCTAAAAGAATTTTAAAACGTGGCGCCTTGTTGTTCACCCTTATCATGTAAAAGCTATCAGTTATAGAGTGAAAAATGACTTGTCAGACCACAGAATGACTTTTTCCTTAATATATCGTCATATACAGCACAAGTCATTATGAACGTTAAAATATTGTACAACTGGTAACATGTAGTGTGCACCCTCACAGAGTTGAGGAGCTTTGCTTGAAGTCTCTGAGGATAACAGAGGCATATGTCACATTTGGAGGACTGCACAAGATCGACTCTGACACTGGCGAATTGGGAAAGGGGCCCACTGGGGAACCAGTGCAATCTCGGAAAGGGGAGGGAGGCATCAGAGCCACTGAGTCCTCCACGGCCAATTTGACCTCAACCAAGTCCTCCTCGTCGTGAATCTGGGCGTTGTTGTACATGTAGCCATGGAGAAGGCCAAACTGCTCATTCTCCATCTCCTCCTCCTCTAAAGGGGAGGTTGGCTCCTCGTCGAACGGGTCGAGGTGCATGGGCAGGACCGGTTCCTGCTGGATGAGGTGGGCCTGGTGGTAAACGGGCATGCCGCCGCTCACGGCCTCAGGCATGCTAATCATCTCATTAAGCTCAGGGATGTCACTCTTGAATTTACGATTTACCACCATCTCCCCCTGGAGGCGGTCCATGATGATGTGTTGGGGAATAATGATATTTGGCTGCAGATGCTCGGGGGTATAGAGTTCCACCTCCTCGTCCACGTCTTTTATCTGCCCACAGCCAGGAATTTGCCCGTGGGCCATCATGGGGGGAGTGGCCGGGGGATTGTATCTGACAGGGTCACTCTCGTCCTCCTCAGCCACATTGTACAAGGTCTTAGTGCTGAGGTCTGAGAACTCCAGCGCTCTGTTTTGGTACGTATTAGTTAAGGGTTTGATGACAGCCATCTGATTGGAACCTGCTTCCTGTCTCTTCACATGCACTGACAGTCTGTGCCACATGTGATCCCCTTTTGGAGGATGTCTTGCACCTGGTTCAGACCATGACACAGACTTTCCATTAGAACTATGAACAAAATAAAGACGGCTGTTACTGCAGGAACCCAGAAGAGTGAAGACAAAAAACAGCATCTCTGGTTCATGTAAGATAAAAAAATATATTGTACGTAATGTTCCAGGGTATCTGCAGGTTTTAAAAAATCATTGCAAAAGCATTGAATTCAATTAAAAATATTTCCTCTTGCCTGTCATACGCAGTGATGTTAGCTAAAAAATGCTTTGTTACCCAGCAGTAGGCTGTCAGAAGATGTAATGCACTTAAAAACTAAAAGTGGGATTGTTTTCGACAGTGGATTTAATGAAGTGTGAAGCTTTAGTCGTAACCATCAGATCTATTGCAGAAAATGTCACAACTGCTATATACAGTGGCCCAGACTTTTTCTATCACTGGGAATTATTGTCATATACTCCTGGAAAGTGCTAAAAAAGGGGGATATAATTCTGAATAATTCTATGACATATTGTCCCTACTGGTTTCCATTATACTGTAATATTTTAACTGGTATGACTGTAAAAACAACCGTTAAATTGAATTCTATGTGGTATTAAAGCGTCTTTAATTAGGTGAATCCTGCAGAAACCCTGTATTCTGTATTTGTGATCCCACTTGTCATCCCTTAGCACACAGAGATGCTTGTTTTAATTTTACCACCAGTTCAAAGGTTAAAATGACTGTGTGAATTGAGCACTGACCTATATCCGTCACACTTTACAACAGGTGTCCCTATGAAAGTGAATACAGTAAGACATCAGGTTCCCTTTGAGAGAGAATTACAGTAAAACCAGCATCCCTGAGGTGCCTCAGGAGCAGGACTCAGACTCAATTAATGAACCTACCTGCCGTTTCCAGTGTTCTTCTTCCTCTTGAACATGTTGAGCAGGCTGTTGCTTCGGCAGGCAATTTTTCCATCGCCGACATGCATGCGCACAGCATCAGACGTGGTGAACGCACTGCGCACGTTTCGCTCTGGTTTGGCAATTATGATGTACATCTTAGGTGTGAACATACAGCCCAGGGCCACAGTCACACTGAGGCTTACAGAGAACGATGTGGTGATGATCTTGTAGTTGCTGCCAAAGTAGATTGGCACAAACGCCAGCCAGATTATACATGTGGTGTACATAGTGAAGGCGATGTACTTGGCTTCGTTGAAATTTGCAGGAACGTTGCGGGTCTTGAAGGCATAATATGTGCAGCTCATGATAAGCAAGCCGTTGTAGCCCAGGGGGGCCACAACACCCACGTTGCTGGTGTTGCAGATGAGGAAGACTTCTCTGATGCTGGGGTAGGATTTGATGGGTTCAGGAGGCTCCATGATGATGAGGGTAACCTCCAAGGTGAGTTGAACACTGATCAAGATAGAGGCAATGACCACTTGAGCCCAAGCGCTCATGAACCTCGGTTTCCTGGTGCAAATCTTCTTCTTGCTGCCTGCCAGAATACGGGCAATGCGGTTGGTTTTGGTTACCAGGGCGGAGTAGCACATGGCAGCTGAGAGTCCGACAAGGAGCCTCTGGAGGTAGCAGGAAGCCACGGTGGGACGGGCGATGAGGGTGAAAGGACACAGATAGCCCAGGAAGATCCCTGCGAGGATGATGTAGCAGAGCTCTCGGCTGGAGGATTTGACCACAGGTGTGTCACGATATAAGACAAAGATGAAGGCAACAAATGACGTGACCAGGATGCCCACGCAGGAGAAAACCACCTGGATAATGGACTCTGGATTGCTCCACTCCAGGTAGCGCAGGGGGATTGTCTCACAGCCTGAAAAGGATAAAAACATGACAATATAAAAACACAGCCACGATACACTAAAAGCACCTCATATATTTTTCAGCATTTCAACATCAGTTTGGTGGTTAGATTTCTGGTTTTCTACAGAATAACTGCCTCAATAAAAGGTAGATTTCAGAAGAATGCAATGAAAATTTTAGTTAGAGTTTTAAGGCTTTATTGTATGGACATGTTCAAAATTCATCAACTACATTTGAGCCTGAGAAAATACAGTAAGTCTCAAAGTAGGTTTTTAGCTCAACTATAAATAAACTCCTTTCTACTCAGCCATGGCCAGGCTGGGCTGCAGCCAGTGGAGGAGGGGGCCAATGCACCAGGACAAAGTAAATCACTGCGTTTTTCACGGATCCAAATAAGATCTCCTTTCTGCTTCATGTTGAGGATACACTTTGAATATCTAATTTATGTTGCTTTATTTATTTATTGTGTAACAGCAGGAGGGCAAGGGTTAGAAAACTGCACAAGAATCATTTTTATATCATCCCTGCGCTCCACATTTCCTCGTTTCTGGGCGTACTTAAAGGTCTTCTGGTTGAAGAAAAAGGAAACAGCATGGAGGCAGGATGATCCTATTAAGAAAGTGTCTTGTCTTTGAACAGCACAGAAGGCCTTTGAAAGTGGGCCACAAGAACTGTAAGTGAAGTAGGGCTGCTGTCGGATAAAATGGTGAAGATGATGAATGGCTCTCAGGTGTCATGGGAAAGCAATGAAAATAGGACAGAACAGGTTTATGAAATAGCGCTGCAGAAAATTTTAGCAGGACAAACTGTACGGAGTACATGTGGAGGGAGGAGGCGAGTGAAAGCTTGGAGGAACTTAACTTTCTACAGAGCCTCTAATATGACTAAAGAATCTCCTCTAATTTCTGAAAGCATCAATCGTGCAACAGGAACTCAGCCTGTGGCCACTGAAGTAACCAAAATTCATCTAAATTTAAATGTAAAAATTGCAGAACAGAAAAATCTTCTGTTCTAATCAGATGAAGTTTATTGTCTTGGAGGAATTTAGCAGAGAAGTTACATTTTGGTGATTTAAAGAAACCAAAATCTGCCTTACAGCATCTCTACAGTTCACAAATGAACATGTTACATCCCTTTTTATTTTAAGGTTATTTATGTGCCAAACCATTTCTCGGCTGTCGTAACTGTAATGTTGCCTGGCAACCAGCTGAAACTCCTAGAAGACACATAACCCTATAAAACCATTTTTGTACAGTTTAAACAATTACAATTTTTTTTCAAAAATATTTTTTGGGGGGCATTATTGGCCACTGCAGCCAGGACTCAGCCTTGGCGCCCCGGTAGTTTACCAGGAAGAGCTGGTGCCCCAACACACAAGTGTATCGTATTAATTAGTAAGCTTTTGAGTTTCTGGTAGGTGGATTTTGTTACCTTTGGACAGGGCCAGGCAAGATATTGATCCTTTTCCAGTCTCTATGCTAAGCTAAATGGCTGCCAGTTTGTTATTTTTAACAGACAGATATAAAGGTGGTATCAATCTTTTCACCTAATTCTTGTGTGAAAAGGATATAAACATATTCACCAAAATGTCAAACTACTCTAAAGGAAAGCCAGTTAAGCCCTCTGCCAGCCTTTGTACGGTGTTCCAAGCAGGTGAGAGTTTACAGACACAGGTAAATGGAGACTAAGGAGTAGAAACTCACCTTCCAGTTCCTCGTCAGGCCACCAGCCCAGCTCACAGGCCTTACATGTGAACTCATCCTGGACATACTCATTGTCCTTACAGGCAGTGCAGATCCAGCAGCAGCTCACTTCTCCCTTCCTGATCACCTGGTCGACAAAACAGAAATGTAAAAATACTTTTCCTACAAGAACTTATCCCTGAGTGAAAGGGAGCCACGGTGCCCGTAAATATTTAAATACTTGTTTTTCTACACAGTAAAACTAAAGATAGAAAGAATGAACTTGATGAAAAAGAAAAGGTCATCAGGTATTAATGGAAATAGGTTGTAACTATGGCCTTTTTTAATGGTTGATAAATCATTTACTAATGCTTTATAGATCTGTTATAAACCATTAATAATAAGTTTTGAGTTGCAAGGTTCTGAAAACTGCTGTTAAGACTGTTTGACCGTTACTATTTCAAGAAAAGGGCTGCAGGTGATCTGGACCAAAATCCATTAATTAACATCTCATTAATACTCACAACTGCAGACTTAATTAATTACCAATTAACGTGTATAACTGCAGACTTGATGGGCTTATTAGAAAGTTGTTGGATTTCCAACATTTATAATTTAGAGAGACATGTATTACAACATATACAAATAGTCTGCTTGTAACAATAATGTGTGTCAGATGTGTTTTTTCCACAAAAAAAGGAGTATAATTTCCACATTAAAATCCTTAAAAAGACATCTACTCCTTCAACCTCATTAAAAATTCCCAAATGGATATACACATTTAGTTCCTTTTTAAGTTTTCCAGCTGGACACAAAATGTCTCCTACTTCACTGTAAAGTCCATTCTCAGTGCACTGAAGGATTCAAGTTTCTACATCACATTTGTATAGGTTGCAAATTGTGATGTCAAAAATCATGTTTGCAGACTCCACACCTTAAAATCTGATTTTCAATGAGCACAGAGAAACTTTCCACTTTGATCTTATGAATGTGAAAACATCCTTCTAGTGTAAAACTCTGCACATATGTCATTGTGCACAGTGAAGCTCAAACATTCAACTATAGGAACACTATAGGAATTTTTGAGTGGAGGAGAATCTTAATTATGAGATAAACATCAGCCTTTTTCTCAACCTGGCAACCCACATTTGGTTCTTACTAATAGCTTATAGCGGATCTACAAAGCATGAAATAAGTAAATGACCTATTAACCATTAATAAAGCCATTAGTTAAAACTTATACCTTATTAATAGTAGTACCAAAATACTTCCTCAACAGGCTATTTGTTCTCAGCAGGGTGAAGAAAGAGATAATTCTAGTCCTAATGTTTAAAGAACAGTAAGTTTAATGCAAAGACTGAACCACAAAGCTACAACAAAGAGGTTCAGACTTAACATATAGTCACAATATTAGCAGGATAGTACCTAAAGGATTTGTCCCTCACCTTGATCTCTCCTTTGGAGCAGGGCTCACTGCAGACAGAGCGGACCATGTCACTGCGGTTCATCTGAATCAGCTCCTCATCAAGACTGAGCATGCTCTCATGCCAGGAGCCAATGTTGATGTAGTCATAAACACCAGGCTCCACATGCTGGAAGTTCATAATCTCATACCTGATAGTGGATAGAAAAGCCATGAGTTAGAGGAGGACATGACTCATCGAGATTTCACCAACGCTGAATCAATTGTTAATGGGGAAATAATAAGAGTTTTACTGCCACTTATCACAAAAACAGCATATTTTATCAGCCTGAGGGCCTCTCAGGTTCTTGATTGTGACTCAGGGTTTTTTTTCGCCAGGTGCTGATGTGTCTGCCTTTCATCTCTCTTACTTTCTGGTTTGAAATAAAAACTCCCCACTGAAATGTCAAGACGCTCCCACCCGACGATGCAACTTCAGTTGGCAACTGATGAAAGTGCTCGAACAACTGTTGCGATATGATCTGGAGTATAGCTGCCTTTTTCCACTTTAAGTCATTTGAGGATAAATTGAATCGGATTTTTAGAGTATGTGTCATTTACGTGGCCAGATAATTGCTTCTCTCATTCCAGTAGGGACATATGACCAACTAAAAAGTAACCTTTAAATGGATTTAATTTAAAAAATACATAGTCATTACACTGGCATTAATAGTGTACTCATGTTTGCAGATGTAGCTCTAATTGTTCTCTATAATAACCCTGTGCACATCATATACGCACTGACAGGAGTTCCAGTGTCTGTAATGTAATTTCAACATCATCTGCCCTTGAAAGGATATTTGGGATGCTGTATAATACATGTGGAGTGCTGTATATTAATATTTGAATTATTTATTGTAAGTCATTTTGGACAAAAGCATTTTACGGTTAATACTTCTTCACCCTCCCTTTCCAAGCATGAAGGAGAAACTTTGGTGGCTACAAAACGCACAAAAAACGGCCCTATCTAGAGCCAGTGTTTTGTTTGTCTTTTCTGGGCTACTGTAGAAACATGGCAGTTCAACATGGAGGACGCCATGAAAAACGACCAGCTCATTCTAAGGTAAAGAAAACACTACGATTCTTAGATACCCATGAATATTATATTCCATTTCTGCCAATAAATCCTACTAAATGTTACACACTGGACCTTAAAGTAAAGGGTCTAAATACTTCTTCCACCACTGGTTGCAGGTCACTTAATGGTGCTTTTATTACAGTATTCAGAGTTAAAACACATTTGGAAAACCAAAGAATTTGAATAATTACTCAACAGTATTTCTAGAGGAATGTAAGGAAAGTGTGTTTTACCTCCCAGGTGAGTCACCATTTTGGTCAAACCATATGTCTTCTCCAGAAACGCCTGTGAAGGTGGTCTTGAGGAGAAAGTCCAGTAAATGGCTGCCATCAACAGGCTTCATGTTTTCACAGAGCCCCACGTGATCAGGACAGAGGTGAGTGTGCATGTCATGCAGCCCGTGGGCCATGGCATAGATGGCATTGATGACGAAGCCCATCTTGCTGTCTTGAACGTAGTTGTCCTCCAGGTTTTCATAACCTGCCCACACATGAGAGAACAATGAGGATTCATCTCCAGGACAGCTTCTTTTTTTTAAAGGAAAAGCCTTACGGGAGGTGCTTCATTGCTGCAAGCAGTAGCATGTTATGTGTTATGTTGTAAAAATTGATTCTAAATTTCAGGTGTACTGTACAGGTGCGTCTAGCATGATGTAACATATTACAAAGGAGTGATAGGGTGCATTGTTATAATTACTCTCTGAATACAGGCAGCAAGCTACACGTCTCTTTGCCTCTGTGGGAGACTGCTTTAAAAGGACTGGAAGCTTCAGAAAATGGCTTCAAAGAAACCTTGTTACCATGGCAAGACTATCCATTTCTGCATTCATGAGTCAGGATTCAATTAGAGTTGGTCTGAAGTACTGTGTGTGTGTGTGTGTGTGTGTGTGTGTGTGTGTGTGTGTGTGTGTGTGTGTGTGTGTGTGTGTGTGAGATTGTGTCTCCTCAAGCAGAAAAATGATTCAACTATTCCCATGTATTTCAATCTGTTGTGTTCTGTATGTATTGTTTTTCCTCAGACGAACACGATGAGTGAATGGGACAAAAATGATTAAGATTTTGATACAAACAGCGTGTGATGCTCAAGCACACCCTATCAGTTCAGTGTAATGCAAGCTAGAAGCAGAGTAAGCAGGTTTTTTAGTTGCTTTATGTCAGAGTAACATGTCAACTTAGTGTTTTTACAAAGAGCTACACCATGCATTCAATCCATTTGAATAAAACATTGGTGCAGGTACGGATGTTTGGCAGCCCTTGGAGTTGAAGAGGATCTTTTTTCATATATTTCCTTGGTTGAAAACCATCTTTTGCAACAGCACAGACAACTTGTGTGAGATCAGCACTTGGTAGCAAGAGAACAACTATCTAAATCTTTCTTTCTACCAAAACACATTGCATCCTCGAGATGTGGGTCCTCATCCGTGAAAACCTCTCACTATATTTCACATGTACTTTTATACTATAATGGTTAAGCATATCTTCACATTAGCACTCTAGTGCCATCGGAGTCTATGAATTTTAATCTAATCTGTGGTCTATTATAGCTAATAGCACGGAAGATTATGTGATACACTGCTCTAGTTCGCCTCACCCTAGCTGTCACCTGAATCTGTTCCAAACTCCCTGTTTTATCATTTATGCAAAGGAAGTAGAGTGTTATGTAGCAACGGATAACGTAATATCTAATGGAAAATGATACTGCTTGCCAAAATGTAACTGAATTTTCCACTAGAAGGAAATTTCTGACAATAGTTTCATATATTTTATTGATGGTACAATAATACTGTAATATGAAAGTGACTGAAACTTCTTTATTAACAGGAATGTTGTTACACTGTCAGCTAAAAATTTATAATTTATAGTAAATGTAATTTGAAAAGTAATAGGAGATAATAAATTCAGCTTTATTTGTTTATTTGTATGTTGTTTGTTTGCAGAATATCTAAAGACCTGTCTTGTAATAGCTTTTGGCTGCAGAGACAAGATCTTTGAATTTTTAGAAATCTTTCATTATTTTCACATTATTTACATTTTTCTTATAAGTTGAGTAAAATTCTTCAGGGAAATGTATCTAATCTTTTTTTGGGGGGTATTTTTCTTAAATACTGTATTTTGTATTTCATTTTCAAGAAATAATTAATAAAATACAATTCATACAGTCAGTGTTATTGTTATGAGGTGTGTATGTGTGTTTTAATGTTTTAACAAACTGCCAGTCGGACCAAAGGCAATTGTGGACACTAAGGTTGTATTGTGTACTGTAATGATTCATTGATGCAGATCCAGATCCAGTTACATAACTTACATTGTCAGTTGCTACATTTCTGCTTGTCTGTAAACTCTGTGTGTAAGACAGGATTCACCCACTGCAGCCAACCACATTTAACAGTGTTTTACACGAGGCTGCTTTATGACCATCAGTCACTGCTGGTGGGTTTCTTACCACTTGTGCTAAATCAAGTAGTGATCGTTAAAAGGGGACTGCTGAGAAACTGACTGCCTGCGCAAACAAACACATAAACAGTGAATTCAGTTGGGTAGCAGCTGGGTGAGCGTCCGATGGGAACTGCTGGTGATGACCTAGTTTAACAGCTCCTTGGCTTTGACGCTCGCTTCACACGCTGAGCTGTGTGAGCTTCACTCATGATGAAATGATGTCATGATGACAGCATGCAAGCAGAGGACATACTGCTGCACGTCGGGATTAGTCGGCTGCATGACAACTTCTCTGTCCAAATATGAATAAAACTACAATACAATGCTTCTGAAAATACGTGTTATCTGTTGCGATATATGGCTTCACTATTTCCGTGGCTACATGCAACTTAAGCCAGACCAGCCAGTTACAATCTCACTCAAATGTTATTGGGCTGTTTTATACGACTGTCTTAAGGCCACAAAGGTCGTGAGAGCACAAAGTGAGAGCAGATCAGGATCAATTGTTGGGCTCTCACTCAGTGTAGTGTAAGAAAAAACAAATAAAAACATCCCAATAGCTTCATATATTAGAGGTTAACTGAGATTAATAGTACAATCCAAGAGAAAAAAGTTATTAAGAATATAAAGTGACTATACTTAAATAATGTGATAAAACTTTAATATCAGTCAACCTCTATGTATATTCCCAAAGTGAGGAGCATTATGGTTCCATTCAGAGGGATTCACTCACCGTCTTGGAGTTCTACACCAAAAAAATGAATACAAATATAAATAATAAAATAAAAACAAGTGACAGGACAGCAAACAATAACTCTATCTCCACTTATGAGGCAAAAATAAATACTCTAATAACTGCTATTAAAATATGATGCTTTGTAAGGATGAATAAAAGGTATTGAGGTATGTGCATAATAAAGAAGAGATGCAAACGCTGCAAAGAAAAAAAAGATTAAAACAACGGCAGAAAGTGAGGTGCATTGGGGGGAAAAAAAATCACTTGAAGAACCTTGAAAGCTGTCAACTGAAAAATATAAAAATGGCTTTGGTTTTTTTTGCTGCATGCATTATTTTATATTTACGTTCATCAATATGATTCATTTGAAAGAATTTAAAAAAGATTTAAGGAATGGTGGATGTTTGGTGAAAGAGCAGCAATAATGGTGTAAACCTCGTAAATTAAGATTGAAAACGTAAATATATATTCTGTAAATATATTTTTTTTAAAGAAAGGTGTATGAGCAGTATGTAAAATAAACATGTTTTGGAAACATGCTTGTTGAGCATTGTTTCGGGAAACCAAGAACTTAAACTAATGCATTTACTTTGCTCCTTTGTAAAAGAAAATGATTCAATTTACCTAGATCATCATCCTCTGTAAAGCCAAGTGTCACAGAAATGAACAATATGAACAAAAAAAAATGTTATTGGATTGACTCAGAGAGAAATTTACCCTCTGGCAATCTAATTCATAATTAAAGAATGTGTTCCAGTTTATGGGGCCTTTTGGCATCGTCCTCTGGGCATTGCACACATCAGAACAGTTAAAAAAGACAAGCTGATGTGCACACTGCCGTAAAAATGTCAACTAGAAAAACTGCAGAAAACATCATAAATGCCTGATGAACTGTTTAGCTACCTGAGCAGTTTCGTGCATAATTCAGGTTCTCTTGCGGGTGTCCAGGAAGGCGGCACTGAAACCGGTACTGCCAGAACTCGGGGAACCACGGGTTGCGGGTGTTGGTGCTGAGCCTGAGCTTCAGGAAGTAGTCATCGAAGGAGGAGACCTCTTCAGACTGCAGCTTTACAGTGATGCCGCCCACAGCCTCCTGTTCATATCCCTCCACCACCTCGACTCGGTCTGCCCAGCCATCGCTGCAGAGAGGAACACACTTAAAATAGTACAACTGGAACCTGCCCCAGTTCGTGGCGCTCATGCATTAACATTACATTCTAGATACAGAGCTTAGCATCTGTATTTTCTGATCAAAAAAATACCAGACGACCTTTGAAGAACCCTGAAGGTCATTCACAATGCTTACCTCTTTTCTGAAGTCATTTTCAGAATCCTCAAAGACTTTTCTAACCATCTGATGCATAAATATTCTATCTGTTCTTAACCTGTTTTCCTAGTTATGATTCTATTTGAAATGTAAGAAATTAGGGGAATTTAAGGAGTTACAAAGGTTATTCTATACCAGAATTAAACCAAAGCATTTTTCTTCAGGTAGCAGCACAATATGATAAATATAATTCTGCCAGAAGGACTTTAATACATAGCTTTTTTTATGTCGTATAAGTTGGCTAATTACAGTTTTTTTCAAGGGTGGTTGGTACTGCAACGAGGATCAATTTTGGCACATCAAAGAGACAGTCCACTTTGAGGAGACGGTTTATGGCGCAGCGAAGAAAATTTTACTACAACACTATAAAACACCAGAGTCACCTTTAACAACATTAAAGCTAAATTATTGGTCAGGTACACTTCACCTTAAAAGAATTAGGTTTGCTCTGAAGGACGAACTGGATTTTAGTACAAATTGGTCCCGTTCATTGCTTTACTGGAAAAAAGTCTGTGACAACTTGAATGATGACTCTCACTCAGGAGATCTCAAACAATTCCAAAACACCAGCAATGTCAATTTTAAAGGGAAAATGCCAACAAAAGAGTCCATCATTACTAACGTACATTGTCCCTGGTGGAAACAAGATTCCAAACTGGAGCAGTTGTTGTTCACTTCGGGGTCTACCTGTCGGTTAAGGACCTTGAGAAGTCAGCAGGCAATGGTGTTATAAAACAGAGCAGTCAGTAAAATAGGTTCTCCAAGGTTTTTCAAGCTTTGTGGATCCACACATCAACAAAAGCTCCTTGAGCATAAAGTCATCCAGTAGTATTAGCTGCAGACAGACTCACACGGACACACATGACCAAGTGCATGATCCCCTTTACACCTGGTGGAGATAATATGAAATCCTTTAGCTGCAAACAAATTCTAAAAATTCTAAGATAAGTAACAAACAGCAGTCAACATCTGACAAAAGCAACATTGTTGTTTTTCACGATGCTGTTGGAGCTCTGAATGTCTGGTGTCTTTGAAGCTACGTGCAGCCTCACTAACAAGCCAGACTGAATCCTGCAGAGACCTTCCTCCCTTTTGTTGCCCTGACTTTGTTTCCCTTTCAGCCTTCCCGCTGAGGGGCGTGGAGTGCTCACTGTACTTGCCGAAGGAAGAAAAAAAAAAAAAGTCTCCACAACACAATCACAAGTCCAGTGAGAATTCACAGATTAGTTCTGTAGCCGTACAATCTGCCCGGGAGAGAAACGAGCTCCCACCCTCCACACAGACTCAGTGTGATTTTGACTATTTTTAAAAAAATCTCCACTGGTCATAGTTTGTACTTATAGTCTACATGCTCGGCAATCTGAAAATCAATTCTGTATTGAATCCTGTCACAAAAGATCATGTTGATGAGACAAACGCTTTTGTTTGACACTTTAATCATACTCAATTAAAAAAAAACCTCCCTTCATTTGAGTTGCAAATGCTGCTTGAGTATTTTTAAAGCAGCAATAGAGTGGGATCAAATCTGTGATGCATATATGTGATAAAGCATGAGTGAGAAATGAAGGAGGAGAACAGGGCTTATGTAAAAGACTTAAACAGCATCGGCTGCAACAATACACTGAATATAATAAAACATTTAACTGAGTTTTAACATTAAAACTCAGATCTTCCTGTGAAGAATGGCAATATTCTGCATGTGGTTTTAATCTAGCACGGCACTAGGGATGGCAATGGCGGTTGAGCCATGATTTTGCTTCAGACTGAAATATCTAAACTATTAGATGAATGTAAATGAATAAATTCTGTACAGACATTAACAGTCCTTCAGCTAATAATGTTGACATCTTTTGTGATCCCTTGACTTTTCATCTAGCGCCACTATGAGATTCACATCTGTAGTTTTTGAGGAAAATGTCTCGAACATCCTAAACTAATATGTCGAACATGGTGAACATGACTTAACATGTTTTATTTATGTATTTAATGTTTTATTTAATGTCTATTTGTTAAGGTCCAAACAGCATGTGCCCAATGCCAAATACCATGTCAGCATTTCAGCATCAGCACAGTGAGTATGTTAACATGCTGACAACATTAGCCTTTAGTCCTGATCACGGTCCTGTGAGACCCCTGGGCACATTAGAAGTCTTGGGCCACGGGCGGCCTGAGGCTTCGAGGCACCCTGGCAGTCCAAGGCCCAGGGGCCCACTGGCCTGGTCCGTAATCCAGCCTTGCATTTAGCTAAAACACCACTGTGAATAAGTGAACAGCACATAGCTACTATCATGTACACTTTCAGTGTTGTTTCTTCATAATTTTATCATTTAAAAGACCAGTGTGTATGATTCAGTGGCATCTAGCAGTGAAGTTGCAGATTAAACAAACAAAACCAGCTCACCTTGCATGTCAGTTCGTAATGGCAGACTCTGTAAAAGAAGACCCACTCTCTCTGTTCTCATTCTAAGGTAATAAAAACATAACAAGGAATGAAAACTTGAATATTATATCTCATTTCTGTCCTCTCAAATACACACTTTAAAGGACCCCTTTTCTGTTAAATAGCTGTGCTGAGTAACACTGCGAAACTACTGAGACTTTCCTAAAACAAATGCATTGTTCAGATGCTGATTCATAGGCTTTTCCACCCCTGCGAAGACAGAATTAGATCTGGGGTAAAACAATGAAGCTTTGTGTTGAAAACAGAAAAAATTTAAGATACTGAATATTATACAAAATGCTGTTCATCCACAGTACAAAATATCAGTTACCAGCCTTCAGAAGCCAAAGCCAATAGCACGTTTGGCTTGGCTGGCACTTCAGGAACGAGCTGACAATGGCTGTCCAGTGTGACAGTATCAACAGTACCTGGCCATCTGCTTCTCAGCATCACACTCCCCCTAGTCCAACACTCTGAGAGCCAAAAACCTACAGCTCTGACGTCAACACAGCACATACTGTACAGATTTATAACACAGATCTATCACACGTTCATGAATAATGTGATTTAGGGGGAAGGAATCATTATTGAAAGTACCAGCAGAGATTATTACTGTAAATCTGAATTATGTTTTTAGGAAATAATTCATCTGGGAGGAAGATGTTTTCAAAGATTAAGTGTCAAGTGTTTGTCAAGCACAGTATCATAAAACTGATATATTCTTTTAACCAAAGCAACGGGAGCTTCACTTGAGAGTTGTTTGAGCTGTGTGGGATCTGTGGTGTAAGAACAGCCATTTCTTTCATCCTCCACACAGCAGAAGATGGATGGCCAATGACCAGCGCTTCAGGCGTTTTCAATTGGCCCATTGCACATTGCCTGCATGTGTTCACTTACTGCATTGCTCTAAAAAACATTTTCCTTTTTCAGTAGTCTCCTTGACCCAGAAAACACACACACACTGCTCTACCAAACTCACGCCCTCCTTATCTTCCGGGGAGACTTTAGCAGCAGTGCAAATTCAAGTGGAAGGGGTGAGCGCAAGTTTAGGCTGTAAAACAACCTATTTTTTCATGCATGCATGAGAAGAAGAAGAGTTTTGAGTCTACTATGGTGAAGGTAGCCACACATTAATGAACAGCTCTCAGTAAATTAACCATAGCGAGCTTTTATCGTCGCCTCATTTCAGGTGCTGCGACTGCTCCTAACAGGACTTGAGGTGAGCTGAGACTCCACAAAGAGGGAATGTCTGGTTATAAGTGCTGATATGAGCTTTGATGTTCACTACTCCACATTCCCCAGCTTATGCTGGAGGTGCTGTCCCATATTAGCCCATCCTGCCTGTGATCTGACAGGGAAAGGGAGAGCTCGCTGCATGGATGCATTATTCATTACTGAGCCTGACTCAAAGCATCTTGTGCTTTCAGAGGAACTCTAGTCCCAGTAGGAAAAAAGAATATTTCAGTTCCATATGAACTTTGTGTATACCATCCATCCTGAGTGGAGCTAAATATTACAGCAATTGAACAGCATTGAAACATATGTTTCGTGTTTTCCTCACAGAATTATGGTGTCATTTCTCAGGACGATTTACTATTTATTGACCATCTTATTCCATGTTTTAATGTTATATTATTATAAGTGTCATTATTGTCTTTTATATTTTATCCTGACTTCATTCATTTGAATTCATGTATTATGCAATCTGTAAAGCACTTTAAACTGCCACTGTGTATGAAATGACCTTACCTTAATATAATGTACAACTATACAATGAAACAACACACACACTCCAGAACAGCTACTAAACAGACCTTGTAATAAGATTTTATAAACTTTTGTTTCCAAGGTCAAGACTAAACTCAGAGTAAGACTAAAGTAAGCTCAGAAAAATCAAAAATCATCTGCTGAGGACAATTGTCTGATACCATCAAAAGCTCTAAAAAAAAACAACTACTAAATGGACCTTGTGGCAAGATTGTTTGGTCAAATTAATAGTTGTTTTTATCTTCATTATCAAAAATGTCATCATTATGTGGCACAATGTGACAATTTTTAGTTATACAATAATTATTCAATTGTACGGTACAAAGCTACTAAGTGGACCTTATGGTTAAATTGTCGGGTCAACTACAATTATCTTTATTTTTATTATTAAGTTATGAGAAAATAAAATATGATTTGGAGGGTCTTTTCTTGTTTCTTGCCTAAACTTTCAATTTAACTAAGAATGATTGTGTTGACTGAGTTTCATTTCGCCTAAAACATTTTAAAAACTATGTAAAGTTATAAAAGAGAAAGAATTATTTTCATGATCCTAAAAAAAATTGTTTGAAAACTTGAATATTTTAGTTCCACGTGAACTTAGTGTGTAACATCATGAGCAATAGAATAAAATAACAGCGTATTCAATCTCTGTATTTCATTTTTCCGGATAATAATGAATATAATCATATAAAACCACCTAAAACTTCAGAACAGCTACTAAATGAAAAACTGTTGTAAAATTGTTTCAAAGGTCAAGGACGAACTTTTAATCTCACTATTTTTTTTAAATTAATGAAAAGTGAAATTTTAAATTCTATAAATCTATCTTTCCATAAAAAACATTTACAGAGGAAGATTGGGTGTCACAATGGTAAGCTTTTTTGGAGAGTTTCTTCTTCTCTTTCTTACTTAAATATTAAGTTTGCTTGATTATTAATGTGTTGACTGAGTTTCATGACCATAAAGTCTTAAAAAAAAGATATAAAAAAACAGCAACAACATAAAGTCTCTGTGAGGAAAACAACCTCGAACAAACCTTTAAACTGCTGTTCGCAAACCCCTGAGCGTAGCTGAAAGGCAATTCAACATCTGTGTTTTCCTGGATAATACTGAACGTACTGTACACGATTATACAATAAAATGCAAAAGAAAGCTTAAGAGCAGCTGCTGGTCTTATATTTATGTTGCATGTATTAGTGAATAGAAAGAATTAATTTTCAATCTCAACCAACATGAATGAGAAGTCCTCAGTGCTCAGAGAGATGGACAATGGACTGGGCAACCTCTATCTGTTGAGGATGATACATAATATGATTCAAAGCTCTACAACAGCTACTAAATGGACCTTGTGAGGTTGTTGAGGTGGATATTGTGATTGTCAACTGTAATTATCTTCACCAGTGTCAATCCACGTGGCACAAATAACCAATGTTGTGAAAAAATGGGAAAAGTTAGTTTTTTTCTGCTCTTATTTTCACTTTCAGGCTGTGTGACCATTATAGTGTTATAAAGTTTCATGGCAAACAATATTTTTCTAAAAAGCACTAAGAGAAAGAATTCTTTTCATCATTCTTCTTAAAAAAACTTTTTCAACCCCCAAAAAAACAAAAACATGAGAGACAAAGCAACAAAAAAATAACCCCCATGGGAAAACAATCTCTAACAAACCTGCCAATTAGGAGAAACTCTCCTGCTACTCCGAGCCTTCTCATGGCCATCAGCAGCCCTCGGACTGTCATGCCTTCACAGAAGCAGACAACAACTCGGGCTTTAGGCAGACGCTCGCGCAGCTTCCTCAGCAGCCTGTCAAAGTGCTTCTCCCCGGCGTTGCTGTAGATCTTGTCAGAGTGGGCGATGCAGAGGCCGTCCTGTGCGGCGAGCTCTTTGAACACTTCCATCCCACTCTCCCCGTAGTTACCTGAGAAAGACAACAGGAGCTGTGAGTTTCATTCACAGGAGAGAAGGAAATAATCAATGGGTTTTGATTCACAGCTTCACTCAGATGTCTTTAAATGTCGAACACTGTCTTTTTTTCTGACTAAAACTGTTCAGGGAATCTCTTCCTTTAGCCTTTAAGTGGTCCGTTACGTCCCCAGACGTCTTTTTATGGAATCAAGAGCAGTACAACTAGAGCAAGCAGGGTTAAGGTGACCTCAACAACTGTATCTGAGGACGAGGAGAGCACTTTTAGGTTACACTGTCACTGATAAACCCAAGAAATGATTACAAAAAGCTTCAATATTTAGGCTCTCTGCTTCCAAAACTTACAATACATAGAGCTTATTCATTTTATTGCCAGAACAACATACAGATCTTCATCTCAGTAAACAAAGATGGCTTGCCAGGTTTTGATTGGATTTTTATCAGCTTATCACAAACTTGACTCAAATCCCCTCAGTGGAAATACAGATGAGACTACAACAGCTGGTTTATGGGTATTTCAGGTACTGTATGCATATCACAGTTTGCTCTGTGGGTGGAATCTTAATTATTATAATCTGTTTTATAATTTATATGCTTTTACAGGCTTATAAAAAGCAGTACATCACCTGTTATGTTATGTAAGATCTGTTGAAAAGTAATCTAAAAGTGGGAGGATGTGTATGAGCTTTGGTCTGTCAGCCTGGACTGATAATTGACTATAAAATAGAACTTCAGTATCTTCTAGATCTGCATCACATAGAATAAATATTTGTATGCAGATCAAATACAGGTTGCAGCAAGAGCTGGAACTAGTGATTATTTTCATTCAGTTTCTTCAGTAACTGATTAATTGTTTTGTCTATACAATGTCAGGAAATAAGATTTCCATCACAATTTAACTCATGATAACATCTTTCTTCTTTGTCCATCCAACAAACAATTTTTTGTTTGTTATCATATAACACAGAAAAAAGCAGCAAATCCGTCCATTTCAGAGGCTGAAAGCAGAGAATGTTACTATTGCTCAAACAGTAAATCAATCATCAAAACTGTTGCAGATTAATTATGTGTCGACTAACGGTTTGATTAATCAACTAACTGTTTCCATCTCCAGTTGCAACAGTGGCTGACACCTGCAGGAGCAACAAATCAAGACTCCTGCGGGCAATACTGAGGAAGAAAAGAAAAGAAAGTAATTTTGTGTCTTGTTAATATACAATTGGTGTTTATGGCCCTCACAAACGAGCATTAAAAACATAATTTTCTCCCTCCTCCTCTGAAACGGCCCTCTGTTTATACTAATATCATGTAGATGAGCCTCACAAATGAGACCACAACTGTCTGCAGCCACCTGCTGTTAGAGGAGCAGTCCACATATGTCATTCACAGGATAAAACAACACGTACGACATTGCAGCAGCATTGATTAAATCAGTGCTAAGCTAGCAGAGACGGTGGAGAGCTCCTGCCTCTGTGCTACAGGAGTTTCTAAGATGGACCTCATTTCCTCCTTGTCTTTAATTTGTCCTCCTGTTGCCTCAACGAGAGACAAAAGCGCTAAGAAGACAGAACTGTTGACAAATGATGAAAAAATGCTAATGCCTTGCATCATGGGAGATGTAGGATCCAGTGTTTTGGAGCTTGACCCATACCAGCAAACCAGAGCTGTACACACATTGTGTGGTGGTGTTTTGTTGTGTGTGTGTGTGTGTGTGTGTGTGTGTGTGTGTGTGTGTGTGTGTGTATTTTATTGTATTTTCATATCTGTTTTATGATTCTTAAAGCTGCACATTTTAATTAAAGTTGAAAATTTTTACTAGCTCTAAACTTTCCGTGCAGCACATCAGTTTCACGCTTTGTATTGAAACTATGTTAAATTGAATTTGTGCCTGTCAAATAAATGAAGGATGATAACTGCTCCGCTCGGCTGAATCTTTGCTGAGGAGCTGGAAGCGTCAAAGTGTGCAAAGTGAAGATTTCTGCACACTTAGATCAATTTAATATATCACTTTATTGTTTTTAATGTGAGTAATACTGCAATCCAAGATGTTTTCATATCTATATTCCTTATGTAGAATTTAGGGTCTGAGGTTCTCAATGGCCTTCGCCTGAATGCTCTGAGATGTTTGTGGTCTCTGGGGATCTCTGATTTATTGACAGCTCTAGTCTGATTCATTTCAAAGCCCCATTTACTATGTGATAAAATGATAAGGTGCTTCCTGTTTTTACATGTTTTTTCCCTCCATTTTCTGTGTTTCTTTGTGTTTTGTTATGGCTTCAGTTTGTATGCCTCACAGGATTTGGAAGCTACATTTCCAAAGAGGTGGAGCTTTCTGCCACCAAGGGGGAACACGGGTGTTTTTCAAACTGCCAATGATAAAGACCTGCATGTCCATTGTTGTATTTTATATAATCTGATGAAGGTCAGATAGACTGAGAACCTATCAAATAACTCAAATTCAAAATTCAGAACATCTCTGCCTTTTCCCTCTATTAATCTGTCTCTCGTGAGTCTGCCAGCTTTATATAAGTGCAATAAATCACTGGAGTATCTCTTTATGAGAAATCTTACCCTCTGTGTGCACTGCAGACACATAGGTCCAGTTGTATCGTTTGACGATGTCCAGGAGGGCCCTGGCCTGAAGAGTGTCTGACGGCACAACCCTGAGGAAGTACTTGAATAAAGTCTTGTCACTGAGGTCAATACTGGTTGCAGAATAGGCAATCTGTGGGATGTTGAACAGCTGCAGGAGGTTCTGAACTTGAATCGCAACCGAGCTCGAGCCGGGCCCGATCACCCCTGCGATGGGCTTCTTGGTCGGTGGCGGCTGACTGGAAGGTGCCCCCTCGATGCACCACCTGGAGCCGTCACTGTCGTCCCGGATTGAGATGAGAGAGTCTCGTATGAACTCGATGCTCTGCTCCAGAGCCACCGAGGAGTGCCAGCAGGAGTCCCTGATCTCGCAGCCCAGGCTGATGTTGGGCAACAGGTTTGGGTCCGAGTTAATCCGATCCAAGGCGTGGAACATGGCCTCCACTCTTTGGATGCCGTACTGCTCACGGACCTCTCCACATTTCCTGTCTGCCACCTTCTCAGCGGATGGTTGGTGGTGAACAGAGAAGAGGGCGCCGATTATAATATCCCCGTCCATCCTGGCCACCAGGCGAGAGGCAGAACTCGGCACCACTGACCTCTCATACTTGCCTTTAGACAACACAAATGCCTCGAACAGTAAGACAGGCAGGTACAAAATGCTTATGGCAGTCAGGTAAATCATATTCGACATTGTGCCACAGGTGCTGAGTGTAGAATCATGTCCACTTGGCCATAATGGAGGTCCATCAATCCACTTTTGGATGGAATTAACTCAGCTGCTCCTCCTTCACTGTTGTCTCCCTGTGTGTGAGACACGGAGCATTAATTCCATTTTTTATTAAAGCATCAAATCTTTTCCCAGGTTGAAGCCTCTCAAATGTGAAGATTTGATGCTTTTCTTTGTCTTATATGATAGTAAACTTTCTGACTGGCAAAAAAATGTCACATTCAGCTCAAGGAAATAGTGTAATAGGCATTTTCTGAGATCTTACTGGCAACACAATTAATTAAATAATCGAGAAAATAATCTGCAGATGAATCAATAATGAAAATAATCGATAATTGTAGCCCTACATGTACAATCATTTCTCAACTGTTGTTTCATGAAAGACTTAATACATCCCCTAAACTTCTTTTATTACAAACAGACATAAAAGGTGCACCAAAAACATGCAGAAAGGCAAAGTTATTGGAGTCCTGTTGCAATGAAACGTGCACTAACCTCACAGCATCAGCATGCTGATCATACATGACAAGCTTTCAGGACACTAAATGCTCAGTCTGAGAGATAGAAAGTTATCTGCACGACGGGGAAACCTTTTGAGTTTCAGCACCACGGACAGCTGCTCAGCTGATTTCGCTCATTCAAGCTGATTTCAACCTGCGACTGTTTCTTCAACTTTTACCCCTGAAAGCATCACACAGCCGCTGGAGATGTGCTCTATTAATCCTCCTTTTTGTAGCGTCTGACAGCCGACTCTGGCTCTCTCTCTCTCTCTAGTCGAGGCTCTACAGCGGTGTCATTTACAGGACATTTTCCAACATCGTCACCTATACATGCATCCCAGTTACAGGGTGAAGCTTAATTAACAGAGCAGGGCTGAATGTTCGAGCATGTAAAAGGGAGGGAAACGCTCCCATATTCACTCAGGATGCTGTGTCTGCGAAAGCATCACGTCTGATAACTGAGATTACTTTACCTACCTGCACCAGGCAGTTCGGGGCATAGCGGGTCTTGTATCTCCTGAAGCAGCCAGACTGGACTCTTCTGCCGAGAAAACACAGTGCAACTGATTCTCTCTATGTGTGTGTGTGTGTGTGTGTGTGTGTGTGTCTCCCTCTCTCTCTGCACTGATCATGAGGTGCCCCCTTCTTCTCCTCTTCCTCACTGCATCTTGTAAGCGGGTCACACTCACTGCAGTGCCCCTGATTTGAAGCCACAGTTCTTACTCATCGGTGAGGATGTTTCAGACAATGTGTCATCGATTACTGGCGTTTTTTGGGAGACTATTCAAGTCCATATGGGGGGAAATGTGGGTATTTTAGAAAAGATGGTAACCTGAGAAGCCAAGATAAATATACTAAATCTGATATGTGAAGAGGAATATTATTTATTCTACTAATGAAAACTGTAAAGAGACTGGTCGAACTTCATATAATAAGTGCTGCTGCGTAGTGCCTGTCTGTGACAGATGTGTTATGCACCTGCAATTCACTGCTGCAGCCGTGAGAAGATCACTCTCTGCTGCCACCGTGTGGCGGATATACGGTACTGCGCCTGCGCCACAACTGTTAAATAAAACTTTATTCGACAATAGAAATAAACACTGTTGTTAAAGCTGTTGTTAGGTCACAAAATGAGCTTCCCAGGACTAAACTATTCAAATTCAAAAGAATTGTTAAATATTATTCAGCTGCAGAAACTAAATATTTCTTCCACTTTTGATTTTGTGTGTTTTTATTTATTCTGTTATTTTCATTTGCCCCACCATTGGGTCTCAATTTATAATTGACTCATTATACAATAATTAGCCTAATTTACAATAATTTTAAGTCGACACTTTAAGTGTAAACCCGTTTTATTTTACTATATCTACCCATTTATGTACTTAGTTTTGTTTTATGGTTGTTCTACCCTTGCCTGTATAATCTGTAGGAATGAATTGTGACTGGTTCCACTAGGATTTTGTACAGCAAGGTTGAATAATATAAAGTTCTTTAAAAAAATGAAAAAGAATCATCATTGTAAAAAAATAAAAACATGAGTAGCAGTATATATAAGGTACGTACTTCATTATTCAATTATTACCACTGTTTATCTGTATATGTGAAATAAATACAAAACTCAATAAAAATGTGGAAATTTAGAAATAATCGGAGAAATTAAAATCAATTAAGGAAAATATATTTAAAGCACTGACAGTATATATAATTTATTTTTTTATTTTTTAAATATTTTTTATAGTATAAAAATAATCATTAAAATGTGAATAATATAAGACCTACACAAAATGTGCCCTGAAAAAACATATAAATTAAAAACATTTACTACTTATATTTACAAATTAGTAAAAAAAAAAAAAAAAGTAGAAAAATAAAAGCCGAAGCAAGCATTGGCCATTTCCGCCTGTTCGGACGTCACTTCCTGTATTTAAAAATGGCGAACAGCAACATTTGAAGTAAATGAAGTGTGTTTTGGTGCACGTAAAGCCGATTATTTGCAGCTGCCGGGACGTGAAACGACTTCTGATGCAGCGATAAAAAGCAGACGGGTTTGCGGGAGCCGCTGAAAGTAAATGTTCCTGTTTTTATCCTTTTGTTCGCGGTCAAACGATGAAGAATAAAATTTAAAAAAAATACGTGTTTTTCATTGTGTAACGTTAACTGTGTTCGTTCCTGCTTGCCTGTTTCCGCGGATAAAATAAAAGCAGCACGTTTTAAGAGTCATTTGTTTAACTGGCTTTAAATATGAGCCTTGCAAACTGAGATAAACGCAGAAGATACTGTAACGTTACACAGTAATGCACCTGAGTTACTGCAGATGCACAAACAGGGACATTAGCTGGTGCTGAAACAGTTTTATCTGCCTTATATTCAGACATACTACCTGAACTAGTCTCTGATATAGAAGATGGTAAATTCCCTGTTGGTACAAAGGGGCTAAAAGCTCAGTTGAATGAGGTTAAATAGTTAATATTTAACATTTTATTCTGTCTGGGTAGCTATTTAATTTAAAATACAAATATTGTTCTGTTGTCTTAAACAATATAATAATTCTTATTGACATTTCTTTTCTCTTGTCTTTATTTGCACATTTGGTGTTGAGGTAATCAAGTTACGTTACTTTATAATTGTAATACTTTGATTAGGTTACTAACTAACTACATTTTTTTTAACAGGTAATTGATAATTGTATCAGATTACATTTTTAAAGTAACCCTGGATACAAGGTAATGTAATAGTCATATTACAACGCAGGGTTTTATAATGAAATTCAGGTTGTATTTCCCTTTATGCTGCTCAGACAAACAAAAAAATATATATATATTCGAAAATGTTACAGTAAAATTGATTTAATAAATTATAACAGTGCTTACAATTGAAGAAGGCTCACAGCTGAAGCTAAAGGGAAGAAGCTGATCTTCAGTCTGGTGGAACAACAGCAGAAGCTCCTGTACCTCTTTCCAGATGTAATCAGGAGGGTGGGGGCTGTCCTTAAGTATCCTTCGGGCTCTACGCCGGCACCCCACCGCACCAATATCACTGATTCAGTACTAGTGTGGTTTTAATTATTTTGGTGTTAAAAAGGAACTAATTTGGGCAAATATTTGATATAGAAAAGAAAATGCTACTGATTTAAATTCACTCTTTTAATTTACACTTTTCCTTTGCTTGTAGAATTTAACCATGAGTAGCCGAAGAAAGAGGGCCCCTCCTGTGAGGGTGGACGAAGAAGACAAGAAGAGGTTGAACTGGAACATGCTGGATGACCGCAAGAACGAGGTTATCCAGGGAGACGACCAGATACCAACCTGCTCCATTCTTCCCGTCGACCCTACTCCCAGCGGCTCCTTTCTCTCGGCCACCGAGGACGTTACCGAGGCTGCCTGTACCAGCTCTGTCCGGTTTACAGAGGAACTTCCTGGTACGTCGTCAGACAGCAGCGCTTCCTCCGCCTCCCTGGCCCTCACTGTGGAGCCAGCTTTGAAGCTGGGCCACATCTGGAAGGCGCTCATTGGGGAGTTCACCGTGCGGCCAGCTTGGATCCCATCTGACTCTGAACAGAGAGCTTTCATCCTCCACAGGATGGGCGATCAGCTCTGCCTCAGTTACAGCAGCTGTGATGAGAGCTCGGGACAGCAGTGGAAGCCCGATGGGGACACTTGCACTGTGGAGTGCAGCCTCACTGTGATCCCGCTGGAGGACCTCGACTGGATGCAGAAGAGGAGGGTGGTGCAGCTCTGCCACCAGGAGAAAGAGGGGTCAGTCAAGGTATGAAGGAAAAGAGAGGATAGCATAAAACATATGATCTCAACAAGTATTTCTCTTTCTTTAATGTTTAGATTTATCATCAGAAAGCCAGATAAACTGATGGTTAACTGCAGGTGTGTTTATGGTAATGTTGTGTGTGTGTGTGTGTGTGTGTGTGTGTGTGTGTGTGTGTGTGTGTGTGTAGGATGTTGCAATACCAATAATGGAAAACAAGGCTGCATATTTATATGTACAATATTGTCATAGTTCTAGTCCACTACATTTCATAAATATCAATACGGCCTGAACTTTATTATATAGTATTTTAAAAATATGACTCTCTGCTTAGCCACAGTATGTAGCTTTAATACTGCTAGTCAACTAGTAGAAACAAGGCAAATTTGAAATATTACAGTATATGCAATTACTGTTAAGACTGCATTTGGCTGAACTTGTGGTGTGTTTATTAATTAAACATTTTGCTATTATATTTTACATTTATAGGTATTCTTTTTAGAGAATTGACAGTAGATGATTCACATGACATGAGAGAGAGAGAGCGAGCAAGAGAGTGAGGTGGGTCATGCCATTAAGGTCCAGATCTGGACCTGAACAAGGGATGTTATGAACACGGACAGCGCCTCAGGCCTCTAGGCCACCAAACAACAGAGTACTGGTTTATCCTCTCAAACGTTGTCTCAAGCAGCCACATCCACTGGCATACTCTCTGGTTGGATGGCGAACAGCTGAAGTTGTTTTACGGTGTTAATCAGCTGTTGTTTGTCTGCATCTGGCAGGTGGGGATTTACTTGCTGGAAGCTGGGCTCGGGAAGCCTGAATTTCTCAGCGAAGGAAATGCTCGGCTAAAGAAAGCAAATCAACTAATGCAGAAGCTGATGGAGTATTATTACGATTTCATTATCCCTGGTGAGTGTCTGGTCCTAATCTCTAATGCGTGATGTAATCCAAGTTCTCAAACACCATAACAGCCTCAACATTACATTTAATGTAAAGCAACGTGGGACACAAAATGTCTGGACAAAATAGATTTCTCTGCTGTATTTTCCATGTAGAAGTTGTAGACAATGAGGAGGAGGAATGTGACACCGACCTGGAGAGGCAAAATGTTGAGGAGCTCTACGATTACGTCAGGCATCTGCACCAGAGAGAGAGCCGGGAGGTGACCTACGACGTCCAGCACAAAGCTCTTGTTCCTGTTCTCAGACCCTATCAGAGACAGGCCGTCAACTGGATGCTGAGGAGAGAGAAAACCAGGAACACTTCACCTAAAGGTACTCACTTTTTGTCTGATACACCTGTACATCACTTCCTTGCTGCACTCTTGACAGGAGAGGGGGCTGTACCAGTGGCTTTGCATTTAACTACAAAACTTAATTTGATCAACGTTATCAACCATTCTCTAATGTGCAACTTACATTGTATACTTATGAGGTCTATGAGAGCAGACTGTCTTGCTGTGTGTGTTTGCTGTGTTGCAAATGAGCATGTGTGTTGCATTTCTTTAGCATAAAACTGGAACCTGGAACTTTTAGTAGCATTTCCAGAGTAGTGCTGAGATTGAGTGAGATTGTCAATGTTTATCATTTATTTGCAGAACAATTGCTGCATTTCCTCTGGCGTGAGTTGATCGCTTTGTGTGGCAAGAAGTTGTTCTACAACCCTTTTACCGGCTGGTAAGAACTTGAATGTTAACAGGTCAGTTCACTTAAATCACAAAAGCATATTTTGTGTTTTACCACCAGTGCTATCTACCCAAAAGTCTGCTGCCACCACTATGCAGCTGGGATGAATAAAATGTCTTTATGGTGATTAAAACATTAAAAAAAGGCATTTTAAAAACTCAAAAGCAATGTGTCTTTCCAGAGAAAATGTCCAGAGCACATAAAAGCAAAACCTATTTGCATGGCTTGATACCAGTAAAGGCAACTGGGATAATATGTTTTTTTGAATTTGGCTGAACTGACCCTTTAATTTGACATTTTGGTGTCCGTATGTGGATGCACAGTTACATTTTGTCGTTTTTTTTTAGTGCTAAATTAAAGTATTTTTGGTTTTCAGCGGTTTTATTTATTTATTTTATTTTTCAGCTTAATCCGAGAATTTCCCCTGGCGGGTGTAGAGTGGCCTGGTGGGATATTGGCTGATGAAATGGGGCTGGGAAAGACGGTGGAAGTTCTGGCTCTTATCCTATTTCACACTCGACAGGACCTGGAGCAGGAGGCCCTTAGCCTGCCTGTGGTGAGGATCAGTAGGCAGCTACAGCTAAAAATACAGAATATCACCTTTTTCTTCCCTTCTTTGTCTCTCTTTTAACCTTCACCCTATTTGTGTTGTGGATGATAATTAACAGTGATAGGAATATTTGTATAATGTTCTGCATAGAAGGCATCAGCTACATTGTGAAAGTGTGAATTTTTTAATCTCTTTTCGTCTTGCAGGGAAAATCCGTAAATTACTTCGTACCTCCTCCTCCCCTTGAAAGAAAGAAAGTTATCCGCTGCAAGTCTGAAGTTCAGCCTAAAATTAAAATATCCTACCCAAGTATGTCACTCACCATCCTCTTAGACATCCCCTCTTTTATTGTAACTGCAGTTTAAATAATAATGTTTTGCATTATTTTTGTGCAGCTGTGCGTATCATGCTCCTCACTGCAATCAAGGAGATGAGATCTGGCAAAGGAGCCTCCGTCAACGCCATCTTCACCTACATTCGTGCCACCTACGGTTATGACCTCTTAAAAAACCGCAACCACATCCGGAAGACTCTGGTGAAGCTGATAGACGAAGGCCTGGTTGACCGGGTGAAAGGTCGAGGCTTGGCGGGGTCATTTAAGCTGGGGAAGAACTACAAAGAAACAAAGAAGATGTTAGCAGGAGCATCCAAGTTTGTAAGAATAAAGAACTTCAAATATAAATGTTTTAAGCTTCAAATATTACTTTGTTGTATTGTCTAACTTTTGTCTGATTTCTTTTTTGTTAGAATTCCAAAAACACAGAGAGCACACCAAGGAGGATGTTTCAGAGACGAGCAAAAGAAAAGGCAGAAGCAGCTCTGCAAAACTCCCTTACAGAAGATCAAATAGATCTGTACTCACCTACATCTGACTGTCTAGCACCAGAGGAAACAGAAACCAAGGAATGGGATGAAAGTCTGAATGCGAAAGCGGATCAGTCAGACGACATGCAGGATACATCCACAACATCCTCACAGGTGTCTCAGGATAAATGTGAGTCAGACACACAGGACATGCCCAGAATGGATGATCCTCCTGAAGAAAGGAGAGAAGCTGCTCAGCTTGATTCACACGAGGAGACAGAAACCCCCACCAGGGCGTCTGTTTTCCCTTTCAACACCCCAGACTACCGCTTTGAGTGTATCTGTGGTGAACTGGGCATCATTGACTACAAGGCTCGCGTGCAGTGTATGAACTGCCAGCTGTGGCAGCACGCAGACTGTGTAAACTATAAAGAAGAAAGCCTCGAAACTACACCTTTCTACTGCCCTCACTGCCTGGTCGCCATGAAGCCTGTCTCCACCGGTGCCACCCTCATCATCTCGCCGAGCTCCATCTGCCACCAGTGGGTGGAGGAGATCAACCGGCACATCAGGTCCTCCTCGCTGCGAGTGCTGGTGAGAAATATGAGTTTGTTGGTGGTAGATGTTTAGGTAGAAATGTCACATAGACCATCTCAGCAATCCTAAAGGGCCTTGACAGAGAACAACATCTCTGCACACTAGCTCAAGTTTGGAAAATGTCATTACTTTGTGTGGTGGGTGTACAGAAGTAATTGGTATATTCTAAACAACATTGAAATGCAGTGTCAGTTGTCATAACTACTGGCAATCAATCTTCAACTTGTGTGTTCTGCTGAGCCTGATAAGAGTTGAGATTACAGTCACACGTTGAAAGATAACATTACTAACATGCAGCCCTTTATCTCAAGTGTTAGTTTTACATGAGTAAGGCAGATAAGTGTGATGATATGTCTGTGTTTACGTGCCATTTGTTGCAGCTGTTATGACTCTACACACAGTCAGTACATTTAATTCCAAGACCATAAACCAAATGTTAATAAGAATATAAATCTACTGCAAATGTTTCCTTCCCTTGTCTGTTACCCTGTCTGCTGAAGAGGTTTCTCAGGGCTTCCTAAATAGCACACACTAACAAAACTGTTGAGCTTAAAGTACTCTGCTAATTAATGTGACCTCTTTATGTCAGGTTTATCAGGGTGTGAAGAAGCACGGATTCATCCAGCCACATATGCTGGCTGAGCAGGATGTGGTCATCACCACCTACGATGTGCTGCGGTCAGAGCTCAACTACGTCGACATTCCCCACAGTAACAGCAAGGATGGACGCCGCTTCCGCAACCAGAAGCGCTACATGGCCATACCCAGTCCTCTGGTGGCTGTGGAGTGGTGGCGAATCTGTCTGGACGAGGCTCAGATGGTTGAATGTCCCACTGCGAAGGTGAGTGGAAGGGAATCCAGAAATATAGAATCTTATTTCTATCTTAGAATAACATATAGATCCTGACCACACAGTTGGAAATGTGTGAATAAAATATTATTAATTTATAGGGTGTACTTAACATGTCAGACTATGTATTTAATACGTTTCTCCTTTGTTTGCTCCCTTTTATTTTCAGGCTGCAGAGATGGCTCTACGTCTCGCATCCGTCAACCGCTGGTGTGTCAGTGGCACTCCTGTCCAGAGAGGCTTAGAAGGTAATACCATTACATAGAAAACAAAATACCCCATTTATCAAAGTAGGCCTTGAATGAGAGGTTCTGTGATTGGTTTCTTAAGGCTTTTAACAATGTTTCAAAATCAAACACAATGAATCATCTCTGAACTGATGTTTCTTTTGTGTACAGATTTGTATGGCCTTGTACTTTTCCTGGGAGTTGACCCATACTGGGTTAAACACTGGTGGGAGCAACTGCTTTATCGCCCTTATCGACGTGGAAACACAGAGCCCCTGTACTATGTAATCGCTCAGGTATTGTGGCGATCAGCTAAAAAAGACGTCATTGATCAGGTAGGACAGCAAAAAGATCTGTATATCTTCAAACCTGTATGATAACATCATTTTATCTTGTAGTCAATGTTGCATTTCAGAATTTGTGCTCATTTTATAAAATGTAGTTCCAGTGTGTTTGATGATTTTGTCTCAAACTTTTCTAGATCCAAATTCCCCCTCAGACAGAGGAGGTGCACTGGCTTCACTTCTCCCCCGTCGAGGGACATTTTTACCACCGTCAACACGAGGTCTGCTCCCAGGACGCTCTGGTCAAACTCAGGAAGATCTCTGACTGGAGCCTGAAACTTGGCAGCCTCGACCGCCGCACAGTCCACACCATCCTGTGCCCTCTGCTGAGGCTGCGCCAGGCCTGCTGCCATCCACAGGCTGTGAGGGGGGAGTTCCTGCCTCTGCAGAAAAGGTAGATGACACTTGGCATTATGTTTTCAAGGCGCTTGTAAGCGAGAGGAGAGGTCTTTATCTTAGGGCAGCTGCGCCGGTTAATTAACAATCTTGCTCGACTAAATAGAGTATCACAGCATTAGCAACGGTAATAGACTGCGGCAACCTTTTTGTCAATTATACAGGCTGCATTTGTGTTTATTTAAAGTTGACCCATTCTGAGTAATTTGTATTGGAGGGTTTTTTGTTGAGAGGCTTTTATCTGTGTTGTGCCCCCCCCCTCTCCAGCACCATGACGATGGAGGAGCTCCTGAAGTCCCTGCAGAAGAAATGTCGAGTGGAGTGTGAAGAAGCTCACAGACAATTGGTGTGCGCACTCAATGGCCTGGCTGGAATCCACATCATCAGAAGTATAAATCCCCACTTCTGTACTTGTGCTCCCTCTGCTCCCAGTTTCCCATGGGAATCAGTTCAAACAAAACACAAGCCATGATCTCATCTTTGTCTCTCCCAACACTTTTTGTACAGAGATGTTTTGTTGCAGCGGGTCTCGATATATATAATGTGGTGTGTGTTGTACTGGGGTGGATTGTATAGCACGTCTCATTAACTCCACATGTGACGGACATATTGAGTGTCACCAATAACCGCTCTTTCCTTTGCCACCTGCAGATGAGTTTGTAGAGGCAGTAGAGATGTATAGAGAAGTGCTTCGTTCATCAGAGGAGCACAAAGGCAGACTGAAAACAGATTCATTACAGGTATATACCCTCATCCCATTCATGTCTTTTTCATGTGTCTGTGATTAACATATGAAGGAGTTCATTTCTAGTATCATAAGGCTTAAAATACAGCTTAAAGCCTCTTTAATTTATAAATTCTACTGACACTGATTCATGATGGACATCAGATTTAAATGTTTTTCAACCATAATGGTTTATATATTGTGAGTTTATATAAAAATGTCTGATTACTACACTGTTGTGGTAAAACAGAGGCTTCATGCTACCCACAATTTAATGGAACTGCTGAGCGCAAAGCATCCTGGGATACCTCCTACGCTGAGAGACGACCGACTAAGTGAGGAGGTAATTCATCTCAGTCAGAACACATTTATTCCAGTAACGATTTTGCTCGTTAATTTTGGTAATAAACGTGTGATTTTATTTTTTAACAACATCTTTTATCCCTCTGTGTCTCTGTAGGCGGAGCAGCTACGGCAGCACTACATGACCAAATACGACTCCGAGGTAGCAGACGCCCATCAGGGTCTACAGCCGGTACTGCAGAACATTAAAGAGCTGAAACGCAAAGTGAGAACTTCTTTTATATCTATATTGTGGCCATTTGTGCTCAAATTCAGATCTACTATTTGTTGAGTCTTTGACATAGCATAACAAAAGGTTTTTAATTTCCTGACCAGACTCACCCTGTATTAAGAAGCTAATAATGATAATTAATGATTAATGAGTTTGTTGTCTTGGGATGGTACTGTATAAATGCAGTTCTACAGGCTTTACTTCCTGTATTACCTTTTGTCGCAGTGCTCAGTAATAGTCAAACCTTATCACCGTTCGTAAATACTGTTTTTCTGATGTTATTTTGTATTGCTCATCTTGTGTTTTATTACCTATCATACCTGTGAGACTTTGCCTTGATCACTTTCTAATTTACTGAATGAGAGTAATAATTACTTCTGTTAATAGTTTGAGTCTAGAGAGGGCGTAAAATATAAATGTTTTGTCACACTGAAGTCAGATCTGTATTTGGAGTAATACTTTAATTAAGACTGAACCAAAAACTTATTTTCTTCATAAGTCAAACTCATCATGATCAAATTCTACAAGGTCATTTTTACACATAATTAAGATTGTCAAATATATTCAATTAGAAAGAAAGCTTAACATAATTAACTTTCTCTCTCAAGGTCAAGCTGAATTCTCCCTGGTGGCTCGATGTTATCCAGAAGGCGATCCGCTGCGCCAACGACGACGATTTGGTGTCCCGCGTCAAGAATGAGCTGACGTCCAGCTACAAACAACAAGGCCACAAGCTCTCTATGGCAGACAAGTAAACAGCTTGTTTAGTTAAAATGTTTAATAGAATAATAGTTAACACTTACACAAATGCTATAAATGCAAATGTGGACTCCTGCAGGTTCCGTGATGCTTGTGGTCTGCAGTTCCTGCTCACATCACAAATGCAAGATCTGATGAAATCCCAGAAGACTGTGCAAGATGCGGTGAAGAGTCTTGAAGGCCCGGCCTCAAAGAAAGTGATTGATGAGGTCACCATTTGTCACCTCAGGCCCATGAGACTGCCACTCAATAAGTAAGACTTCAGCATTTTTGATGTCATTTCAAGAATTTAAAATATGCAAATGTTACATTTCATCACTGCTTCTGAATGTGTTTCAGAAGCCTCAGCAACATGATAGTCTGCTTTTAAAATTTTGATAGTTCCTGTGTTTTTTTATTATAATTAATATTCCTCTCTTGTCATATTTTAGTTGTGTTTTTTGCAAAGCAGATGAACTTTTCACGGATTACGAGTCCAAGCTGTTTTCTCACACGTAAGTAGAGAAATGTTTCTAGACCTGCCAGACTTATCAATCACATTGCATGAAAACCTAAGTGTTGATTTATGAGGAAAATTCCCTGACAGGGTGAAGGGTCAGACAGCTATCTTCGAAGAAATGATCGAAGATGAGGATGGGCTGGTGGACGACCGTCTCCCCACCACCAGCCGAGGCCTGTGGGCAGCCAGTGAGACTGAGCGCACTCTGAAAGCCATCCTGTCCTTCGCCAAAGTGAAACGCATGGACCCGGAGCTGGTGGAGGAGGGCAACACTTTCATGGAGCTGTTTGAGAACTGGAAGAAAGAGTACAAGGTTTGTACACACACTTACAGCCCCTCTCTGGCTTTTTAAATAGGCTATGTATGAAGGCTTGCTTGAAGATGAGGAGTTTGAGTAACAACAGATTCCTTTCCAGCTATTAAAAAAGGCTTTACATCCTCCACTTCAGCATTAAAACTCAGGACTGTTTAAAGTGCCAATATTAATGAGAGAAACTGGAGTGAAAGCTAACACTGTCCCATCCTAGGTACTGCATGAGTACTGGATGGTGCTGAGGAATCACGTGTCAGCCATCGATGAGCTGGGTATGGCCACCGAGAGGCTACGCGTGCGTCTGCCTGATGAACCAAAGCCCAAACTGCTGCACATCATCGAGCCACATGAGGTGACAGTGAAACTTTACAACCCTCCAATCAGATGTGGAAAAACTCAAAACATGAAAACAAATGAAAGAGCAACAGAGGAGGGAAGCCTCTCTTGAAAACAGGAGAACATACTGTGCCATTAGGCCTGTAAAATCAATAAAACTGTTTTTGTTTATATACTTAATCTCCACTCCAGAACTGATTTGATTTGTAGGGTTTGTTTTACTTTAAAGACCATTCTCACACTAATGTTTAATGTACTGTGCAGCCTAGTGTTTCTTTATCTGTAGATCTCAACCCAAAACAGGGTCACACCACCATTTGATACACTTTGCAGCACAGTTACCCTGAAACAGAGTGTAGAAGTACAGAGACACAGAATGTACAGTCTGTACCTCTAGTCAACATAACCAGCTTCCACGGATGTAAGCTCTTAACTGAGTTTGGTTTTTATGAACATGTATGTAATTTGCTGGTTTGGTCCTAATTAATAAACTGCAGACCCATCACAGAGGAATTAAAAGCTCAAGTTTAGCCTCAGACCCAGTATTGTGCACAGTTGTTTTTCTTGTTGGTGAAAGTTTCCAAGAATGTAATATTCTGCCTTAACTATTTTTTACTGCATTCCTGACCTCTGCCCTCGGTTGTTTTGCTTCCAGGTGGAGCAGAACAGAGTGAAGCTTTTGAACGACCAAGCAGTGGCCAAGTCTCAACTTCAAAAGAAACTCGGCCAGTATCTGTATCTCACAAATCTGGAGAAGGTTATTTACATTTGATGGTTAACTACAAACCACACAAATTCTTTCCCAGCTCTTTCAGAGACTTTATTTTAAACTATGTGGTATGATCTCACTCCAGATAACATAAAATTCCTTTGTTCCAGTCCCAGGACAAGTCTACTGGAGGGCTGAACCCAGAGCCGTGTCCAATCTGTGCCCGGCCCCTGGGACAGGAGGTGAGCATTGTTCAGTCGATGGTCAATTTTAAATGTCTTATGCAAAATTGCTGCTCATCGACCATTGATGATACTCTGGTTGAGCTTTACAGCAAGCCAGGGAAACATTTTCTTTATGATAGTAATAACCTGATCCACCCAGGAAGTCAGCACGTGGAAGATTTTGCCCGACTGAGCTTTTAATTCCTGTCTTTGTACAGTGAATTCACATGTGTGACTTTGAAGTTGTATTTCTATTTATATTATGAAGAATAAATCCTCACTGCTTCTTCTGTGTTTTCTTTCAGCTAAAAACTCACCCTTTAAAACTGACTTTTAACTGACTTGAATGATTATAACTGATTGTTTACTGTTTAATCTTATTACTACCTCTCTGGCTCTTTATTTAAGCTTTTTATAACTGTGTAAAGAAAGGTACTCTGCAAATAAAGTCATATTTCCAGCACAAATCCCCAATAGTGTTTTCTTTTGTAGTCATCATTTCATCTCTCTCTCTTTTCCAGTGGGCAGTGCTGACCTGTGGCCACTGCTTCTGTAACGAGTGCATTGCTATCATCGTGGAGCAGTACAGTGTGGGCTCAAGGCGGCGAGCCATCAAGTGTGCTATTTGTAGGCAGACCACATCCCACACTGAGATCTCCTACGTGTTCACCACCCAGTCGTCCAGCCAGGACCAGGACATACCGGTCAAGGTCAGTCAGCAACACCATCCTCATGTAATAGATGAGAGCAGCCCATCTGGACCCTTGTGTCCTGCCCTCACCCCCTTGTGGGAGAAAGCAGTCTTCTAATTGCACTGGTGGAAAATGCATGTTTGTTGTTTTGGTAGTGTGTCCAATGTGACATTACTGTAAACTAATTATATCACTGTGGTAAAGCAGAAACACTGTCCCTATTTTCATAGCAGTTTGTGCTCATTAAGCAACCTTTTACTACGAGCCGAGAGAAGTCACTATATGCTGTTTACAAGGTTTGTTATTAGAAATTAGGTCAGCTCAAATTAGGCATGTTATTAAGGTTAAAATAACCACTGTATTTGCAGTGTTTGCAACATGTATACTGACTGGCTTGGATCCACTATTTACCATTTTCATCCTCTCTGCAGATGGCCTGAAGCTACAGATCACTTTTACTGTGCTTTGCTCTTATGGGAAATAAAGAAAATTGTAAACTGGGATTTTATTATTGGTGCAAAATGCAACGCGGCAGCTTTTAGGCACATTTACAGTGTTTGTTTCACCCCAAAAAGGGGAGTGATCGTTCTGAAGACAAGAAAGTTACTCAAGTATACAGCCCACATCTGGGCTTAATTGTCCAAAAGTTGTTAGATGTATTTTGTTGCTCACCTGAATGACTGAGATATTATGACTATAGATGTTACCATAATTAGCACTTATCAGGGGATTATACTTTGATCCTTGCCTTGTAATGTATGTAATTGTAATTTAAAACCTTTGGTTGGGCGATTTTCTATTAATTAACTCTGTAGCCTAATTTTCCTCTTCCTATGGTTGTCAGGGAAGCCACTCTACCAAAGTGGAGGCAGTAGTGAGAACACTAAAGAAGATTCAAGTGACCGACCCCGGGGCCAAGTGTCTTGTTTTCTCCACGGTAACAGTAAACTATCCGTGCCCCGTAAGATAGTGATTTATGTTGATGATATCGAGTTTGGATCTGACCCAGTTTGTTTCTTTTTCTCTCCTGCACAGTGGCTGAGTGTCTTGGACATTATTGCCAAGGCCTTGTTTGACAACAACATGGAGTTCTCTCAAATCAATGGGATTCACAAATTCCAGGTTTGAATCTTCATTATAGCCATTTATTTTTCCCTGCACTGTGATTTTCTTTCTTTATGTTCAATAAAGTTTTTGACCTCCAGGCACACTAAAACTGAAATCCAATGTCCAATATCGTATCTTTTGTCTTTTTGCCATCTCCTATAAACATTTCATGGAGATCCAATCCAAAATTTGTGCAATACCCTGCTGACATACAGACAGATGGACAAACAGAAAATATAAATACAAATAAAATGTAAACTCTTTACTAGAGATAAATATGCAGTCAGTGCAGCTTATTATTTTGAATGTTCCTCTCAAACTATCAAAATACTTAAAAGAATATGATCAGTGTGGACACTTTGTGCACATTGTGATCTTAATGTAGTTTCAGAGCATCCTCTGTAGTAAAGTTCAATTGAGTAAAAACCTATGAAAACCCTAGACCTACTTTCTAGATTGCTATATTGAAATTTATAAGAAATCCCTCACATCTTGTACTCGAACAACTTAAGTATGTGCCAAAAATGTAGAATCACTTTGTAGACAATGCTTGACTCAGGTATGGTTGTAACTAGTGTGTTGACTTCAATTTTCCAGGAGAATCTGTGCTCCTTTAAATACGAAGAAAAGATCAACATCCTCCTCCTTCCTCTCCACACCGGCTCCAATGGACTGAACATCATCGAAGCGACTCACGTGTTGCTGGTAGAGCCGATCCTCAACCCTGCTCACGAGCTCCAGGCCATAGGCAGAGTGCACCGGATCGGCCAAACCAAGTAAGACACGTTGATGTGTCGCTGTTTCGACCTACAATACACGCAATGAAAGTAACAGTGGCTACATTGCTGGCCACCTGCAGGCAATGAGTGTCACAGCTATTTAGGTTTTAAGACTTGTACCACATACATTGCCAATATTATTACTTTCCTTGCCTGTAGATGGTGCCATCTTTGTGATGGTGACATCTTCAGGTCAGCTGCTGCTGGCCCTCTCGTTTCATGCTGGTAGGTGTCACAGGTGTCTGTGACGTCACAGATGTCTTTGACACCCATCAGACTGCACTGCTATTAGTGCCAGATCCAAGATTTCATACTAACAGACAACAAAACATCATAAAATGTGGTTAATTACACTCTACTATTTTGTGCATTCTTTGTAATTTCTGTTTTCTGTCCACCAGGCCAACATTTGTTCACAGATTCTTAATCAAATCTACTATTGAAGAGAGAATGCAGGCAATGCTAAAGACAGCAGAGAAAAGGTGAGAGCCATAGAATATATTAAATTGTACTTTTGACATTTTTGTATTTAAACTGCATAGATTTAGTTAACTGAAAGGATTGATCAAACCTTTTCTAATTCTAGTCACACCAGCACGGCCATGAAGCACTCGGAGGCCGCCGTACTGACAGTAGCCGACCTGGCTGATCTATTCACTGAAGACACAGAACATCTGGAGTGAATGTGAACACCTGGATACACAAAGTGCAGAAGCTGCACAGGCAAATGGAGCTCACTCTTTTCACAGTGGTGATAGAAGAACTGATTTTGCACATTCAACTTTTTATATAAAGAAAACAAGTTATCAAATTCATTTCCAAACAGATATTTTAGCAGGTCACTGACAACAGACTATACCTTGTTTCTTAATTGTATTTAATTTAAGATTTTTAATCTCTTTGAATTTTTGTCTATTTGGCTCACTTGTTGTCATAGTTGTAACAACAACTACTTCAGCTGTTCAAGTACATGTTTGATGATCACATTGAACCAGACTGTACGGTATTGTTGCTTGTGTTAATCTGATATTACGTATATGCATTTATATATATGAATTTTACTGTAACTTCACAGTTGAAAACGGAGGAATACAGATGCTGTAATCACACTAGTGATTGAAGTATTCTCACAATTTTCAGGAAATAAAAGTCTGTCAATGACAGGGTTATCACCAGCTCTTTTTGTCTGGTGCTTCTCTTGTGGTTTATTTCTATGCAGTAAAAATGGAAGCAGGAAGGAAGCCATTGACCTTTACAGGAGCAAAAGAGAGATTTTCTTTGACCAGACAATCTTCTTTAAGCTATTTGTCTGCTAAAACAATGGTAGACAATTCAGCCTAACACTTACGGCTGTCTCATTTGCAAGACAAAAAAGCACAAGATTCAGTGTCTTGGAAACTAATCTTGTAAATTAAACTCATAAAAGTCAGAAAATGTGTTATACAATCTTTTTCTGATATTTTTCTGACATTACCACACATTGTCTGGACACGTTTAACAAATATGTGGCTCTTTTGTTACATTTCTCCTGTTTTAAACCTTTTTTAAATATGACGAAAATAGTCTTCCCTTTCTTGTGTTTGAAAGTATTTTGTGGTCCGTTCTACCACACATGCACACTCACAGGTCTTTGGCATCGTGACTGAATTGCCCTTGACTCGTAATGACTTTCTTTTCGCCTGACTGACTGGGATTCCCGCACCAGTAAAGATTTTAAAATGTCCAGACAAAGGATGTAGACAACAAAGAGTGCCAGCCCAGTGCTGTTGTTCCTCTTTACATGGTTACCAGACTTCTTGTTGCTCCTTGTAGTAAGAAACAGTTGTAAGATGTTTACTAAGAGGACATCACCGCAGTAGGCGGTAACATACGTGTTACCTTGGACTCCCCTCAGTTCCCCCTATTCATGTGCGGAATCTCATTGTTGGTGGGGACATCATTCAAGCTGGTGTTTTAAGGCCAGAGGGAGGCTCCCAGTTCATTAGAGCTGTGTTTCGAGGGCTGGAGTAAGAGAGGGGTACTACGTCTTGTGGTGACAGCAAGCTGTGGTGAAAAGTCCCCAGAAGATTCACAGAGTTTCGGGGAAAGGGCCAAAAGTTAGTGGAGAGGTTGAGCTCAGAGAAACCAGAGGGAGAGTCCTTGGAAGATGGCACCTGCCAGTTTGGTTTTTGCCTGGTTACTGTTCACCATGAGGATGGTCACCTCGGCAGTGTATCTGGAGCCTGAGGAGGAGGGTGAGCTCACACCTCACATCACACAACCAGGAGTCAAGGGTCAAACAAAAAGTTTTTATGGAAACTTTATTCCTTTAAGAAGTCATTAGGGAGTCATTTTTCATATTGACAATCATTGGTTTAACATGGGGTTCCCTGACTGCAAGGGCTGAAATGTTCTTCCAAAAGAGACCATTTAATGATTCAAGTCAAAGTGGTTTCTTTCACAACAGTAGCAGTATAAGTTAGCATTTATCAGTGGTGAAAGATGCATTCAGATCCTTTACTTTGCTATCTTATCTTACTAAAGTGCAAGTACAGAAGTATTCAATATGCAGCAGAACAACACCTGTCAGACTAATATTACTATACATTATATTATTGAATCATTATTATTAATTTATAAATGTGTAAGCAGCATTTTAATGTAGCTGGTCGAGGTGGAGCTAACTTTAACAACTCTGTAAACTATTGGGTAGTTTAATCCATAAAAATACATCATGTTTTAAGAATTCATTACATGCTTTATATGTAAAATCTTATTTTGAAGAGTTACTTTATGTGCCTTATTTACAATATTTCCCTAAGTAATGTAGTGGAAAAGAAACATAAGGTAGCTTAAAATAGGAATACTATGGTTTTTAAATAAACAAGTATTGACCTCTAAAATCTTAACTGAAATTTAGATATCTCATAGACAAAAATGGATTGTCTATCAGACTTAACATGTGATTCTCTAATCTAATAATCTAATAATATCTAGATTTGCAGACTAGTAGAGAACTACCCAGAAGGGGTATTTCAAAAATCATTGTCTCTTAACATTATTTGAAAGAAATATTGTTTTGTGTGAGATTTAATCTTTTTTCATCTTCTTTTTATTAGAGCTCAATGAAACTGTCATTTGTACCAACGACCATATGGAGGTTGTTATTCCCAGTTCTTTTTTCCTCAACAAAGAGCCTCCAGTTAATGTAAGTGAGCACCAAAAGAATTTCAACGTATTTTTCCTCAGTGTAGGCGTTCTCTACTGATATCCTAAATTATTTGCACTGTGACTTAAATTTCTCCTTTTTTTTGTGTTGTGTTTTTTTTTCTGTTTAGGTTTGGGATTTGCATTTAAATGATCCAGAGTGCCGTGGCGTTAAGGTTGGAGATGACTACGTTTTCAGCATAAAGACAAATCTCTCCGACTGTGGGACTATAATGGTATCACCTTCAATCTTTTGCTCAACATTTGCATTAAAGTCTGTGACAACCTCTTAGTCCACAAGAGTCAAACTAATCAAATGTTGCACGTGAACTCAGACATTTAGAACAGCTCTTAACAAAGCATGCAGACACCCGCTTTAAACTATATGAAGACAAACTACACTTGGTTTCTCCATTATTGACAACATAAGATCCCCATCATAATAAATTACTTATTTTACGATGTATAGGGTTGTTGTGGGAACAGGCCCCACAAGCAGGATGCCAAAGAAGGAGTTACTTTACTCAGTTTACTGCACTTCACATAAGAGTAAAAAATAACTTGAATAAGACCAGAGCCTTTTTAGCTGTGACGTAAATGTGGACTGTGAGGCTCTGTGTTTAGATGGGTACTATGGAATTAGCTCATAGCTAGTATAATAAGATGGACAGAGAAAGGCACATAGTCTGAGCCCAGACAGAAAGGAGTGAAGAGAAAAGAGGGGGGGTGGCATGTATGTCAAGAAAGAAGGGCGGCGTTGTTCCTTTTCCCTATAACTGCGCAGGACGTTATTCAAAGCAGCAACAGGACCCTGAATGGCCTTGTAGCTCTAAATTATCAGGATTTACATGGAAATGATGATTATTTGTTGATGTTCACTGAATGGGAAGGCCGTAAATCATTGGGCAACTAGCCCCCTGATTATTTTAATCCAGCCACTCTCATGGATTAAACTCTGGCAAAGTTTAAATCCCTACTTCAGCACACGAGTGTCCTTGAATTGCTTGCTTGGAATGCATGAAGCTTTTTCCTGTAAAGCAAGCAAAAGGTTAGCACAGCTTTCAACAGGAAGGAAATCTCCCAGTACTCCACCTCAGCAATTTTACAAGGTTTTTGCTTAGCGGCTGAGGAAAGTAAGCCTGCTTCGGATTAGATGGCTGTTGCTAAAGGAGAAGAATGCCATAGCTGTCAATCTTGCTTTCACCTTGAACTTAGGACGTTTTAAACCTACCGTCAGAGGAGGAGTGACTGAATTGTTGGGTTTAAAGGTCAGCCATTTTTATTGAAACATGACAGCGCGCTGTCTCATGTTTCAGTGATAGTTCTACATTTGTGAGACACATAGCCTTCATGTTACCCAGTGATACATGCGAGTGCCAGTGGGGTTCTGCCATGGAGCAATGAAGACCTGCTGCTCGCTGTAGAGACCTGTCAGTGGTGCTCATGGTAGGGGGTGGTCTGTTTACCAAGAGCTAGTAAAAGATGTCTGAAATGTTGGAGCTCGAGGCAATTCATCCAGCTCAGTGTCTACAGAAGCCTCCCTCCAGCGCTCAGCAGGAGCCCAGACAAACCTTGGACGCAACCTTTTCAGTCGTCCGCATTTTATGGCTTCACCTACGTCAGCTGCCAACAGTTGAATATTGAACATTTACAGTGTGTGAAAGGATGATAATTGTTTATATTATATTATAGTTTGGGAAAGAGGTTACATAAAGGAAGCTCACTGGCTTCTTTACTCTTTAATGTGATTCCTACAACTGAAATATGCTGCAGCTTTGTCCGTTTTACACCTTTTGCCCTCTAACCACTTTAACACATACTGTATATAGGGGGTAGTTTTCAAGCAAAAACGTGGATGTCTGGATGGTTCCAGGTTTGCAAATGTGAGCATTTACTGCTTCTCTTGGTCTTACGTTATAGTAAACTGAATATTTTTGAGTTTTGGACAGCTGGTTGAAAAAAAATAGGACATTTAATGATGCTGTTAAAAGGTCTCTGAGAGATTCTGGTGACAATTTTCTGACCTTTTATATATCAAATAAATGAAACAAAGCAATGATTGTCATATTTATCAATAATGAAATAATCATTTGTTGCAATACTGGAATGCTGATCAACTTACTTTCGTGCACTGATGAGCAGATTAGTATACCATTACAGGAACCAGCAGTGTAAAAAGACTTTGCTGTGTAATGTTTGGATCCAGATTTTAAGAGAGACATTGGTAGACGAGTGTAGTTCAGGGTCAGTGGGTCACCAGAATTGTTGAGCTGCCTGAGGTTTTCACTGACCAAATTAACTGAGACATGTAAGCAGAGACACCCTCTTGATATTAAAATCCTTGCACTCTTTAAACTCCCTTTCACTTAATGTCTGTGCCAGATTTCTGCAGTGGTACACAAAGCAGAGCATAATAGTGGATGTCTATTCTTGTATTGGCAAAAGAAACGTGTTCCACTTAGAAATCTCTCTTATTTGATTAGGTTCCACTGACTTCTATATTTGTCTTTCTCTCCTTAGGCCTCAGACGATACACACATCATGTTCATTAACACTATACACAACAACGATTCAGATATTATAACCAGAAACTATATCAACATAACATTTGTATGCCGCTACCCCATCAACTACATGGTCCAACAACCAAATGGTGAAAACATGATTAGAGTTGATGTCAGGTAAGTGTTTGTTTTTAATTGAATCTGAACATGACTCCTGTACGGGCTTGTAAAATGATTCGGTTTTTACTTTAATCCTCTTCTCTCTACAGAACTATCACTCTGAACACAGAGGATGGGAACTTCTCAGTGTCGATGTTGTTGTACAAAGATGAAGCCTTTGAGGACAGGTGGACCACTGTGCCGTCACTGACACTGGATGATGACATCTTTGTGAAAGTTTTCATGGTAAATAACCTTGAGGGACAAAGTCCATTAATGTCTCTTTTTTTTAACTACAGACTTCAACTTAATACCTACACCTCACATTGACCTGAAGATTGTGTGAAATTACGTCATACACAGTATTATTAACTCGAATAATACGACTAAAATGTCTAACAGAGCTTGTGTGTGCTGCACTTTTAAACACATTAAAGTATTATTACTATTGGCTGCTATTTTTGGATAAGCTTAAGCACGTTGTTACATGACGTTAAGCAATATGTTGTGTGGTGGGATGTTTCAAGGACTGCTGGACAACTAACACTGCACTCATGTCCAGATAGTAATTTGAGTGTTGTTATAATCTCTCGGTACAGCTGTTGTTTACGTACTGTGAATCATCATTTTTGTGGCCTAGTATGGAACAGTGTTAACCTTGTGTAAATAATGACTTGACCGTCACCCAACCCTGTCTATCTCACAGATACCGGCTCACCTGATGCTGCGTGTAGAGAGATGCTGGGCGACACCAACCAGCGATCCATACAGCAATATTCAGTACACCTTCATCAGAGACAGGTCTGCCTCGAAAACAGTTTAAACAAAAACTGTTTTATTTTGTAATATGAGCAAATAGGATAAAAGAAACGCTTCCTATCATGGAGCAAAGCCTATTCTCTTCCATTTGCCATCTTGCCACTAAGTAATGTTATATAGGTTAAGATTTACATATTCACACACTTTATAGATGGTCTGTTGAAACCGGCTAGTGGCGTGCTCTCTGGCCACATTATTTCACCACACTTGCAAACAGCTCTAAGTCCTCTTACAGGAGTGCTGTTGAAATCTGAAATAAGAGAATTTGTTGCTTAGAGAGCTGGCCAGACAACAGCTCTCAGAGCCTGGTCACGTGACTTCTGTCTGAGAGGCCATAAGCGTTTCAGTTAACAGCTGTGCATGTCCTTGACAACCAGGCAGTATTTGGTACTGTTAGCAACAGCAGGGCAATGAAATGCCAGAGGGAAAAGAAAATACTCAAACAAATCTGTCTCTCTCTCTCTCTCTGTTGAATTAGATTGAGTGTTTACATTATTTCTTAGCAATTCATCACACAAGCTGAAATCTGTTCCTTGTCTCTATTTTTAAAGTACAGTATTTCATTCTAGATTTTAACCTCATGACCACCATGACTTCTTTGTCTCGCTCTCGTAGCTGCCCGGTGTTGTCAAATGAACAGACCCTGAGTGTGCTGAAGAACGGCCAGGGTCCAGAGGCCATGTTCAGGATACAAATGTTCAAGTTTGTCGGCGGCTCTTACACCAACGTCTTCCTCCATTGCAACGTCCAGATCTGCCACAACACCCCGGGGCTGTGCCAGCCTGTGAGTGAACTCATGCAACACCCATTCCTCAAACTGGTAGTCAGAGGCCAGTTCAGACAAGTAGCCTACTATATGTGCAGCTTATGTCCTTAATATAGACCCATCAGCCTAGAATTGTGTTTCAGCCATATGAGCTTGTGAGCTGTGCTGAATTTAAATGTGTGCTGCTTGACGTTGAGATTTATAGCATCTTTTTCTCATGTTTTACTTGTGTATTTCCCAAACAGAACTGCTCCAGTGAAGATGGGTTAATGAGGACACGGAGAGACATCCCTCTGTCCCATACAGTGTCTTATGGACCAATCAGACGACTACTAAATGATAGTGAAAAGCCCAATCTGAGTATGTTTTCACTTTTTATTTAAACTCTGTAACTCATATGGATCTTAAGAGCTTTAGCTTTTAAATATTTAAAGCTTAAGTGCATTCAGTTCATATGCAAAGTGTGTTTTCACCTGTGTCCTTTCTCTGTAGATGCAGGCGGGGTCCCTCCTGTGGAGACCTTTGTCCTCGGAGGGTTGCTGGTCGTCTTGCTGCTGATCACAGGAGTGTTCGGGAGGCTGTGGCTTCGCTCAAGACGTTTCTACCCAGCGCGGGAGGCGCAGCTCACCCTGTCCAACATCCACCACATCTCAGAAGTGGCCTCATGAATCAGGGGATCGGGGACCTCTCTGAGTGAAGAAATGGACATATAAACGTGTACAAATACAAACACACACATACAGGTGTGATTTATGATAAGAAGTCTTGCATATGTTTCTCTTCATATAATGAATTTCTTATACTGTAAGAAATCGACTTAATAAAGGTCTCCCTCGAGTGTTGTCCCTCATGTTTTTTCCTAGTTATGACAGTGCATTTACTGTAAGTACTGGTTTTAAGTACCATTTTGAAGTACTTGTACTTTACTTGAATTTTATGCTACAACATTTCAGAAATAATGATATTTTTACTCCACTACAATTATCAGACAGCTATAGCTATAGTTGCAAAGTAGTTTACACATTTGTAATTTCATTCTTAATGAGTACTTTCTCATGTTAACTGATATGTTAAATACATTTTGCTGCTAATACATGTGTACTTCTAGCTAAGTAAAACTTTTAAGGTGGGATTTTTACTTGTAAAATAAAAGTGGATCATTACAACTTTAGTATAATTTGATTTTTTTTCTCATTCAAAAATCCCATCAAAAGACCAAAACCAACAGAGTGATAGTCTGTCTCTCAGTACTATCCAACTTCCCAACCACTGAGCCCCAAGCCCATTCCTTTCAATGTTTTAATTATCTGTGAAATATATAGTTTCATTTTTAATTCATAACAGCTGAGCTCTAGTTATAGTAGACATAGTATGTGGAATTGACACAAAATAAGCTACAGACTACACTACAAATCCACTGTAATGAAGGAACATGTCACCCAGTGAGGCTCATTAGTTGGTTTCTAATACTTTTGATCTGTGGCACAGAGAGACAAAAGCTTAAGCATATCAGACTTAGTAGGGTACATTAATTGGGATTAATATTAAGATAAATAAATAATAAAAAATAAAAAGTACTTTACCCACCACTATTTTTTTTTCTTTTTATATTTATAAGTAATCTGAGTTGTCTAATCTAACAGCACAGACATAAAACTGCCCCCCCGGGGGGGTTATTCCCCAGTCTGTCTATTTCAGTGCGCTCTCATAGAGTCTGCGTCCATAAACCCAAATGTGACGGGGTCGTTGTACGTGATGACGTCGTAGTGACTCTCTCCAGGATCAACACAAACGCCGACAGACTCACAGACCAGCGAAGGACTCTCAGCCGGAGCACCAGCCGCGGCCACTTCAAGTCAAAACAACATTTTGGACACGTTTTTATACCGTGAGATGCGTACGTCGTCGTAGTTCCCGCCCTTTGCTGATGTCGACGGAGCTGATATAAGTGCAGATAACGTTATATTGATTAAAAATACGCCCGGAGATCCCCCCCCGTAACTCGGGTAAGCAGTTTCTAGAAGCTACCAGCTAACCGAGCGAGCTAACGAAGTGTGGCTGCTAATGCTAACTGGCTGGCCATGTTGTTGATGTTCTTTTGTTTAACTTAACAAAGTTTTTGTGCCGTGTCAGTTCACCCTTTCCCGTTGCGCAGTTTTAATGAAAACAACTTATTAGAGTCAAACAGACGAACGGCGACATTATTGGCGTTAATTTAAAGTAAACTCGGTGTAAATATTAAACCCGGCTGTTGCTGTGTTGTTTGTGTTTTTAGCTGTGTGCTAACCTGCCAGCTATGCTTGCGTAATTTAGCTAGCTATTGCTGGCCAATGCATGCAAAGGCTTGAACAATAGCTCTCCTGTGTGGCGGTGTGGTTTGGGCTTGCAGCATTTTTGTGGGTCTTTTAAATTATTGTTGTCGTTTTTTTAGCCAGCATTCATTATCCCACAAATCCCTCAACACAAGTAACACCACCAAATAAGCCCGAGTCTAATGATTCAGAGGTATTTACTTTGGTATTTCCTTTGGGGGCTTGCAGGCTGGATGACATGGGGAAATTCTGACTTGTCACCAGGCGCCATGTACGAAAGAGCCTAAAGGTGAGGGGTCGGGTTTGGCTCTGAAGTCCTGGAAGAACCAGTGTCCCCATGAAACCTAAGAAGGGTGTTGTGAAATGCACTGAACAGCCTAAAGATTTAGAGAACATGTGTGGGACTTTTCAGAATAGTTTAAAGAGAGGGGACTTCGTGTATGTTATGTTGGAGGGTGGCATTATTTTCCACGGGATAATGTAACACCAGCATGCTCTGTTCCAGCTGACTGCTCCGTGTGTTTACCTAAAAAACATTGTTGTTGTCATGTTGTGTATTTGGCTTCTAAGTATATTTCTTGCTGGCTTTGTTTCAGGGTTGAACACTTCACCCCCTTTCCCCCTGCCAGAACCAATTGGGCAAGGAGCAACACAGTAAAAATGGAGAACCTGCATTCCCACTGCCTTAAATGCATCAACAGAAGATGCATGGTGAGACCAGAGACGGGTGTTTGCTGCGACCTCATTGGCTGTCCTCTTGTCTGTGGGGCAGTTTTTCACTCATGCAAACTAGAGGAACACCGTCTCCTGTGTCCATATGAACGGCTACCATGCCTTAACAGCGGATTTGGTTGCCCGTTCACTATTCCAAGGATCAAAATGGCAAAACACCTTGAGACGTGCCCAGCCAGTATAGTGTGTTGTACTATGGAGTGGAATCGCTGGCCTGTGAGTTACTCTGACCGCAAGTCCTACGAAAACTTGAGCAAAGACTTTGATGAGGTGGAGCAGCTAGACATGGCCTTGGCCCTGCAGGATCAGAGGATGTTGTTGGAGTCCCTGAAGGTTACGACCACCGTGTCAAAGAATGGAGACAAGGAAGTAGATGAAAGTGACAAAATGGCCACAGCGGCAAGTCTCCCAGAGACAGTGTTAGGCAATGGAACAGTGGAAATGGAAGCGGAGCCCTATAATGAGTTGTATAGAGCCTCGGTGGAGAGCAGAAGTTTAGCAGCGGCCTTGGACATCCTCTCTAATTCCAAGGATATCGGTGTAATTGTTGGAAATTTAAACGGGGAAAAGGCCGACAAGAATGGTGCACGCCGCAATGGAGAAAATGGTGATAGTCACAGTGTTTATGTCGCTGAGGGTGGGAAGAATGTGGATATGCAAGATAGTGACTCTGATTCAGAGTGTGAGCTTGGGGCAGTAGGTGGAGTGGATTGTGCAGTGGGGACAGATGGAGGAGAAAATGGGATCGGCTGGGTAGAAGAAAATGATTTTGTAGAGTTATTTTTTGAAGAGAAGGAAGATATAATCGAGGAGCCAATAAATAATTCCAACTTTGTTTGGCCAGAGCTGCCTCAGGATTACATGCCTGTACTGGAACGACCTGTGCCTCCACAAGCACCACTTTCACCCCCAATGCCATTCCTGCTGTCTGATCACTTGAGAAATAACTTCTTACAGCAATTACCTTCTGAACTCAGGTATAGGTGTTTGGAGCGTAAACTACAGAACGTAGAAGTGCTTAGAGGAATAAGTATGTTTACACTTAACGGGCGTCGGGCTCTGCTGTCAGACCCGTACTTGTTTCGAGCAAAGATGGAGGACAAGGCAGTAGACACATCCGACCTGGAAGTAGCAGATGACCCCATGGGCCTCCACGGCATCGATCTCATCACCGCCGCATTGCTGTTTTGTCTCGGCGACTCTCCGGGAGGCAGAGGAATCTCAGACAGCAGGTTTGTCGACGGTTACCACATTGACTTTGGTACTCAGACATTCTCTTTCCCTTCAGCCATTCTTGCAACCAACACCATGGTGGGAGATATCGCTTCAGCCTCGGCGTGCGATCACGCCAGCCCACAGCTTTCCAATCCAAGCCCCTTTCACACCCTCCGGCTGGACCTGGTGCTCGAATGTGTGGCTCGCTACCAAACGAAGCAGCGCTCCATGTTCACATTTGTGTGCGGGCAGCTATTCCGGCGGGATGAGTTCTCGTCTCATTTCAAGAACGTTCACGGGGATATTCACGCCGGGCTCAATGGCTGGATGGAGCAACGCTGCCCTTTAGCCTACTATGGCTGCACCTATTCCCAAAGACGATTCTGCCCCTCAGTACAGGGCTTCAGAATCATCCATGACAGGCACCTCGGCTCGTTTGGGGTTCAGCCTGGTTTGCCTTTAAAGGCCGGGGACAGCCCCTCAAGAAAAACCTGCCGCTTTGGTCCTCAGTGCGATCAGTTTAGCAATCTTCCATTCGAGGTGCTGCAACATGTAGCAAGCTTCCTGGACAGTTTTAGCTTGTGCCAACTGTCCAGAGTGTCCCGCACCATGAGGGATGTGTGTGCTAGTCTGCTCCAGATGCGTGGCATGGTCGTCCTGCTGTGGGAGAAGAAACGGCGTGCTGACGGCTCTCCTTCATGGCAGATCACAGACAAGGTTAGTTGTTTTTTGCTTTGGAAAAAGAAAGCACATTTGATAACCATTTTCACTTGTTTCCTTTATGGAACCACTTTACACTGTCACAGCATGAGAATTAATGGGCCGAATCTCTATTGTTTGTCATTCAGGTGTGGCGATTCAGCACAGCCTTTGGTACAGTGAATGAGTGGAAGTTTGCAAACATCGCCAGCATGGCCGACCACCTCAAGAAGTGCAAGTTCAATACGATTTCTCGTCACGAAGAGGCGATCCCTCTGCCATGCATGTGTTTCACCAGAGAGCTCACGAAAGAGGGAAGGTGTTTACGTTCAGTTCTCAAACCAGTAGCATAAGGGTTTATCAAAGATGAAATCATCTTTTGGACATTTATGAGACCAGAATACGCAAATACATATGTATTTTCCTCCAGTGTTTACAGACATTAGTCTCTACCAGCCTCAAAAAGACAGAAAACTCCTGGTTGAACATTATAAATTGTTGGTTGTTCACAGTGGAAAAAGAAAAACTTCACTCCCATAAATGAGACAATGCCAGTTGTGGGCAGATTTATACTTGAGTGGAAGCCGACACGCTGCTCACAGATCAGGACTGTGAACAAGCAAATTAAATTGCTAGCCTTCTATTTTCCCCTCTGATGGATTTATTAATACCAGTGTACTGAAGTTGTATCCTTATCTACTCTGACATTGTGTAAATAATCAGATGTTTTGATGTAGAATTTTTTTATTTTTTATATCAAAGAGTCAGTACTGTGCTACAGTGGAGGTGAGAGTAGAGCCTTAACTTATGATACACTTGATTTTCTAGTCGTGAGGTTGTTCAGAACATCTCGGTGAGATTTCTCCGCTGCTTCTAGCTGGAACAGTTTACTGGTATCTTGCACGGTTTTGTATCCTGATACCTAGAGTGACCATGTGTGTACTGAGCTCATAGATTTCATGGCTTTAATTCTACATTTTAAGACTGACCAAACATCTGTGGTAGCTGTGCACAATGTATGCCATTTTACAGGATGGTCATACTGTATTCACTGTGGGTGTTGTTTTTTTTTTGCTCACCAGCATGTCACCATCACCATGTTTGGTGTTTTTAAATAAAGTGTGTTTTTTTGTGGTTTGGCACATTATAGCAGTAATAACAGTGGTCCATCTTCCTTTTATCTATTTCTTACCTCTGACTAAAGCGCTGGAGTGTTAGTCATGTGAGAGATTAACACTATTCACCAGCCAAATGGCAAAAGATTTTGTTAGCTGTGGTTGGTTTGTGGTTGTCTGTTCTACCAGCTATTTCTAAAAGTAACCAGCAGTTGTTTGTAGGTGGTTTTTATACAAAAATGTAGCAAGTAAAGTGATGAATGTACTCAGTGATTATAAGAATCCATCAGTGACTGTGGTTAGTGGGCAGAAACCTTGGTTTCCTTCCCTCAGTGTCGGACCTCATTAAACCCTGCAGGCCAGGTGTTAAGAAATATAACGGGCACACGCTTCCCTCCAGTAATGAGCTAATCACTAATTATGTTCATTATTTATCATGGTTGTGTGTTTTTTTGGCACTACATGTCCACTGTGTTCAAATGTTGGTGTCTCAGGGTTGTAGCATGAAGCTTTGTCTCGCAGTAGATTTGTGTGTGTGTGTGTGTGTGTGGTCAACGAAATTGCAGAGAACGACACGACGACTTGTGAGCTGCTTGATTATTGTGGGGTCTTAGAACTGACTGGTGTACCACTCAGTATTATAATAACATAACAGTGTGTGTGTGTGTTGCAGTGCTGGACTAACAAATTACATGTTTTCAAGTTTGTCATCCATCAGCATCCTATTTTGGCTGAGTACCTAAAATAGGCTGTCAGCCAAAAGGTTGTTTGGATGTGCGATTGAGTGATCAGACTTGTTGAACACCTTTTTTTTTTTTGTTATATTTTTAGTTTGGATTAAGAACTAAGGTCTAACAACACATGAACATGACATATTTTGCTCCCTTGTGTGAGTAAATGGCTCCAAATGTTTCGCAATGTGGAACAGAAATGTCACAGACAAGTATGTGAGTACTGGTATAAAGAAAATGGTTATTCTTTTGAGAAAATTGTGTGTTTTTGTTGTTTTTATGTTTTTGAAGTTTGATGTAAAAGCCCAAGCGATTTCAGAACTAAGCTGTCTTTTTACTCTATTAAGTCCCAACCCGTGTTTGGTTTATTTCTTATTTTTGTACTGGTACTTGTATTTGAAAAGAAAAAAGAATCTGCCTCTGTAATGTCTGGATTTATGTTTTGAATTATTGATTTGCACATGAAGGCATGTACTGTAAACATTTAAATCATAATGCTGAGGGGTTGTCTTTGCTCGAGTAGCGGGAATTTTGCTCCCCTCACGTGTTTTGCATGTGAGTTTGATATGTTTGGAAAAATTGTATGTGTCAGTCCAGTTGCAAACTCATTTATACCGTTTATTTCTCAGGCACAGTGCATCAGTTTAGTACATTTTCATATTAACTGTTACAATTTTTTAAAACTTGTATAATATGGAACTTCAGCCAGGTCTGATCCCATGCACTCATTCTTCAGGTTTGATGGATGGAGTGGATGACCTGAGCATCAATCTTTTTCTCTACTGAGGTTAATGTAAACGTTTAGACAGATGTAATGTCTGCAGCACACCTCATTTTGTTTTTCAGTAATACAGTCTTTTGCAGGCACCTGGAGTGTATCAACACTTTTTCAGCATTTTAAGTTTTGTTTTTACTCCTGCTGAAGTGTATTTTTCACCACAATATGCCAGCTTCATTTGTTTGACTTTTGAAGCATTTTAATAAAGAGGCTCTCTTGTTTTTAAATGTTGATTTTATTTTATTTTTGTCCTTTTTTTTTATTGCAGCGGTTCACTTACTTCACAGTGCTTTTTTCAACTCACTAGGTTTACATTTGACAAAAGTGTTAAAGTTAGCAATTATAGAAAAATAGTTGCGTGCACTTCCAAGCCTGTATTTAGCTCATGTACACCATCAGAAATTCAATGATGGAAGGAGTGCAGCATACACTGGATTAAAGCTCCCATTACAGATTGAAACCTACTGGGTTTTCAACAGGTCAACATGACAAAAAAAGCAAAGTATATATGGCAACAAAACTGATACAATCATGGTGATATCACTGTCTAGTAACCAAAAAGAAATGTATATAGATTTTTTTTAAATTAAAGAAGGATGGAGTCTTAAAAAATAAAAATTGTGCTGTATTCATAATGAGTTCTACCTGTTAGTGCAGATTAGATGTAAAATAATCTGTCATAGCAACAGATTGTGGAACATATTTTACAGCTAGATGGCGCCAGATCAACACACACACCACAGCAGATAAAAAGGATTTTCCAGACACAAATGTTCCCTCTTAATGTAAGCTGTATTCACACATTCAAATAACAACTTTCTAATGATAGAAATTGGAATTACAGACCACTGTTCCTCTTGTTTAGACCATCGCAGCTGATGTAAACAAGCCTTTTACTGCGTCCGAAAACAACAATAACAGTTTGCGGGATTTATAGCTTCTAATCAAATAGAGCGATGGCATTTTATCCAAATGTCCATGTCGTTTGAATAGTTGTGGTTGGGCTACCGTTTTGTTTACATTTGGAGCCGATTACCATTCAAATCTGGATGTAACGCCGAGATAGAGAGTCGAGTGTGCTGCCTCTATTTACCCCAGAAAATCCCCGGTACAAAGGGAAACTAAATGTCATAATGTAGTTAGAGTTAGAGAACAGCTGAGTCATGGTTTCACCTCTCGGTTTCTGAACTCTCATAGCTTTGTAGGATTAACATATTGCTACACTTAGAAACCTTTAGGGTCACAAACAAGGTCTAAAATCGTTCCTATGAAGGTCCAGTGCTATGTACATATATACATACGGGGCATAGAAACTGCAAGTGGCCGCTGGTCAAGTGGTCAGAACTAAATTGTTATTTAAAACTTCCGTGCTTACCAGGAGTGGGGTTCGAACCCACGAGGACATATGTCCATTGGATCTTAAGTCCAACGCCTTAACCACTCGGCCATCCTGGTACGCAACAGCCTCCTGACTGGGCTCCATCTGCCCGAGATAGTACCAGGTAAGTCTACCTGGGCGCATTCATGGTGTCATAGTGCAAAGTCACGCTTCCAGTAAATGCCCACCACAAACCACGCAGCGCCGCTGAGGAAGTGCAATCATTACAGCCCTGAAACCCATTTCAACACATAGCAGAGGCAGTTATTCTGCAACCACCCACTCTCATGTATGTATTCAGTGTGAAGAAGTGATGGTGGTCTCAGTCACAGAGCCTCTCAGCTTCAGTTAAACAGGTGATAGCTGGGAATCCCCCAGTGGGCGATGCACTGCTACACAAGGGGAAAATAAAGGTCTTTTTAATTTTACTATCATTACACTCACAGGACGAGGAGATAGGCCTGCTGTGCAAACAGCACTACTCTGACCTGATTAGTTTCCTCATTCACTATTGTTGTCCCACTGCCTGAGTGAACACCTATGTACACAATGATTCAAGGGCTGTTTCGTATACAAATATGATTGACTTTGGTTGTGTGCCAGTGAATCAGTGGAGCTACAGGACAACATAGAGGACACCGTTTCATCTCTGAAAAGTGGGGGGGAATATAAAGAGTCTTGCGAAACATTAAGCCCTTGCTTATTGCTGGTGATAACTATAGATGGGGGTGGTTTACATATAGTTGCACAATCCACACAAATCTATCTTGCCTCCCCAGCTAACCACAATTTGGCTGTGTTGTGTTCAGTGTGTTTCATAAGAATCGTTAAGCAATGGCTAAAGTAAGAAATGGACCTACTTAAATAGCTACATTCATGCTGTGAAGACTAGTCTGTGTGTATTAAAAAAAGCCACTCTAAGGCATTTATTTACATTACTTAAATATCTCATATAACACAACAAAGTTTTAAGCTGAAAGCTGAAGGACACAGCTGAGAGTTACACATTAAATTATAGCTTAGATGTCTTTACAGTAATCATGCAAAGCGGTTCTCTGTAGCAATCAGGAAATGCAACACCCATATCTCACTGTATACATTTGCATATGGACGACGTGTGGTTTGAAACGCAGGCCTTTTCTCAGACCAGCTCAGTGTGGAAAATTATACTAGAGTTAAATTTAGACGCTGCTACTGCTTAAAAATTAGCACAGTGCTTCATTTGAACTAAATAAATACATAAACTAAACCAAAATCTTACAGCCATCTTTCCACAGGAAGCTGATTTGAAACAAATGTGGATATTCTGGCAACACTGAGAAGAAAAAGTAACACTGATGCTGTCTCAGTTGCAGCAAGGGAAGCAACAACAGAAGAGTTTCTTGCATGGATTGTTTTTCTTGTATTTCACAGCCTTCTTGATCTGAACTGTGGCCTTGACAACATAGTCCTGAGTCGCACATACATTCGCTTCTATGTTATCCAGCATGCAGCCCTGCTCCTCCACCAGCTGGGCCATCTGGGAGAAAAGCTCATGAATGTCCCTGATGCGGCTCTCCAGCTCCAGCAGCTCCTTGTGCCGGTTCTCGATCTCATTGAGAGCAGACCTGGCCGTCCTCCCTTCCAGGAGGAGATTATCCGAGAAGACGTTCCACTTGCCCGTCTCGATCATCTCGTCGATCTGCTCCCTGCTCACCTCCTTGCCCATGATCTCCGCCTGCCTCTGGATGCGGGTCTTGCAGTTCTCCCTCTGGACCATCTCAGCCTCGTTGTACTCAGACATGGCATTGTGGAAGGCGGCGGTCAGAGAAACATGCTGCGACCGCACCATGCGAGCCACAGCTGATGTAGGCCCTTGCTCCTCATCCAGCTCTTTGCTCAGCTTCCCCAGCTTCTCCAGCCGAGCATAAATGGCCTCCCCTCTGGCCTTGATGTCCCGTCCGAGTGCGTTGGAGTCCCGTTTGATGCTGCTGATCCTCCTGACAGACGTGAGGAACCTGGTGTTCTGCTTCCCAAGACGCTTCACGTCCATTCTGAGGAGAAGCATCTCCTTCCTCATCGCCTGCGCCTCTTTGTAGAGGTTGTCCAACACATCCTCGCCCTCAAACACGATGGCTTGTTGCTCCAGATGCTCCCCATCCTCCCCCTCTGTGGTGTGGTTCTGGCTTCCATCTTGCATGCGCTCCTCCCCTGCAGGTTTGGAGGTCTGCAGCTCACACAGTCGGTCCCTCATCTCACCTGCAAGAGGGGTCAGGAACCTTTACTGAACTCTTTAAAGGAATAGTTGGACATTTTTCAAAACACACTTATACGTCTGTCGCTTAAATATGAGTCCAGCTGCTGATTAGCTTAGCTTAGCACAAATACTGGAAACAGGGGAAAACAGCTAGCCTGGCTGTGTCCAAAGAGGACAACCCACTACTAGCACCTCATTAATTAACATGCTATATCTTGTATGTTTAATCCGTACAAGAAACCAAAGTGTAAAAACAAATTGTTAGTTTACAGAGTGTTGTGTGTCAGACAATATTTGTTGTCTCTGAGCAGTTGCCAGGCAACCAGTGGAGATTATTCCTGACTAAGAAATAGTCCAGCACATAACCCCTCCCTAAAATGGCAAATTGATCAAAGATTTTTATAAAACCATGTGTAGCAGAACTTATATTTTTCTTCTTTCCTACCTCATCTTACGATCCTTCAGATTTATTTTGACCCACTGAAGGGCCTCAACCCCCAGGTTGGAAACCACTAAAGTAAACTAACTAACTGTAAAGTAGCTAAACTAGCTCCACCTCAACCAGCTACAACAGTTAAATGCTGCTTACACAGTATTAACATGCTGATAATGTACTCTGGGTAAAGCTGATTATATGTGTGTACTTTGAGTTTGACTTTCAACTTTTACTTGTGAAAAATTGTGGATACTTCTTCCACCACTGGTCTTAGCCAATCTAATTATAAAGTCCAGTCCAACTTCTTATGCTAGATGGATGAAGGATCTCATGCTTCATTCACAGAAAATCAAAGAAAAATCTGGTAATATTAGGAAAATATGGAGTCATTTTATATCATATTCTCCCATTCGCCTCTTATGTGCAGGAATTCAAGATCTTGTGGATGAGCTGTATCAACAACTTAGTATTTCTATAAGTAATGTCTCTCTTTTATATTGTGATATTACATTTTAAATGTAATGTTATGTGTAGTGTTTTTTAAAGGGAAGAAATATTGTATGCATTATATTGAGTTCTTTTTGGTGTCGCCTATAACGTAAAAAAATAAATTAAGAGAAACATTTTAAAAAGCATGTTTAAAACCTGAAACTCCGTGGTTTCAGAATATTGATTGATCAGTAGTTAATATGTACTTTGTGAAGACACATAGATCAGTATCTGTATGAAGTCCTCAAGAGGAAACTGATGGGTTACTTCCTCGGCTGTGACGTTTCCAGACAGATAGCAATTAATTACAGGGCGTCGACTTAAAACTCAGTTATTTCCTATGACAGAAACTGTTTCACAGCTTTACTGTGATGTACAAAATGTTAAAAATGTTGTGCAAAATAGAAAAAAAATCACAACAACAAACTTTAAGCATCACTGGCCTTGACAAGTGAAAATCTTGAGGACATAAGAAACAACAACAAGCCGTTACAGATATCATCCAGCAGGTCTGTGGCGAGCTATGCCTTCTATGAATCATTGCATCGATCCTTTTAAATCCATAAATCTCAAATCCTAATTTAAAAGAAAGAAGAAGAATACACATACCTTTTTGTGTTCTCCTCCGGCGGTCCTACACTATTCAACTCGCCAAAGCAGAAGAGGCGACCACAAAAAAAAACATTTCCTCTTTTTCTCTCCGTTATAACACCGACTTTCAACATGTACTCAAGTATCTCTGAGTGTTGTTTTAAGGAGGTCTCGCACTCACACACGCTTCATTACACTGACACACTGACACAGCCTGCAGCAGGTACCAATGCGGAAGATCACGCCTTCTTCTTACCCCCACATTTCACACTTCTTCACGCTTCTCTGGTGTCCAGGAAGGACCCATCACACTCGGTTTATAGTCGTTTATTGAGCGTTAAAGCGCGCAGGTGATGTTTTGCACGTTTGATGCGCTCTTTAGATTTATAACTTTATAGTCAGAATGCAATATGAGAGACAAAAAGTTAGAAAAACTAGTTTAGTATGACTGGATCTTTTAAAGTCTTACACTAATTTAATGTAAACCAATAAAATACATTAGAGCTTTTTCTCTTAACATAAAGAAAATAACAATTTCAAGGTCCATTTAGTAGCTGTTCTGGAGCTTTCAAGCTTTCCACAGTGGTGGAAGAAGTATTCAGATCCTTTACTTGAACAAAGGTAGCAATAGCAGACTGTAAAAATACTACATAACAAGTCAAGTGAAAGTACAACTGTACAAGTATGTAATTATTATCAGCAAAATGTGCTTAAAGTACAAGAGGAGTAGAGGTGGAGCTGATTATATTCTTTTTGCTGGTCTAATATACTAACATCATATTTTATTAGTTCATCATATGTTTTTTATGTACATTTTAAAATACAAAGTAACTGGTAACTTAAGCTGTTAAATAATTGCAAAGGTGTACAAAAGTACAACATTACCCTCCGAATTGTCAAGTCTAAGTACCTCCAATTTATACACAGTTACAGTATTTGGGTGAATGTACTCAAAAAAACCCCACCATGGATCATACATCACATGACATTCATCAGCAGATGGAGTCTCAGTTTAGTCTTGCTAAATCTTACTGAGTTGAGTCATATAAAGTTGATTCTATTGTTTGTTAGTAACTCACATGACATGTGTTTATAACTTCCCCCCATCATTATCACTGTCCAAACCGATTAATAACCCAATCAAATTGATTTGTTCATCCTTACACAATATTTCACAGTGATTGAAAGCTCCAGAACAGTGGACCTCGTGGTGAGACTGTTGATTGAAAACAATGTCTTAGAGGATTGGTCATTTTTCTTGTAGTACACATGGACCACTGGCCCTGATCAGACCTAATTGTTGTAACATGGAAAGCAGCCACAAAACATCTTCTTGAAAGGATTGTTTTTATCAGAAGCCAAGGCCCTTTCCACCTTGAAGACAGCATCCTGAACGATCACGTCAGTGTTTTGGACATTTTTCTGGATGCTATCAACGGCTGCCCCCTGCTCCTCTGTGAGCACAGCCACATCCAGAAACAGCTCCTGGATCCCTTCGATCCTCTTCTCCAGCTCCACCAGTTCCTTGTGTCGGCTCTCGATCTGAAGTAAAGCCGAGTGAGCCGTTTTGCCCTCCACCTGGGCACTGAACACATTCAACTCCCCGCTCTCCATCATCTCCTCCAGCTCCTCTGTGCTGACCTCCCTGCCCACCACCTCCATCTGCCTCAGGTTCTGCTGTTTACAAGCCTCCCTGTGGCTCATCTCTGTGTCGTTGTAGCTGAACATCACATCCCGCAGACCACTGCTGAGACACTGGTACTGTGTTCGAGCTATGCGTGCTGTGGGGTCAGAGCTGCCACGCTGGGCCTCAAGTTCCCTACTGACAGTACTCATCATGTGCAGCCGCTGCAGCACAGCTTCTCCCCTGCGTTTAATATCCACCCCGATTGCATTGGAGTCCCGCTTTGTCACACAAGGGTGCGAGGTCTTGTTTAAGGCCTGGTAGTTCACATTTTTCAGCTCACTGATGTCGTTCTGGATCTGCTGGATCTCCAGACGTATCTGTTGGGCCTCCTGCAGGACACCACCCAGGTCCTGGTCAGCGTGTGATGCTGTTGATGCCTCAAGCTCTGAGAGATTGTTCAGCTCCACTGTGCTGAAACCTTCAGAGTCGGTCTGCAGCTGATGGAGGTGCCTCAGCCTGTCTCTCATGTCTGCAAGGGGGAAAAAAATCACACAAAAGACGACAAGAGAAAAGATGTTGGTTTATTCGTCTGGGTACAGTGATTCCCTTGGTTGGAAGTTAGTCTTACAGGGGGTCATAAGTTAATTTTTAAGGGTCACAAGATGATTAAACCTGCATGAATTGATCTTCTTGAGGTAGTCGGGGGACTTGTGGGTTACATGTTAAAAATGCTCCAAAAACACTTGATTCTACATTTCTAATAATGCACGTCACTTTAGCTGCATAGTTATTTGAGCTCTTGTTAATATGAAGATACTGATCAGTGCAGCCTTAATGGAAAAGGAAGTAAGAAAAAACATCGTTCTGGTGCACATATTTGTATCTGAGGTCAGTAAGAATTGTTCAAATGAAACAATCTGACAAGATTAGAGCACAAAGTCAAAATTACAACCTGCAAATGAGGGGCTGCAAGTAGACACTTAATTTTAAAGGTTCCACACTCAAATTAGGTTGGGAACCCTGAGATATTTCAAGGTGAAAAAAAGCCATACAAGATCTGACACTCATTGTTGGTCATAAATGTTTAAAGAGGTACTTCAGTAATTCTGTACAACACTTCCTTCCAAGAAACTAAAGCAGCAGAGGCTAAGACATCTTCATTAGACCTTTCCCAAGTATCAAGCCTCATTTAAGATTCCTTTCTTAGACTTCAGAGAACATTATGCAACTGTTTTCACAGGGTGACTAACAAACAGATCTTTATTTGTGTGAAGTGTTTATTTAATCTGGAAGCCAAATGACTATTTCACACTTAAAGAGGGCAAATGTCTGTACATTTCACTGAACATAGAAACTGATCAGTCAAGTACAAAAAGATACTGGTGTGCCAACTCTCCTTTTATGTAGGAGCTGAGTTAGAGATGAGAGAGAGAAAGCAGAAGAAAGAAATACAAACTAAAAGACAGACATAGAACGAGAAGAGTTATTAGGTTGCAACAAACAAGCTTGTTCTTGTTCTTCTGTGAAATATTTCCTGAGCATAACTGAATACGTCATACCTGCCAGAGCTCTAGAGCTCTCAGTCTAGCATATAACAATCAGAAACTTTTGTAATTGATATATGTTGCAGGTGTGAGGGTTTTCTACCTCTTTAGTATCATATAATCTTAGAAGGAGGAACTTGATCTGCCAGGACATTTAATCTCTCTTCAGGACTTACCAAACAAGTTATAAAACAGGCAACTATGGTTTCAACATGTATGTTGAAATGTAGTAAGTGAAGATACTTAGAATTAAGGTTTCTCAGTGGAAAACAGCACAAACAGGAGACAGAATCAATAATCCTGAAAAATAAGTTTTATAATAGATTAATGTCCATTTTTTGTATTATTACTACTATTATACTTTTCCACAAGAGTCAGAGTAAAGAGGCCCCAAATCCAGGTTTTCTTACCTGTACTGGATTTTTCAGTTCAGATTTCCTAAAACTTCGCTAACCCTAAATGTCAGAGAAGCCCAATAAATATGGAACATACAAACCTAAAATATGATAATTTATATTCCTTACTGGTATGGCTGTTAGTTCCTCTCCTTCTGTGGCACACTGATCACAGAAATGGTTGTTCAGTCCGATAGGCAGCCAGTGTGATGGCTGTAAAAAGAGTGAATGAATTTTAAAATCATCACTCATACACCTGTTTAAGAGGAAAGGGTTTTAGAAACCAAACTTTCTGCATTCCTGTGGCGTCACATGGAGTGATGTACAATAAGGTGAAGCCAAGCATCTTGAGGATTTATTATAAACAACTGATATATCTGTGTTTGCATTTTTCTATATTCTCAGGGCAGTTTTCATCTAATTACACTTTTGCTTTTAATGTCTAGCAACACATAAGGTGATAAGGGTTGTAAAGAGAGACTATAAAGCTAAGATCTCCACAAAGTCAGATAGAATGAAGGATAGAAGTCACCACGCACTGACAGTGGACACCAAAAGCATGTGAAAAAAAACCCAGACAGGAAATATTTTTGATATCTTATCCTCCATAGGGGTGGGACTGAAGTGTTCATATGCGATAAGAAATCGTAACAAAAGTCTTGCAGAAGTCTCTTAAGTTTCATTAAATGTAATCTGACCAAAGGCTTGTTCTCACCCTGCATGCAGTGAAGCCACCAACTGTCAGCTGATTATCAGTCATGCTTCCAGAAATAGAAGCTGAAGTATATTTGAACCAGGAAAACGCATGGTTTGGTTCATGTGTAGGAAGCTTTGAAATACTCATTTCCACAGCCAGCAGGGGTTTGTATGTGATCAGTAATTTCCACAGGCCTCCATGAGTTTGAGTCACTCTGGTTTTTCTCAATGGGTTTTTTTTTCTTGCAAAGTGGATGTGTGACTCAGCTGTAGATGCACACTCCTCCAGTGTATAACTGACACTTTATTCTGAAGAAAAAGAAACCAGCAAAAAATGAGACCAAAATATCCCCCAAAACCACAATATAAGCAGCAATCAAGTGCACAGTGTCGTCTTTCTGTTTCATTTATTCCTCCTCTTGTGTGTGAAAGCACTGAATTATGAAGTCATTTGAAATCAAAAACCTAAATAATCATATGAACTTTAAGCTAATTAAAAAAGCCTCTACCACCAGATGGCAACCACGCGTCACACATCATGATCACACATCAAGCCCAAAGGATGTTAGGCTGCTATTCACTGTGAATGTGATGTGGCGTTTCACAAGAAGCTGCCAAATTATGTTACAGAGGAACGCCATTGAACCGAACCTATGTTTGGGACATTATATCTTGGTCGTTCTCTAGAGGGAGCTGCATGAAGTCTGATAAAGGGCCTCATGTGATGTCATTTGAGTCAGCGTCAATTGGTACTAAAGACTTCAAGTTTGAAAATGAAAAAAGGGTGTGGAGTTAGAAAGAAGTGAGATTGCTACAACTCTGTAGCCCACTCCTCATCTCTGCATGCAGCTAGCAACTAAAGGTTACATTATCTATAGTGGCATAATAGGGCGATCGAGTTGCATTGTGGGTAATGTAGTTGCAGATGAAAATGATTTGTAGAATTAATTTAATGCATCAAATTTGGTTAATTCTTTTGTTATACCATCCATTGTGAGTCAGTCAGTATTATAGGAGTGCAGTGCTAAACGTCAACGGACTCTTTAAAAGCCTTTATTTAATCGAGTACATTAGTAAAACCACAGTAATAGTAAAGGAAATAATAAAAACAGATTGATTACACCTACCTAAATGTTTTTTTTTACTCTTACGCAGTGGATGAATCAATCTGTTTTTGCTATTTAGCCTGAAGACCCACTGAAGTCAATTTCTTTTCTGTGACCAGTTTTTTTCATCTTCAAGCAGCACTGTTGAGCTGAGCCATTGGCCTTATTCAATCTGCTCTGTCAAATCAATAAATCAGAGGATGCTTTTCCAGTTCTTCTAATCGGAAATGTGTACTTTAAAACTGCGGCCTGTGAGTTTTGGATGCCGTATTTATTTTGTCCAGCAGATGTCAGTGGAACAGTATTCTGTAACATGCAGTTCATGCATTTTTCTAAAGTAGATTATTATCAACTTTATTCTGTGCATTACTTTACCTTAACAAAGCACAAATAACATGTTTACTCAGGTGGAAATGTCTGGTAATTAAGAAATCATTTGTTTGTTGTGTTTGCACAATATTCACTGGTGTTAAAATAATGGATCACAGCAACAAAACTCTACATACAGTTCAATTAAACTTAATTGAACTTATGCAGTACATGCATGCAACAGCTGGTCACCCACATCAACAGATACACACACAATAAACAGGAGAATAAATTAATAAAACACTGAAAATCTCCAAACAATCAAAGGCTTTGTGTGCAGTTGTTACAGTTTTCTTTTTTCTTACTCCTTTTTTCTGACTATTTTGAAATGCAAAGGAGAAAAATAGAGTATTTAGGAGTATTGAAACACTTTTTTAAATTTAAAACATGTTAGAAACAACCATACCACTGTGCTAAAGCAGGGAAATTGAATGTGAATCTTTTTAATAATTAATTCGGACACTTTCTATTTCTGACAAGACAAACTTTTCTTGTTTTCCATTGAAGCATTTCATTCTTTTTTTATTGATTTCCAGCACCAAAGACAACCCAAAAAACATTCCAAGTTGAAAGTTCTAGTTTAAATCTACTTATCTCCTCAGTCAGCTGATTTGAAAGGCATGTTTTGTTCAATCAATAAACTTTGTTGCATGAGTTTCAGATATAGGATTGCCTTTTCATCAGTCAGGAACTGAGCATGTGATCAGGTGGAATATAACATGGCCTTGTATCAGAGGTCCAGAACTACTAGACTGAGGCACATAAAGACTGAGAAACAGTTCATTGTGAATGTACCAAGAATGTTTTCTTAATCATACGGATTGTAAATCTGCTAGACTTGAGGACAAAGGTCTATTTTGTGCAGTTGAACACTTTAAAGTAGCACATTTGACATCCATCCACCATGCAACCATGCCAGATTTCTTTGTAGATTTTGTGTGGAAATAGAAATTGTTGTGTATTCCACAGTGTGTGTGACACCAAAAAATATCATTACATGCATCGAATGCATAACAATGGGTCAGAAGAGCAATATACTGTATATATCTTTTCAGACTGTCTTGCAAGATTACTAAACATTTTGTTGGAGTAATTAAAAATGAAGTTGATTTTTATACAAAAGGAAAACAAGTTATCTATCTCACATCAAGAATTAAAACAATTAAGTATTTTAATAACTGTCATGTCTGATTTTAAAATCCTTATCTCTGTAACACAGCATGTTTAATCAAATTTGTAATGCTTTCTTACTTCTTTTTTGCTGGAACAAATGACAACAATGCCAGTATTGTGATGTTAAATCTGTGGTAAATGTACAATTATTGGCCTGTTTTAGTTTTGTTCTCAAACACATACTGTACAACAGAAGAGAACCAAAACGACAATACCTAACTCTGCTGACCTTTATGTTTTCTGTTCCAACTTTAAGTGCAGAGCAAGCTAGTTCGGCTAAGAATAAAAAAAAGACTCATTCATCAGATTTGAATTTCAGCCGTGCACTCATATTTGATACCCTGAAATGACCAGGTACAAAAAAAGGACAAGCACACACATGCAGACTGACTCACTGAGACCCCCTGCATTTTATTTCATTACATTGCATCAGGCCTCAGGAGTTAGGTTGCTGTAATCGGTGTAGAAAACATCAGCTGTTTCCAGTTACCCAAAGTTGTGACTCCAATTAATTCAACTTATTGGCTTCAGACTGAGGTTCACATAACAGCACCAGTGTCTACAAACATCTGACCAAATTAACATGAATGTCTGTCATGGGTTTGGAGATGTTTCTCTGCTATAGGATTTCCCAAGGTCTCACTTTGTTCAACTTAGGTGACACATCAGTCTTGTTTTAGACAAACCTGTCCTCAGCTTAGCAGTGAGGTAAATAAGGCAGGTATATTGCAGTACAGGGGCTTCTTACACTGGACATTTGATTGACTTAAATATGGCTTTGTTACACAGGATATTTAAGTTTATCCAGGTTCAAAGTGATATAAAACGCAGCTGCTAGATCTTTAAAAACCCACTATAATGTCTTGAATAAAGATATTTCTGTAAATGAAACAGAAATCCTTTGTCTGAAAATGTAATCTGCTCTGATTGAATAATCACTGACATAAAGACGAGTTGGGAACTACAGTTCAATGGTCTTTGGTCTAAGGCCTTTGCTTTATTGCCTTTGCTCTGAGGCAGTCTGGGAACCAAAACTCAATTGGAAGACACAGTAAGGGACAAAAACGGAGAAGACTACATGAGAAATGCGTTGGCGTGGCTGTGGTGAGGTTGGCACACTCATGCTGGTATGACTGTACCCCCACTTACAAAAGTGGATAACATTATTTGCTGTCAAATGAAATGATGTTTGACATTCAGATGGGTGACAAATTAAAATTAAAACCTGCAAAAATCAGAGGAAAAATATGACAATGATGAGTTTGAAAATGCTTTGACCTTCACAGTCAAACATACATACATAACATAAAAAAACATAAAATGAGGCATTATCTTTCAGAAAAGTGGTGTTCATCCCTCCCGTTGAGATCCAGACACTTGGACAACCTATGACAAGGAGCACTGATGCTGCTCTGAAGGCTGAAAATCTTACTAACACACTAAAGGAATTGTTTGACATTTTAGGAAATACGCAGTCTTTTCGAGAGTTGATACCGCTCTCATATAAGCCTGTTAAATATAAGGCTGCCACTTGCCAGCAATTAGCTTATCTGGGCTTAAAGACTGGAAACAGGGGGAAACAGCTAGTCTGGCTCTGTCTAAAGGCCACGAAATCCCCCTACCAGCTTACTAATTAACACCAGACTACTTGCTGGAGCCTTGAAAGTGTCACTGCGAGGTTACCAGGCAACTAGCAGTGACGGAGACCTCAGGAAGTCATTGCACCCAGCCAAAGATTTAGCTCCAATAATCCCCCGTCAAACTGCAACCAGTCATTTTTGTACAGATTAAACAAAATATAACGTGTTAATTAGTGAGCTTTAGAGGAGCTATGGTAGACGTAATTTGTTACCTTTGGACAGAGCCAAGCTTGTTGTCCTAATGCTAAGCTAAGCTAACAGCTGCAGACTGTAGACTACTGTACAGATATGAGAGCTATCTATCTTCCCGTCTAACTTGTGGCAAGAAAGCAAATAAGTGTATTGTCCTTAAAATTAGTTAATTGATTTAAATTTAAATTGTTACCCATCTTGATCTATGATTTACAAAATTCGCATTTTAATACAGTGCATACAATACAGCAAAAAATAAAGGAATACATAGAATAAGTTGTATATTTCCATATTTAATTTTTACAATAAATATTATTCACATTCTTAAAAGCACACACATATATATATAACACTGGAGTTTCAAAGAACCATTTAACAATCATATGTGAGAAAGTCAACTCAACAACCACAACTCTGTGTTCCTAAAACCTTTTTTAGGAGAACACCTGATGAGTAAATAAATTGTAGATATAAATATCCCTCAATCGGCCAAATTTTATTCAAAGACCAAGTTTTTCCAGCTGCCTTGTCTACTTCAAGCTGAAAGTCCTGAAGTTTAGACAACATGTTAGACTGTTTTATGTTGCCTTGCCTGATATTCTGCCCACATGTCTCAGTTTAATCTCCAAATTACATTAAGTCTGTTTTGCTCCATAGTTACATTTGACCAGTCAGTTGATTTCCATTTTCAAGAAAATGTCTGTAAAATCTTCGTCAATTTCAACAGGCTTTCATACTGTTATGATATAATTTGACTGCAATTACACTAATCAGCAAATATACCTTGTATACTGTAAACCCATTAGGATTACAGATGAAAAGCCCGAAACAATCAAATTAATCCTGTAAAAATATAAAACAGAAAACAGAACATACTGCAGAACATTACTGAAAAGTGTCGCTTTCGTTTCCACAAGAATTCAGTTGATAGATTAATATATCATGGAACTATGTTTTTGACTCAAAATAACAGCTCTTTTTTAAGCAATATTTGGAAACCATTCCGGGATTTAATATATAGAAATTCCTGAACATTTTCTAATAAGGAAGCTTTCATAAAGGGCTCATAAGATATATCTAATGTCTTTATTAATATATAATAAATCAATTACTTAATGTGTTCTTTATAAGCCATTAATAGGAACAGTTTTGTGGGTTTCAGGTTATGAAAAATTCCACTGGCAGGTGTTTATTGTTTATATTTGGTCATAATATAGTAATAAATATTAATAATATATTAATAAATGCACATGGACTCTAATGAGCCACCAAGTCTGCAGTTATAAACGTTAACATTGCATTGATCAAGTGTTTCACACCTGCTGTTTGAGTGTTAATACGTAATAAGTCATAAGTAATAAGTCAGGTTGTTATTAAATGCAGCCCTTTTTTCAGAAATAAGTGGTCAGGGGAAGTCTAGGGAGTTTAGTGATTTATTAATTACTCATTAAAACTGAAATATTACATAGAAAAAATGACCCATACTTAGTTCTCTCTTACTTCATTTTATTTTGTACTATTACAGTATTTGCTCACATCTAGGTGGTAATATGTAGTTTCAAAAACATCAGCAGAAAATCACATTCTTCTTCTGTAACGTTAAAATATAAATATATATATATATATAATAGGTAAAGATGTACATCAGAGCTAAAGCACTGTCCAAAAACAAGACAACTGTGCACCTTGTTCACACAGAGAGGACAACTGATGTCCCAGTTACATAAACACATTAATCCAAGAGGTGATGACTTCTTCCCATGAGACTGACCAACCAAGATCCGGCAGCATCATCAGCATCCAGTTTTCACTGTCATGAGCTGACATGGCAGACCTCATAATGAAATTTGCTTGCTCATTTGTCAGATTAAATGTGGAGCTCCAACTCCCCACTAAAGAGAAAAAAAGGTCAAGCTACACAACCTGGAGAGGTTTTAGATATTGATGAGTACACAATATGTGCACAGGGGAAACCAAATTAGATTAAAAGTTTAACTTTATTTAAAACCAAGATGCTTTCTTTCACATTTCTTAATTATGTAGTTTGTTTTTGGACTTTTAGTCACATAAAGTGAAAGTTCTGCATGCAATTTTCCCAGTCAGGCAAATATTGTAATATGTTAATATAGTAACACAACTACTTAGACATCTGCCCTCAACTTATTAAAACTTAATACATCTCTTTTTAAAACAAAGGGTCAAAAATAATAAAGTCTACTTTGCAAAAGTGCAAACACAGCTAAAGGGGGTTTGCAATCTTCACTTTTCTAGTCTGTTTATATCAATCTTACAAACAACAGCTGCTTTCTGTTTCCAATGAAAAGATCTTTTTAAACCTTTAACACCATTTTTCACAGTACTGAGTGCTGTAACTTCAAGCGTATCTGTGCCCTGATGTGAACGTATACAGCGGTGCAGGACAGGTCCATGCTTGTTGCCCGGACATTTGCTTCAGTCATCAGAGGACAGCCTCTGTTTTTCTCTGCAGATGTTTTTTTTTTTTTTTTTTTTTTTGATGCAGCGAGAGGCGTGCCGAGCCCAGCCGGGCCGGACCAGGCTCGGCTCATAGGCTTCATGTGATCCTGCAGGGAGGTGTTTGGCTAAAAAAGACTTTTTCAACATCCAGGCTGCAGCATTCGAGAGCTGACCGTCTCTCTTGCCCTCTCTCAGAGCTACCGGCTTGCCTTTTTCTGTGCACATTTGGGATATATTTCCATCACTTGTGCGGCTCATTCCGGATAGTGACGCGCTGCAGTTCCGATAATGGGAGACGCTCAGTCTGCGCAACGGGAGGGGAAGAAGGATGCAGCAGCTGAGGAGGAGAGCGGAAAAGTGGATGAGGCTCAGACAGAGCAGAATATTGAAGATAAGGTATCATCTTATTTCCCATAGATGCAGATTTTGTTTACATACTGCAGATAACTCCTATTACGTTTACAAACTTATTTAGGCTATTCCTCATACGCTTATGGGGATTCTCAGTAACTGCAGTAACACATTATTTGGTAAGCCCCTTATTACATTTCAAAAAAGCTGTCAGTGGTTGCTGTTGCTGTGTAATACAAAATGCTGAAGCTGGGTTTTGTTGCTGTTGTCAGGACAGTGGAAGTGCTGCTTGCCAACACATCCATTAACCCCAAGATAAAAACAAAGTCCTTGTCTCATTTGAATGAACTGCATTGAGCACGTCAAGCTCACTTTTGTCAGGTGCAAAAATAATCCGTTACTACCAATTTCTTCCTAGTAACACATAAAAGTTATTGAAAATTTGTGCAACTTATCTTATGTTGTCAAAGATTCTAGGAACTGTAAACTCCCTCTTGGTTACTGACTTTTTGCTTTGGTAGTTTGAGGCAAACTTACATAATCCATAGTTGATGCCCTTCTGTTCATTGTTTCAGGGGTGTTGCAATGATTTGCAATCACTGTAGATGAAAAGAGAAACAGTGTGAAGGAATAATGACCTTTCATTCTTAGAGGAACCTATGAATCCCAGGGGAGAGATGGAATTTCCCCTTTGCTGCACTCAGCAGAAGGAAACATCGATTATTTGTGTACAACATGATCACTGGGTCATACAGAGGAGGAAGTCAATTAGACAGCATTGTACTGTGAGAATAAAAAATAGCTATCAATATCTTATGAGCAATAATTCTGATATTGTGTTGATTCAATAGCACATTTAACCTTTGTGACTTGAGTGATTACATGATTTGGATGGAATAAGGGCCTATGTATGCCATTGTAATAAGAAATCTTTAAAGTAAGTTTTAAAAAAATGCCAAAAAAATTTCCCAATGCCTCTGTTTTTCATTAGGTTAAATTTACTTTCATTAAGTACAATAATCAGGCTCTCTTTTCCAAATAAGTTGCAAAAATAATTGATAATTGATTAGCTTTATTCTTTATCACACTATTTGGCACTTATATTTCCTCAAATTTTATAGTTTTATTCTTTGAGTATGGTTCAGTTTAGGGACAGTCAACCATTTTAGTTCAGGATGACTGAAAACAAAGCAATGCCTGTTTACAGCCCCTACTAATTGCTAGATGCTTGCGTGTGAAATGATAAATAACTTTTGACTGGAAAATCAACTCACAGCCATCCATAATCAAATTATGGCCTTTGATCTTTTGGCATACAGTCATGTTTCAATCCAGGGTGTATGCTGTTTTTATCTCTACATTTAGAGGAGTAAAACTTGGTTCTTGGGTTACTCAGATAATCAGTATCAACATTTAATTTTCATCAAATTAGGCTACATTATTAAACATTTAAAAAATGAAATGTTAGCTTTGAAGACTAAAAAACCTATACACAATGTGAGTGTGCATCACTGCTCTATGTGTATCATGAACTGAAAATTAATCTAACAGTGTCTTAGAAGGTATTAACGGATGCAATATCACCCTAACAGCTATTTCTATAGTTGTTTTTTTTTAGTGTGTTACTTGAAGGACATGTGTTTATTGTTCCCTTTCCCCTGCTCAGAATTTCACTGACTAATCTGACTCCCGGATTTGAGATTGGGACAATTAGGGTTGTTTAACAGCAAGAATACCATCACACCCACCCAACAGAGAGTGGACTGTGTTGTTTGTATACAAAATGGGATTTTGGAGCCCCAGTTAATCAAGGATTTAAATTCTTTGTTTGCTTTCATGGAAGTGCAAATTCTGATGTTATGAGCATATGAACAAATGGTTGCTATATGTTTCTTATGACTGAAAAGTGCTTGTGAAAATGTTTAAAATTGACTGCTAAAAGATGGAAACTGGTTTTATTATTTATGAGCTTCCATACCATTTAATCTTTGCAAAGGTATATTGTATATTTTATGTTTTTTGCTTTGTTTCAGCCTCTCAAAAACAATGGCCAGATCTCTGAGATTAATGGAAAAGCAGACAGCTCTATAGCAGAAGTTAATGGTCACTGTGAGGACGAAAACGCTACAGAGGGTGGGTACTCATCATTTGTGTATTACTGCTTATTGATAGACCATGTCAGCATAATTTTAACAGACACATAACTTGATAGATTTCAGCTGATAGAATTTCACCTCCGTCATCAGTCTTGTACAGGTCTTGATATTGCAGTGTTTCAATATTTTGTTTCTTTTCTGGTTTAGCGATCCTTTCACCAGACGAAGATGTTTCAGAAACAGAAGAGCCACTTCAAGAAGAAGAAGAAGAAGAAGAAGAAGAAGAAGAAGAAGAAACACAATTAGAAAATGTCGAAATTAATGACAGGGAACCACCTACTGAAGCTGATGCAAATGAAATGACTGAAATGGATGCAAAGCAGAATGACATCAATGAAGGTTTTAGGAGATTTTTCAGTAACATTGGTTTGAAATTGACAGTAAAGAGGGGCTCAAGTGAAATAACAACAGATGTGCCCGATAAGACTAACAAGGACGAACCAAACAGACCAGAAGATGTCGAGGATACTGCAAAGGAGACCAAAAGTGACAATGCTGAACAGAATACTGATGTGAACATAGCACAGGAGACTTATGATAATGATTCAACAACATGTCCTACCCTGACAGACGTTACATCGGAGGATGTTCTAGAAAATGCAGAGGAGAAAACAACAGAAACCAAAGAGGAAGTTAAATCTGACCATGCAGAAGAAACAACCGCGCCTGCAGGAGAAGACGCACAGCAGGATGCCGCACCTGAAGAAGAGCCACATTCCACATTTCCATCTAGTCCTGAAGAAGAGGTTGTCGTATCTCCAATTAAAAGATTTTTTACAACTGGAATTTTTTCTGGACTACGGAAGAAAAAGAAACTTGCAGAAGATGAAACAACTGAGAAAGAACTGGTAGACATGGGGAAAAAGGAAGTCATGGAGACAACAGAACAAACTGCACAACAACAACAACAACAGGACAAAGAGGAGATTAGTACAGGTGTTGAAGCAGCTGCAATTGAGGTGGAAGAAGGGAAATCATCTTCCATGGATCAATCAACCATTACTGTCCCTGAGCCGGAAATTCTGAGTTCTCAAGAGAAGGACAAAGTTCAAGCAAGCCCTCTAAAAAGGCTGCTGTCAGGGTCTAGTTTAAAGAAACTCTCCAAAAAGCAAAGAAGCAGGAAGTCAAGCGATGCAAAGCTTTCTGACTCTGGAGAACATGTTTCAGATCAGCTCCTGTCATCTACTGAGTCAGCTGAGAATCACAAAGAAGAAGGTCCTGTACAGCCCTCTGTAGAGGCAGCTGGAGAAGAGGATGGTGCATGGGCTTCCTTCAAAAAACTTGTGACTCCAAAAAAACGTGTGAAGAGATCTTCTTTGAGCAATGATGAGACAGAAATCCCAGGTTCAGTAGAAGAACCAAAACCAAGTGAAGGAGAGCAAATATCAGATCACAGCACAGAAGAAGGAAAAAAAAGAAAGGACTCATCTGTTTCATGGGAAGCTGTTTTGTGTGGATCTGGAAGGAGAAGAAGCAGAAAAACGTCAGACTCTGATGACGAAATGCCACAAGTTGATCATAAGCAAGAAAGTGGATCTAAACATGGAGCAGAATCACCCCTAGAAAGTTCTAACGAGAATGAGCATGAAATTATCGCCGCTTCCAAACAAGCAGGAAGTCCTTCAGAGGGTGATGGAGGGTCAACATGGAAATCACTGAAAAGACTTGTCACCCCGAAAAGGAAAGCCAAGGATGAGGATGAAAGCAAAGAAAATATACAGTCTGATAATGAAGTTACTCAAGATGAGTCCTTTTCAATAAAGAAACTCCTACCGGGACGAAAAAAGAGGAAGTCTGCTGAAAAGCAAGACCAAATATCTTCAGATGAGGCTGATAAAGATGTACCCTCTGGTGATGAAGACTCTGAGACACCAGCTGTGGTTCCATTGTCTGAGTTTGATACAGTTGAGACAGAGGTTCCCATACAAACACAGGCAGACATAGAAAGTCATATACCTGAGGAAGCAAACCATGAACTCCAACAAGACCTCCTTGATCACATGGCTGAACCAGTCCTACCTTGTGACAGCATGCAAATTGAAGCAAAAGAACTCCAAGATAAAGATGACGCTTTAGAAAAACAGCCATCTACAATCCCTGCTACAAATGAGGAACCTGATGATCTTTCAGAATCAATCAGTAAACATCAACAACTCAGTGACATTCCAGAGGAGGGCATAATTACAGAAACCATGGCTACTCCAGCTTCAGTCGCTGAAGAAGCAGCTAGAGATGACACTATAGCAGAGGACCTGATAGAGATCACATCCGAGGCCATTACTGCACCAGAACCTGCCTCAGACATTACCACGGCAGATGAAACTGAAATGATCTCGGCTGTTTCCCAGTTATCTTCAGAGTCTTCAAAAACATCCGGCAACACAACACCAGTTCCAGTAGAATATGACATCATGGAAACAGACACTCTCCTGCATCAGGCTGTTGAAACCATTTCCATAAGCCCAAAGGCTCTCCCAGTTTGTTCAGATGACTTAAGCTCTGAAAGAATAGTTGGTTCTGTCTCGCATCAAATACTGGAAACATTTGTAACAGAAGAGGCAACAATTCTGGAAATACACAGAAGATTTGATGCAACTGCCTTTAAGACAGGTCTAAGTGTTGAAGAACTGGAAGCTATTAATGAACTTTCAGCTACACCCCAAACAGAGAGCATATCAGAAGTCAATGACTCGGTTTCCACAGAGATTGTATCTGAAGTTCTTACTGAGGAGTTTAACACTGCTGAAATTGCTGAAGATGAAGTACATGATGTCAACCTTACACATCCAGAAGAAAGCATAAAAGAATTAGAAAGGTTTGATGAGAGCCATCATCTGGTGGAATGCCTATCTGAGGTAAATTCTGTTGTGTCTGGGGATTTATTACCTGAAGGTGAAGAAACTGTCCCACATGCTGGTTCTCTAGTTGAGGTACACCAAGCTGAAACAGAGACCCCAAAAATGGACTCTCAAGAGGTAGATAAAGCTGGTACAGTAGCAGATGAAACTAAGGATTGGGCTATGGAGCAGGAAGTTCAAATTGTGGCAGAAAAGGAGATCATGTACAATATCACTGATGAAAGTCAAGTTGAGGATAAAGATCAACCACCAGTAGGGGGGGAGGAATTACAAGAATCAGTAGCTGTACAAGCTGCCACATCAGATTCAGAGGAGAGTAATGTTCAGTCACTTCAAAAGGAACCAGAAAAAGAAAATGAACTAGAAACAGATGCTGCCAAAACTGAACATGTTCAAGTGCCATCAGCATCCGAATCTGTGCAAACCTCCACATTAGATTCAGAGGAGAGTAGTGTTCTATCACCAGAGGAGGAAGTAAAATCAGAGGACATTCTACCAGCAGAAACTGAAGTCAGTGAAGTAAGTGTTGAGCAAGAAAATAAAGAACTACCACTGACTGCTGTAGAAACCGAACATGTTCAAGAACCAGAAGCATTAGAAGCTGTTAAAGCATCCACATTAGATTCAGAGGAGAGCAGTGTTCAATCACTTGAAAAGGAGGTAATATCAGAGGACATACCCGAAGCAGAATCAGTCACAGATGAACCCAAGCAGACAGGAGAGCATCTTACTGAAGTCAGTGTTGAGCCAGAAAACAAAGAACTACCATTGAATGCTGTCAAAAATGAACATGTTCAAGAACCAGAATTACTAGAAGCAACCACAATAGATTCAGAGGAGGGCAGTGCTCAATCACTTGAAAAAGAGGCAATATCAGAGGAGGTTCCCAAAGCAGAAACCGTTACAGATGAATGCAAAGAGGAAACAATACCTCCAACTGATGTCAATCTTCAGCCAGTGGATACTTCCAAAACTACACATGTTCAAGAACCAGAAGTATTACAAGCAGCAACATTAGATTCAGTTACAGATGAACCCAAACAGGAAAATGAAGTGATGGTTGAGCCAGAAGAAGTAATACAACTGGAAGATGCCAGAACTGAACTTGTTCAAGAACCAGAAGTATTACAAACAGCAACATTAGATTCAGTTATAGATGAACCCAAACAGGAAAATGAAGTGAGGGTTGAGCCAGAAGAAGTAATACCACTGGAAGATGCCAAAACTGAACTTGTTCAAGAACCAGAAGTATTACAAGCTGTACAAACAGCCACAATAGACTCAGAGGGGGACAGCCTTGTATCAATTGAAAAGGAAGTAACATCAGAGGATCTTCCAGCAGTGGAAACAGTTATAGATGAACCAAAGGAGGAAACACAAGTGAGGGTTGAGCCAGAAGAAAAGCTACCAGTGGAAGATGCCAAAACTGAACATGTTCAAGATCTAGAAACATTACCATCTGATGTAAAAGATATTGAAACTGAAACTAAAACAGAGGAAGAGGCATTAATGCATATGGATGTAGACACTGCCAAACCAGACGTTAACAATGTCATTGCTTCAGTTACAGATGAAATTGAGAGTGAAATTGTGACACAACTGGGTCAGACTTTAGAGATAACAGAGGATCAGAAAACTGAGAGTATCCCACAAGTTGAGCAGGAAGACAGCATCCCTGAAGTTGTAGATGCGTTACAAACATTAACAGCAGTTCATGTATCCTCTGTTAATGAGGAAGCAGGTGATGTTCAAGTCCTAGGAAAGACTGCATTTCTTCAAAAAACCTCAGCACCTTGTGCAGACAATGCTGCAGTTGCAGATGAACCTAAACAAGAAGTGCATCTCAGTGCAGTGGAAGTCAGTGTTGAAGGAGAAAAAGAAACTGAACTTCCAGACACTGAGACAAAGACTGCTGCAGTTGAGCATGCTGTATTGGCCGAAGTAGTCATATGTAATCTCAAAGATGTCTCAGTTGCAATACCTGATGTTTTGATAGAGAAAACATCAGAAATTACTGAACCCTTGATAGAAACAATGGCAAGTGAACTAGAATTCAAGAAGGAAGTTGAGGCGGCCACACCTTTAGTAAAAGATGATGTGACTGAGACAGCAGAGGAAGGCAGTGTGGTCATGATGATGCATGTGCCATTAGTAACTTTTGAGGACAATCACAGAATTCAAGTGCAGGTGGTCGATGTCAATATAAAATCAGCTGAGACAATTGTGGACTCAGTGCTAGAAGTTGGGATAACAGAAGCTAAAGAAGTCATAGATGTTTGTCATGAAACGGTTGAGAAGGTAGACAATCTCTCTGCAATGCCAGAGATTGAAGAGGAAATCATAAATGAGGAAAACAACGTGGCCATTCAAGAAGTTATTCAACATGTAAAGAAGAACTTACCAGAGACAATATCCAAACCAGTGGTTGTAAACTTGTTATGTCAAGAAGTTATAGAACAGCCAGATGCTGTGACAAAAGTAAGTGAGATGGTTGAAAGTGAATCAAATGAAGTGGAGGATCAAAAAGTGATGGATGATAGTATTGGCACGTTCAGTGAGAGACAAGATGAAGCACCTGCTGTTATCAGTGATGACTCTGCAACTGGACAGCAAGTGTCAGAGGATCTCATGCAAACACCTGATATTCTAGGAAGTTTAGATGTTTCTATCGATGATCACAAAGAGGATTTGAAGGAAACTAAAGCTGAACTCAAAAGCTCAGAAGTAGGTGTCACAGCAGAGGAGGTCAAATCAGAGGAATTAGATGCAAAACAAATTCATGAACAAGCACAAATTACACAAATTGCTCAAAGTCAAATTGTAACACCTAGTAACACTGGATTAGTAGTCCCCCAAAACACTGGAATAATCTCTTCAATAGGTAATGTGGAGTCCCCGTCAAGTCTTTCTCTAGAATTCAAACTTAACATACAGTTTGGACAAGCGAAAGCACCAGCTTCCCCACCCCCTATGATGGAGAGAATTGCACCAGTAAAACAGACAGACGTGTCTGAGGTCGGAGTTCAGGTAGTAGAGGCAGTAGAACCCGAAAAGGCAATAAATCCAACACAAAGAGCTGAGAGCCAGAAACAGCCAGAGCTAACTGAGGTTGCTGTTCAGGCAACAGAAATTACAGAACCAGCAGCAAACTCAGATTCAACAGAAAGAGCCATGATCACAAATCAAAGTGTCCTGCTGGATGTCGGCATACAAGCGATAGAAACAGTAGAACCAGTAGAACAAGTCAAATCAACAGAGACTGTAACCTCCAGTGTCCAGGCAACAGAAATTACAGAACCAGCTACAAACACAAATTCAACAGAAAGAGTCGTGATCACAAATCAACCTGTCCTGCTGGATGTCGGCATACACGCAATGGAGACAGTAGAACCAGTAGAACAAATCAAATCAACAGAGACTGTAACCTCCAGTGTCCATGCGACAAAAACAATACAACCAGTAAGGCCAACAGAGAAAAGAGAAGTCTTCCTGAGCCAGCCAGTAGTCTCTGAAGCTTGTCAAGCAAGCCAAGAAACAAAAGCAGAAGAGCCTGTTAAACAAACAGAGGAAAATGACCAGGATGTGTGGATGGATGCTGAGGAGGTCATTTACACTCAGGAGGAAACAGAGTTGTCCTTTCATGAGGTGGATGAACCTCCAGAACCCCAGACAGAAATTGAGCAAGAGGAAAAGGCAGGACTCGGACATGAGGTTGAAATGGCTCCTAATTTCAAGACTGAGGAAGAAGAAAGTCAACAGGAAATGCACAAAACAGGAACTTGTGAAGTTGAGAGTGAGGGTGAAGATTTCGCTGTTGCACTTGAGCATCTTGAAATTGCAACTGCGAGCGCCACTACGATGGAGTTGGATTAATTTAACTCAACTATAGCGTTACTTATCGGTAAGGCCTTTCTCGCTTTTATTTTTCTTGTTTGTGTCATGTTTGCAAAGTTTTGCCCCTTAATCAAGTTGCTCCTACAGATCATGCATCACATTCATTGGAATATCCAAATTATTTAACATCATGCTACATTTTTTTCTTTCAAGGTTGGACAATCAAAAACGAAGTCACTCAAGTTTGTAAGAAGTTTTCAAAAAAGCTGTTAGTGGGTGTGATTAATGAGAGACATCTGGCAAGAGGAGCATCAACTGGAAAAGTGCTAATCTTCTCAGGGGAATGCAGCGTGATTCTTCTGTTTGACAGTGAACTACATCCATTATGCAATGGCAATTTAGATAAATGTAATATGCTATAGTGAAACCTTTAATACTAATCATGTCAGGTCTTCTCAATCATAAATTATGTTTTTTTGCAAAGACCTATCTCACTAGGTTTTAATAAAATGTATATGTCTAAGAGAATAAGGCAACATTTTTGTTAACGGTTATGTGCTTCAAATACATTTGTGTGCAACATTTATTCTTAATGTATGCATCCCAGATGAGGACAAATGTTAATTTCTCCTGACACACAAGGATGCTATTAATATATCATAATATGTAGATATTCCACAGCCTTCACTATGTATCTTCTGTGTTCCTAAATTGTTTTGTCATGAAGAATTTGTTTAATCATTTCACTTAAATACATGTTCCCAGATGACAACAATAGACCTGAGCATACTAGTACTATTGCATATTATCGTGTACATAATGACTATTTTAATGCTTATACAGGCAGACATGCGCTCATTTTGAACAATAAAACAATAATTTTTACTCTGACAAGTTCAAAATAAGAGCATGACGATAGCATGGCGCATCGTTTTTAAAAAAGTAATAATTATTTACACAATATTTTTTATTTTAAGTTAAATTTATCTTCACATACGTATTTATCATTAATATAATTATAATCAGCAGAGCCTTAAACTTCAACAATTGTGGCAGCTTTACTTGTCCTGTTTTATTTCCCAGCTGTTTGTGTGTAAGCCTCAATGAGCTCACACCATCAATGATACCATAGACTCAGTAATAAAGTGTGTGGTAAGGGTGAGAGAAGAAATAAGGTAATGACAGTTTGTTGTGTAAGCTGTTTGTCTTCTTTAAATTGTTTTCACTTATACTGACTTTATGAAATATCCTTCCCAATCTGTGTACATGTTCACTAATGACAAAATGCAAAACATAAACCTGAGTTACCTGTGTTTATATATTTACATATATATATTTACCAGTGTTTTATTAATAAAATATTATTTTATTTGAATAAATTCATACATGTACTTGTTGTTCTGCAAATTCTTTTAAACTAAAAATTCTGGCGATCATAAGTTACCTTTACACATGAATCCATGAACCACTAATTACTCAACAAGTTGATATTTTACAAGCACACACTAAACAAAAACAAATACTTTATTGCATCTTCTATAACACAGCACTCTTCTTTCTTTTTAAGAACAATGTCACATGTGAAGGTAAGAGTCTCTGCCATCATGCTCCAACTACACTTTTGCAAATAATGTGAAAATGAAATGAACATTGTTAAACACACAAACAAAACCCCAAAAACATTATGTGGCCAGCTGATCCCAAAATTAAGTCCCACTGATGCACTAGGCTTAAAATCCTCATATAAAACCCTGCAACACCCTTATCTTCCACAAAACAGTAAAAAATAAAAAGAAGATTTATTTCTGTGTTGTTGAAATGTAAATACTGGACAACAGGAACAGTAAGACATTCACAAATATTTAGGTCCGCTTCGTGATTTCAGTTGCTTCCAGAAAACAATGTCACATATTACTGAACACCTTTTTCACGTTTATACATAGTACCTTCGTAAAGTGCAGCATTCTTCCTTTGGAGCTTCTAGTGCCCTAAGTTTTGTGCTTTGTTGGAGGAGCAGTTTAGAAGATCATTTTTGCAAGTTCAAACAAAACCTAGATGGAAAACAAACAACAGATGTATATATTATTTAATTTAAAAAAAAGCTGTATACATTAGTAACTTGAAAGAAGCAATGCAGAATAAATTTATCAGATAATATTAATGAATTATACTGCATTATAATTAATTAAATACCTCAAGTAGACTAGCTAATGTCCAACAGTGGTTTACAAGATGTATATCCCATGTTTCATATGATGATTAAAGGTGGAAAACAAATGGCACTTTTGCACAAAACATCATATTCTTATACATCAGGCACAAAGATCTGTTTTATATGCTTACCTCAATAGTAATAAGGATGACTATCATCCACTCCAACCTTAAGCTGTGCTTCTCACTCAGGTGGCTTCTCATCAGATCTGTTAACTGAGAACAGTGTTCCAGCTTCTCGTTCACAACCTAAAAACACAGACAATGCTCGAAGCTTAGGTCAAAAACAAAGTATTGGCTTCTTACCACAAAGTATCAGAATGAGTCCAACTATGGTGCCACATCCTTTTTTTTTGATGAACTTTATTTACATTGACTCTGCGGTTGATGCTGAGGAACTGGCAGGTCTTATCATAGAGTTTTTCCAGGTTTTCTCTGTCCCAGTAGAAATCAGGCGTGATGAGCAGGTCAGACCTCAGGTTTATACAGTGTCTGCCAGAGTGGAGGTAAATACCAAGGTTTTAAACAGAGTCAGTCAGCCTGGAGTTAAACATATCAACTCAATTTAAAATACATGCATGTCAACAAATGTCTGCTATTGATAACCTGGCAGACACAAACTAAATACCCAGAAAACAAAATTACAAATCTGAGCTGGTTGTCAGAAACAACAGGTTTGAGGTTGCTGTAAAACCTTGAAAACAAACACAGAAAGGTTGCAGTTCCCTCTATTTAGAGAAAAGTGAATTTACCTTAACGAGAAAAGCTCGCCTATCTTCTTCATAACCTCTGCAGAGGACAACTTAACTCTTTTGCCAGACTTCAGCGTCTTGAGGAAAAAAATAGATCAGGACATTAGCATTAAGAGGAGCACTGATGCATAATCTGCCTTAAAGACAAACAACCATTACAGATAATCAATTACTCATAATTTCTTCCTGCCTGCTGTTAAGTGTCTACTGTACCTCTGGAATTGATTGAATTGACTCCACAAAGTTGTCTAGTGACACCTCCCATATTGCCAGCTTCACTGAAAAAGAAAACAAGAGGTTACACTCAGAGGAGAGGCTGAGTACAGTGCTGCCACAAAACATTACAAACAGACCTCACCTGACAAACACAGAGCATTTGAAAATGCAAATTTATCCAGAACAGCTTCATGTTGATCCATTTGGTCACTCAGAATAAAGTTTCCGCGCTCAAGCTTTGTATTCCCCCTGAAGAGAAAAAAAAGATTTAAATTCACACAAAAAGCTACAGAAAGTATGAAAGTGTAAATAAACAAAAACAACACATGAGTGAAGATCAACATACTCTCCAACAGTGTAGTTAATCTCCTCATTTTCCCAGTGGACTAATGCTACTTCATAGGGCTGGATCTCATGATGTTCCAATATTCTCAAAACCTTTTTCATCTGTAAAAACAATGAAATAAATTACATTTTCAAATAAAAATATGCTACAGCAGAGAAGTAAAACAAAATTACAATCAATTAAACATTATAAATTATATATAATTTTGTTTACCGTTTTCTCCTCAACATTCCAGAAAACTACTGAGCCTTCCCTGAAATTTCAAGTTGGGAAAGTCAGTGTGAGCTATAAAGATATAAAGGTATCAAACACTATGACTGGGTTTCTTTTCTAATACCAATGCTACACTCAAGATTTAGTACCAAATCCAAAATGATATCTTACCTGAGACAAATTTAGAAATATAAACATTTTTATACAACAGCTTTCGTCTAACAAAATATGTCAAACTATCAGTGCACAACTCAGAAAATGTGAGCCACATTTAGATTTGTATTTTTGATGCCGGATTCTATAGACACATTTCTGTCAGGACACAAAAAAAACCTACTGAAGATCAATACCCAGGCCAATTTATAATCTAAAATGTGCGAGTAATTCTTTAAAATAACAATTCTTAATCAAGACAAAGCCTAAACAAAGCACTTTGAAAACAGACTGCTTTACTGATACCTGAAGAAGAACATTACAGCATCGTCCTCTGGTTTGGCAGCCATGTCTGTGCTTATCACCAGCACATTTGAGGCATCTGAAATTACAACATGATTGTCATAAAATGTGTTAGTTGTTCCAAGCACATTGAACTCCCTGGTAAGCTGTAATACATGAATAATTTTGAGTCGTACCTCTTGGTAAATCCATCTCATGGAAGCCCTGGTTTATCAATTCGTGGCAAAGTGTTGGTAAATGATACTGATCTGCTGTTGCAAAGGCAATACATTGCATCATATCCTACAGGGAGACACGGGGGGGTTGAATTAATCTCTTAAACATGACATATATCAATAGATTAATCACTGATCAGAAGACTGGCTGAATCACCTTGTCCTCCTTTTTCAGGGCAGGCTGATTGGCTCTAGAAGGTTGTTTCGTTCTCGGTCCTTTGGGAACCCTTTTTCCAGGCACCGCTCCCGGTTTTAAAGTCGGTTTTAATATTGACTTCACAAGGTCGGATGAATAAAGGCGCTTCTGTCCACTTCTACATACATCCAGTATCCCAGGGTCAGTAAACAGAGTGCTGCTGAGATGTTTAAATCCACCTGAAGCAGGCAGAACATGTCTCACATGTGTCTGCTGTTGGTGAAGAGTGTTTGAATAACAGGTCCTTGAAAAGATCCAGCAGTCTGAGTGGGTCCTGGGTTTGGATTCATACCTGCGTGGTTGGACAGACTGGGACAGACTGGCCGAGGCACAGATGAAGACTGGTTTCCTCTCTACACGATGCTGAGCTCCCAGTCTGGACCACAACGTCCGGAGAAGCATCTTACTTTACCTACAGGTGTACAGGTGAGCTGCAACACAGGAAACAGTCGTTAGTGCACCTGCGTGATATGTTAGGCTCTAATTTACCATCGCAAAGCATTACAGAACTCTGCAAACCAACCTGGATCTATGAGCACATGAATAACCCTTTAACATCGTTATTATCAGACAAATCTAACTTTAAAAACAAAAATAGGAGCCAAAAACAAGCAAGGCTGACCTTGGCTACATTAGCTTATCCTCACCGGTAGTCTCTCTACGATTTGACCACATTAAATAAAACGTACAAAGATAAACAAGCACGGTTCTGTGCTAACTTTAAGTACAAGCCGACAGAAGTTAACAACGTGCTGTAAGTTAATTCAGTTTGTAATGTTAGCTGCTGTTAGCCGTCAGTTAGCTCACCGGTAACCGACAACAACGCGATTCAAATAGAGTTGACTTCAAATATAAATATAAATATATATATATATGTGTGTAACACTTCAGGAAATGGCCGCTGTGTTCAGTGATAAGTTAGTAGTAGAATTATAAGTTATATATTAGTTAGCTATACGGCACCTTGCGTGACAGACCTGGGAGGCGTGTTTGTTGTTTGCTAATGAAGTTTTGCTGCCGCTCACTTCCTGTTTGAGGTGACGTAATAGTGTGATCCTCGTCAGCCCTGCTCTCTGACTGGCAGGTTGTTCTGACATAAAGGCTACCTGGAAGTCTAAAATTAAGGCAAAAAAACCCCACTTTTGTGAGGTTGACTTTCAGATGCATCTTCATCAGCTTCTTGCTTTTTGATCTTTTATGTTATTTCATGCATTTTCTTGATCTGTTTTATTCTATATAATAATATAAATTATATTTTAGTTTCATCTAAAGATCTATGTTGTGTGACTGATAAAGTCTCTAGATTTCAGATGTTCACACCTGCAGTGCACCCTCTGGTGGAGCCTGGTATAGACTGTGTTTGGTGTTGCCAGGAGACTTCTTAAAACAGAAACAAGTCTCTACTGTATATTCACCTCCCCTGCAACACTTCTAATTATGGAAGTTATGGAAAACTCTGATGAGGTATGTTAATAGAACACAAATTGATTTTAACTCTCTGTATGATACACATTTGTTATTTTACATTAACTAAATTACATCTAATGGTGGCAGCTTTTTAACCAGGTTTTCATTTTTCAATTTAAAATAGACATAAAAATGTCCAAGTATATAATTTATAATAACTCTTTTTTGAATCACTAGGTGGACCAGTCTCATGAGAGGGAGAGGCTGAAGATGAGAATTGGTGTTCTGGAGGAGAGCGTGAAGTCCTGTGAGGTGGAGTGTAAAGCCAGCAGGGAGACGGTGCTCAGGCTGGTGGCAGAGCTGGATAGAGAGAGGAGGAAGGCTGCCAACAGTGCAGCAGCTCTCGATTCACTCAAAGTGGTACTTACACAACTTTATGTTTATATATTGTAAAATTAGTTGGCAGTACGCCCAACAGAAAATTCTGTCCAGACACCAGTCTTCAAAATGTTTTCTTTAATTTATTAAAATGTTCCAGGGAAAGTTTTATTACCTAACAAGACAGTCTAAATGCACAAATAGCCTCCTCACCACAAGGGTTACAAGTGTGGTAGGTAAACAGTGATTATTTTATTGGTTGATTTGTTGTGTTGATTTAATAGTTGTCAAATTTAATTATATTGAGTAAGTAAATAATGCAATCAGCCTATAAGATACCCATATGTGTATGTCTTTAACTGTGGAATGTATACTCGCCGTGCAGGGTTAATAAAAGTCCCAGAAAAACTATAAAGGACAAGCCCTCAGTGTCTCCAATAGTCCTGTGGCCAGACAGTATAAACAATGTATGCACACAAATCTATCTTATCTGAGCCACTGAGTGTTAATAATCTTTTAATTTCATGCTGAATTGTGGAGCAGTTTGTAAAGCCTGTTTCAATATGAGCTCTGTTAAATATTTGATAAAACTGTGTGGTGTGACTCTTTCAGGAGTTAGACGGTCTGCTGGTGGGGAGGAGGAGTGTTGAGATGGAGAAGGAGACCCTGATTGAGAGGCTTGAGGCCAGCAAGAGAGTCATAGAGGCGGCTCGGCGAGAGTCGCATTGTTTGGAGAAACAGGTGGAGGAGCTTGAAAGAAAGCTACAGTCAAGCCAAGGAGAGACCCAGGCAGCTGAGGAGAAACTACAGGTGTTCCTGAAAAAGATGGCAGGGCTGCTGCAGGGGAAGTCTGAGAACGTCCTCCTGCCCACAGAGAGAGATATTTTACACAAAGTGGACGACCTCTGCAATAAGGTGAGGTGGAGAAAGGATGTCACCTTAAAAATTCCAGCAACACTTTATTGTGAGAACAACCAGCTTTCATCAGGTTCACAAGCTGACAAAGTCCCCAAGTCGAGACACGCTGGTCTCACAATAAAGTTTGTCTTTATGTTACAAGTTTACAGTTTGAACCCTGCTGAAAAAATGTCAATGTCAGTCACTGCTTTAAAGTAGTACAGTGATTATTTTATGTTTAATAAATGTTTGACTCCATCAGCCGTGGAAGAATTATTTAAGTAAGTAAAAGTAGCAATGCCACAATTTGAAAAATGCAAAACCTCACTCAAGTAAAATATATGTTAGACATATTAATCTAAAATCTAGTCTTCAATATGCAGCCAAAATGGGCTCTGACAGTTCTGTATTATTATATATTAAACTTTTGAATTATTATTTCTGATACATTCGCTTGAAACATTGTTGGATGGTTTAATTATATACAGTATAACAATGCCTTGTATTTTCTATGGTTGGTTTAAATATTGATGCAAATTAACTGCAAAAGCAAAATAAATGCAGAATAGTAAAAAGTATAAGCAAGTAGCATGACATTAAAATACTAGAAAAAAGTATCCAAACATTTTATTTCAGTACAATAAAGTAAATGTATTTAGTTTCCAACACTGGTCTCCACATTTACCTTTTATACTAAATCTTGGGCGTCCATGTGTCAAAGAGGCACACAATAATATGCTTACTACATTTATTGGAGGCAGTCTTTATCAGAGATGGAGGTCAGGCTGTCTCATGTCTCTGAGGAGCTGAGCGAGCAGACGGAGCTCCAGCACAGTGCACTACAGAGGGCTCAGCTTGCAGAGCAGCAAGTCCAGGACCTGAGGGAGAGACTGCAGGGTCTTGAGAGTGAGCTGTTAACAGCAGACATGCATCGCGACGGTCTGAGACACAACAATCAGCATGTGAGTGAAGTCATATATAGTAGCAGGGGGAAAATAAGTGACAGTTGCATGTAAATACATAAGAAATGTTTAAAAAAGAGAAGAAATGCTCTGCGTTTTTTTAACAGTATGAAGAGTTCCTGGAACAGCTGTCAGAGACGATGAAGGTTGGGAGCATTGCTGTGGATCTTGGCTTCGATATGAGGTTAAAACTCATCCTGTCACGCGTAGAGCAGCTTGTTAAACAAGAGGGAACTGCTTTGGTGGAAAGCAAAAGTCTGACCTACAGTCTACAGCGAAAGGTGGGCCATACTTACTGGAATTTAGAGCAAGTTAACTGTGAGTTTTAATATCTTTAAATATTACAAAGGGTTCTAATCACAACTTTCTAAAAGTGTGCAGAGTGGTAATTGATTATTTTATTTTAGTAGTGATGAAAACCTCTAAGTGCATAACAGTTGCTGTGTTGGCATGACCAGCGATACACCTGTAATCTAAATATTCCTGTTCCAACAGTTTAAGTCCCAGAAAGACCAGCTGGAGAGCAAAGGACTCCACATCCAGCTTCTGAGGAAGAAGGTGTCAGAGATGGAGGAGGAGAAGAGGAGCCGATCAGCGCTGGCTGTGGAACGAGACGACGCTCACCTGGAGATCAGGAGGCTGCAGAAAAAACTGGAGCGTCTCCAAGGCGAGCTGAAGGCTACCAAGCTGTCCAACACTGAGCTCAAGGCCCAGCTGTCCCACACCAACGAGCTCAAGGTAGAAGGGAGAGGGCTTCACTCCAAAATTCAGTCCAGAGGCATTTTCACCTCATAATTTATCTGAATTTGTGTTAACGTCTGTGTATGTGTGAATGAAAGTATATTAAATTCTTTGTAATTGTGCCCCAATTATGTAAAGCAGGTTTGTTCTGAAAACAACTGCATATATTCTTAAGTGTCAGAGTATTTGAGAGCAATAAGCCAACTTGATAAAGCCACCGAATAACAGTTGCTTCACTAAACACTTGTGTCTGACGTGCCAAGTTGAAAGTCATGGAACAGAGTCAGACCATGCAGGAGCAGAAAAAGAGGCTGGATCAGCTGGTGGAGGGGAAGGCCAAGGTGGAGAAGAAGCTGAACACAGTGAGCTCAGACCTACAGAGCCGAGAGAAGAAGACGAGAGACGACCAGCAACAACTCAACGCCCTCACACAGAGCCTGGCTCAGCTGTCTGACAGGGAGAGAGAGGTGAGGGAATGATCAGCAACATCTGGACATAGAAAGTTATGTAGAAAGTTGCTTGTTGTTTCCAAAGCTAATTTCTTTTAAAAAAATACAGCAGACTTAAAATAAGTTAATTCAAATAATCAAAAATGATCAAAGGCCCACTCAAAAATTTCCAGATTTAAAAAATGCTGTTAAATTAAAATATATAAATGTTAGATCAATAAATGGAAACTAATAGTTTTTATTGTTTGTTGGAATGCAGTTGAACTTAAGCCTGTTTTTACTATTTGAGCAATCTCTACTAATGTCAATAAACCTTAAAGAGCAACTTAAGACCCACTTAAAATCTTATTTTTGCTGATCTCCAGTGGTATCACCTCTCACCTTGCAGTAGTGATGCACTCTAGGGAATACATGACTTGGCTGTGGTTATGGGCAGTGAAATAAATAGATTTTCAGCATGGTGTTAATGGTCCAGTAACATGTAACATTTAGGAGGACGTATTGGCAGAAATGAAGAAAACTTCAAATGAATGATAATGTTGCTTTGTATCTGCTGCTGGAGGTGTAAATATGCAAGCGTTTGCTAATACCATACCAACTTAAAAGGTGATCATGTGACAATGTTGTGTTTATAGTTAGTTTTTGCTGCCCCCAAGTGGTTTAAAGTCAATTACAGCTTTAAAGGGCACCAGAGAACCCTGAATTATTTTTAGTTTCTCATTTAGCTGTTAGTGCTGTAAGTGTTAGTCTGTGTATTAAAAAGTCGGTCCGTCAGTTCAGGAGTGGTACGAGGTTCAAATGATGTGGTGACTCGTATTTAGTTGTATAACAGATTATACTTTTAAAATCAAACTCAGATATGTTATTTTTTTCTCCCTTGTTCAGTTGGTGGATTTCCGGATGGTTGTTTCCCAGATGTTGGGTCTGGATGCCACAGCCCTGGCTCTTCCAAATAATGAAATCATTAAATTACTGGACGCCCATCTTCACAGTCATCATCACCATCACCACCTCCACCATGTTAACATTCCCTGGCACTGTCCTGCTCACCAGAGGCCTCATCTCCACCAAATCCACGACCTACTTGACAGCTCCTCCCAGGATCTTTCTACCTCCAGGTCTCCTTATCCAGGAGACGCAGTTCCTCTTCATGAAGCCTAGATTTATTTATACTGTACATTATACTTACGCCAAACTGCACTT